AGCTGCTAAGACTGTAATCTCTGCAGCTTACGCAGGTAATTAAGCTCCTCCTTAAGCTCCCTTGCCTGCTGCTTGTTCTAGGCATCTAGCGCTTAGAGCTAGTTAGCAAGCAGGGGTATTGCCTAGTACAGGACTGACAGCTGACTAGGAGCTGCCTCTGCGTTAAAAGACACGTTAATGTCCTAAGCAAAGGCAGCGTACGCCCTGTGCTGGAACACTAGGTAGTTCTACATAGGGTGGCTAGGGAAGCGCCAGCGCAGCGCAACTAAGTCCTAGAGGATCACCTCTCTAAGGTAGAGCAGCAGGCTTGTAAGGCCCTCTGCGGCTAGGTTGTTAATCTAGCTAGCGTGTAGGCTAAAGCGGCCCTTCTACGCATTAAGCTTTAGCTAGATAAGAGACAGGAGCTTGTCTAGAGGCGCAACAGCTGCGTGAGGGATCTTAAAGCAGCCTATCTGCAGCAGATGGCTAGCTATAGACCTTATAAACTTCTGCAGCAGTAAGTTAAAGTAGTAGCTAACTATTTACTTTTAATTCTACCTGCCTGCTTGCTAAATCTAATTCTTACTAACTCTTTTAAGCTCTACTAGCTTAGCTGCTTTACTGTGTAGAAGGTAAGTCTTTTTCTAAGATAAGATCCTAGCGTAACTGTACGCCTTCGCAACCTAGTCGCGCTAGGAGTTGTAGGAGAAGGCTGCTGTATAATTACCTGTGCTGGCCTTAATTAGCTGTATGTAGTACTAGGCTAAGCGCTTACTAAAGTTAGGAAAGGGCTTGTTGTCTAGGTCCTAGCAATAGAGCAGGTAGAAGGCTAGGCTGCTAAGCATGTAGAAGATTAGCTTTCTGTGCCGCAGCGCGCCTATTATCTTAAGCTAGCTATGCTAGTTCTGCTTACTTACGCAGGTAGTGAATATTAGGGGCATGCAGCGCGTAGGGCCCTCCCCTTTAAACTTAAAGGTGAACAGGTCTAAGATCTCTGCAGAACAGCAGTTGCCTCCGCGCGTAAGCATGTAGTGGCCCAGCATAAGATTAACTAGCGTACAGAAGTGACACTCTACTGTTGCTAAGGACAAGCTCGCGTCTACGCTATGTGTCCACAGCTTGCTACAGAGCCGCTTAAACTTGTCCTTAGTGTAGCTGTTAAGCAGCGTGTCTCTGCCCTTGTTAGCGTACTGCTCTTAATCTTGCTAGGCATCCCTACGCTGTAGAGACCTAAGGTACTCCCTTACGCTGTCCACACGCAGCGATAGGTAGCTGTCACGATTGTGCACGAGTAAGGTTATAGAGCTTCACGGAGGTCTAGTTCAATTACTACGTGAGGTATCATGGTAGGTACAAGACGTTGTGTGAGGAACAGGAAGGTTCAGGAGGAAATTAGCAATTAAATACTCGGCTCAGAAGTCTAAGCGCTTTGGGTATGAATTGAGCCTGTTCCGGGTTTAGTTAGTGTTGAGGCGGTTTGTGCTTAAGTTCATGTCTGTGTCGTGTCGTGTTCGTGTCGGACGTGCACCGATAATACTCTGGTACGCGTCCGATACGGTTATGTCTGGGATCCGGGGAGGATACTGTGACAGTAGCTGTTTATGCCTAGCGCCTTCTGCTCTTGCTAGAGGTTAGTAATAGCTATAATGTAGGCGTAAACTAAGCGCTAGGCAAAACATATCTTATCTTAGGGGACGTTACTCTCTACCTTATAAGACCTAGTCCTTAAGAGCTAGTTTGCAACTTTTTTAACTAAGAAGAGCAGCAGCTTCTTCTCTGTAACAGTGCTGCTGTTATAGTACTGCTTCCTCTTACAGAACGCCTAAACGCAGAGTTAGCATAGACACAGACACACAGATAGGCAGGCAGGCGGGCAAGAATACTACTTTAAATTCCTCCTGCTTTAGACTATAGACCTAGTGCGTATTCTCTAGCCGCTGCTTACAAATTGTAGCTAGGATATAGTGCGCATTAGCGCGCAGCTTAGCGTTGTTTACAATGTTAATGTCTGCGCGCTTGCAACGCGCCCTGCGCTGTAGACCTATGCTCGCGCCCCTGAGTGAGTGTGTACAGTAAGGGAGGATATATACAGCAGCAAGCAGCGCACGCTAAAGCTTAGGCTCAGGATGAAGGTGAGGGCAGGGCCTGGCCTGCCCTAGGGCCTCTCCATCCATCCATATATATATATATATGTGTGTGTGTGTGACGAGTCAATTCAGTACAGGAGCCATTAGCGGCGGGCTCAGCAGGCGGCCGGTGCAGTAGGAGATGTCCACCGCACGGGCGCGAGAGCCGGGGGTGGAGATCCGCAGACGCCCGCAGGAGGCGATTGGTCGAGAGGCGAGACAGCGACTCAGCCAAGGCTCAGTGCGGCCTTGAATACCATGTTATATTAAGTGTGTTATGTTTTATTTAAAAGCTTAAAGTATAAGCTATATCTAATATTCTTTTAGCATATTTAAGTAATGTTATTAGAAATGCATTAGTGTAAGAAGAGTAGTTTAGTAGGGTCTTAGTAAAATTAAGTAACTTAGGTGTGTAAGCAACTTGCCTGTAGAGTACATTACTAGGCATTATAAAATAATTATAAAGTTGTAAGTAGATAAAGACTATAATTAGGGATGTATAAGTGTAGAGTAAAGGATTTTTAAATTAGCAATTAGTTTTTTCCCTTCACCAGCTAACAGTCCGCCGTAGATGTCCTCTTCTTCGAAATCTTACAAAATCCAATAAATGCTCTGCCCTTAAGTAAGAATCAAGCCAACCGCCTTCGTATCTTGTTCCATTGAGCATTGTGCGCAGTGCAAGGTGGAAAGAGCTTTCGCTATAGTCTGAAAGGGCGTTTGGGTCGACACCATGCTCTAGAAGGATCCCGTCATTTGAGAATCTCCAGTCAAGGTTCCGAAGTGCAAAGGCGTGAGACCAGCTGCAACGCCTCAATGGATCCTCCGACTGGCCTTTCGTGGAGAGCGCGATATACACAATGCTATCATACTAGATCGAACTCCTTTTAGAAGTCCCAGAATTTGAGAGACTGCAGACGATACAGAATCAACCGTAAATGATAGAAAGACTATAGAGCTTTTGAAACGATCTTAGCTCGTCTACTCCTAAAAGACGTTCTGATTTGCTAGTACTATTTCAATAATAGTAAGGGCATGAAGAGCTCCCTCTCTGCTAATTTGGGCTCGTATGTTTGTCAAGCTGGTGGATACGTGCTCTAGAAAATGCCTCAAGGACATCTGTCTACCTGCGCTTACAGCTTCCATCCGATTTACTCCTTGCACAGAAAGTAAGATCCGCCCAAGAGGATATTTATCCGAGTATCTCTTTGATACTACAGTCATTATTGCATCAAATCTGCTCGCGGGCTTGAGCTTTCTGAGTTTGGCATGAGTAGTCTCTGGGATGCTTGATGAATGGTCGAGCTAATACGGTTACCCATGCTAGGATAATGATAGATGGACCTATATCCCTCATTGCTATTGCCTAAAGTTGAACGGCATTCCCCATAGTCTATAGATTTCGTGTCCCGATTAAAAGTCGCGGCGAAGCACATAACCACAAGGTCTAGCGAAATATACGCTCTGGTAGCGTCTAGACCAAATGGTGCAGGCGGTGATCTACCAAACGCCAGAAGACATATGCTTTGCAGAGCACATAGCGCTGTCCCGAAGTGGAACTGAACGATAAAGGTGCAAAGGCTAGGTTGAAAAATTACAGTCTGTGCTTTAGCAGTAGTCATTGTAACAGCAGGAGAGACTAATATAGAAGTCTCATAATAAAGAAAATCGGCCAGTTCCGCTGTAAATAAGGCTCTTGATGGTAATACTTGGAAGAAGTTTACGGATGCAATTGTTGGAGAGGCAAAATAGTCAATCTTGAAGGCTCGGCGGACCAAGGTCCAGTTAGAGTTCATTAGGAGTTGATAAGCAAGTCTTCAAGGCAGACCTTGTATCTAACAAGTTCAAGATGCAGATTAACACTAGTATGTTCCATTCTCCCTCATACAGTGGGTGGAAACCATGACGGTACTCACTCCGTGAGGGCCAGCGTATTTGTGAAGAAGGGTGGCACGAAGGGTGATGCCTTCTATTGTTAGTTTGTAGCTAAAAATTAACGTAATTCAGTTTCGAAGCCTGAAATTAGCAAGATGAATTGCCGTTGAATGAATCATTTAAACCTTAATTGGCCTAAATGCTCGACTAAAATCATATTCAATATTTTTAGGACCGCCCATATCCATTAGTAACTGTGAGAAGGAGCCGAATCCCACGAATCGGTCTAATGCTCTACGTCTCTGCCTTTAGAGATCATTCCTAGTATTGATAATAGCTTTATTCTGTTGATATCTACGATGCAGAAATTGTTGCTGGCTTAGTATTCGTCTTTTGGATTAGTTAAGATGCTGATACCAAAACGCGGAAGAGTGCCTCATTAGCTTGCTCTCAAGCTTTCTTCATTCACGCCGTTCCTCCCTGTAAATTGGATGATATTCGCATGCACTTAGATATCATCCGCAGTTTAGACATAATTGGGGGGTATGGCATTCAAGCGTTTAGAGAAGCCATGGCTTGTAAAAGGGGTGGTTGACGACACAGGATTAGTTCTGAGTTACAATCCTGGAATTTGCTTTCCAATCATTCCTTCGGTTTTCTTCAACCTCCCCGCCCACCTCCGTTGCAGGTAGTGGCTTTGTATACCCCATTAGAGGCACGTAAGGCGACCGCTGACGAGTAATATTAATTGGAAAAGGGGAGGCTTTGCAATCAATCTGCACCTTAAGACGGTAGCAACAAATATGTGGTTAGCGTTGCTGTCGAAAGTGGTTTGAGGACTAGGTTTTCCCAAGATACTTGGTATGTACGCGAAAAGCCCGAGGAGTATATGAACGACATCCGCTTGTATGCGACCAGGACTTTGGCGGTCAGACTAGTTACGATATACAATCAGAGGAGGTGAATGATGGTAGAGTATGCATCCGTTGAATTTGCCATGATTACCGAAAGCGCCATTGCGGCGACTGATAGAGACTATGAAGCTCAGTTGATTGTGCAGAATAGGAAAGAGGAACCCAGAGCATCCCAGGAAACAAACAAAGCTTCATATTGGCAGCACCAATCTTGGCAAGGCGACCGACAACGACACTTTGCATGTTGTTGCAAAGCGTGTCAAACCCCCAACGATACCGATGCCATCAAAAGCTGATACACCAACGCCGTCTCATGCCCTCCAACGCCCTGTATCTGGCATGATTTTTGGACTTTTGATAATGTGATACTGGGGAATCATGCCGTGAGTGAAAGAATGAGAGTTGTGAAAGTGGCCCCGGAACCATGTTTGCTGCTATGTCGAAGGCATTCCATTGTCTGATTACGTCTCCTTCTCAGTAGGTTTCTCGGCGTCGTCAATGGCATCACCATTGGCGGCATTGTCAGTAGTGAGTCGGAGATCTTGGCCGTCATCGGCCTCCTCACCTTTCTTGACCGGAGCTACAAAACCAGTAAAAAAGATGAAAGATGAACTTGGATGAAAGGACACTTACCAACCTCGGCCTCCTCGGCAGCCTTCTTGCCTTTGGCCGGGCGTCCCTTCTTCTTTGGTGAAGGTGAGCCCGCGTCGCCGTCGACTTCTTGCTTCTTCGCAGTACGCTTGCGGGGAGTCTTTTTGGGGGTCTTAGGAAGCTCATCGACGGCACAGTTGGCGTCACCATCGTCCTCACCGACTGCCTCGGACTTGGTCTTGGCCGTGCCCTTCTTCTTCGCAACACCTTTTGCAGCGGGTTTGGCTAAGACGGTGACTTCACCAACCATGAGCTTGTTCTTGATCTTGGACCAAGCATTGGAGGCAGAGCGCGTGTTGCTCATACCGGCGAAACCGGCAAGCCTCTCGTAATCAATCTGGGAATTTTAGCGACGGATATCCACTACGATGCCATCAAAATTTGACTGAAAACGACAGCTTACATCGGGAGGCCCCGACTTGAGCGACTGCATGGCCCAACCGAGGATCTGGATTTCACGCTCCGTGAACTGGCTTGAGGTCATGGGCGTAGCGCCGTTGGTGTCGTTGCCGGACATGATGATGGATGGTGCTGTAGATGATGTTGAGATGTAAGGGGGGAGGTCGCGTTGTAGCAGTGTTGAGGGAGGCGGAGTTGCGAAAGTACGCGAAAGTTGACGAGAGTGCAGTGTATGAAGAATGGAGGCAAGGTAGGGATGGCAGATTTATGTATCCTACTGCCTGTGGGTGAAGTGTTGGGTTGCTGTGAAGGAAGGCAGCGGTTTTTAGGGCATATTGTGTGTTATTCTGTTGCTATTACACAACCTAACTACCTTTCACCTCATCGCTAGACGTCCAATTTTACAGTGTACCACCCCAGGCAGACACCTGACTCCATAGGGTGCCATTGGACGATAAGCCGCTGCTTTTGGCTTAAGTGAGTTGCGGTGTAGGCATATGCCATGCAATTTTGCTATAGATGTGGCGGCTGCTGTCAGAGTGAAAGAGTGAAGATATGAACACCTTCACCAAGACAGCCATAACGCATCATTTGTATCACCACCCAACGTAATTTCCAAGCTGCTGGTGAGAGCACATTTCCGCTGGAAGACCCCTTAGTTCAATTAGTGGTGAGACACCAAGGGCGAGTGACGTGGTAAGTAATATGATGGTATGTGTCGTGAATCGTTAGATAAGTAAGCGATGGTATTGAGTTAATGTTCGATTGGGGGTAAGAATTGTCCTTCGTGCGTTTGACCGTTGGCTTGACTTCTACCACAACTTTTCTAATTCGCCTATCTTCATTATATCCATCCTACCTTGAAGTCGGTGCGCACACCTGCCATCGAATTGACAAGGCGACATGTGGATGGACATAGCCTTGATGTTAGAATCATGACCGCAGTCGATAGCGCCGAAAAAACTGTTCGAAGGCAGATTGAAGGAATTGGGACAGGAGTTTAGGATTGACAGTTAACAAGGAATCGCGCCTTCTCCGTTCGAGCTTGGGTGGGTTGGAATTCAGTCCCACGAAACGGAACATATTTCTTTAGCCTGCCTTGCAAGATGAGTTTCTTAACCATTCCCAACACCAAGGGGGTGTTGCTCTTTGAATCGTCCTTGTCCTAATTTCTATAGCTGCCGACCCCCTCTCCGTCGCCACAATTGTCGGCCTCTATCAAGCCATCCTTGGCACTGGAATAGCTGAAGATGCCATAGACTCATACGAGGTTCCTTACCTAGAATAGGACTTTAAGACAGAGTCAGTCGCTCCTAGAAACAGTAGGCAGAGCAAAAACTCAGTCTGATTATGGTATAACTGTACTTGATATCAGCTAGGATGGAACTAAATCAGCGCCGGGTCATGGACCTTAAAACATAAGGAAACCTTCTTTCGACGATTCTCACAACCTGAAGCCCAAACCAAAAGGGTGTATCTTTGAGACGTTGGCGGTATCTGCCATTCCCAAGATCAGCTGCGCTAGAAAACATGTCGCAAAGACCACCTTCACCAGCAAGCCAGAGCGTTGGCAGAGTTGCCCGTCCCATAGCCTTTCAAATCTGAGATCTTTTGTGGAAGGTCAGATTTACGCGTTCGACATTTGGGATCTCAAAAACTTATGGGATCCACTGCCTAGTCCTGTGTCCCCTTTCCCTGTCCAACACACCGTCCTAGGGAGCCTTTATCAACACCAACGAACTGCAATCAGTTCTTTCTCGGGAGCGGAACGAAAGGTACTGTTTCTTGGCCGGCATGCTATTGAATTTTGGGAATGTCTGTCTTTTATCAAGGCCCAACATGGAGAGGAGAGTTGACGTGAGAGTAAGACCTTTATAGATATGATTAATAGCTGACACGGGGCCCCACTCAGGCAGTTGTCAATTCTCAACATTGCCTCTGACTTTTGCTATTAGAGGCCCAGGACACCCCATTACGCGTACACATCTATCTGCCAGCCTCAAATTCTCGCCTCTAAAACACCACTTTCTCCGAATCCTCGGCTCGAACTCCTCAGCCACATCTTATTCCAACACTCTCCCTAATTCGCCTGCCAGATGGTTGTAATTGATCTCCTTCGTGCAGACACCGACTGTTAAATTATCGTCATGGCCCAAATCATGCTAAAAATCAACCTATATGTAGCGAAACTCGACACCTGCTCAAGTGTCTACAACGTTCAAGCACTCATATCATTGTCCAAGTTCGCCCGCTATCTGGAGCTGGCATTTCAATACACTCTACGCCGTGCGTTCAATAACGCCCCCGAAGACCAAATCACCAGAATCAACAAGCTAAAGGAGATGTGTATCGATGCCCGTGCAAGGTTTCAAAGGTTGCAACACAGTGTGAATGACTGTTTAGGTGCGTTCGAGTCTACCTCTAGCACGAAAAGAGAGCTAGTGGAGGAGGAGCGGGTACAAAGTCTGAAACGACTTACCTTGCTCGCTACTGTCTTTTTGCCCCCTTAGTCTGTCGTCTAGCCTACTTAGCATGCAAACCCGTATAGCCGATCTTGGAACCCTATGGTACGACTACTGTGGCATATGTGCTCTCTAGCTCTTCATTTTATTTGCCGCCTACTAGTCTATACGCGCATGGGACGTATTCCATGCCATATAGGCGACAAGAACGGCTCGGTTTTTATATTCAAGGCAGCGCCGTACTTCCCGATCGACCTTCAGAATCATCTCTTTTATCACCGAATTCCTTTTGAAACCTCAACATAGTTCAAGGAAGTGGAAGACTCTCCGGAACCTGATTCACATGGGGCTTATTATTACGGCAGTGGCATTGTTCTGGGTTGGCGTGTTCAAAGGATTGACATTGGGATGGCACATATTGGCATATGGGGCAGCAGGCTGGTTAGGAAGTCTTCTTTTCATGTCTCTCCTCCAGTTCGCCTTATTTAGAATAGCGTATTGTCTCTCGTGTCTTGACTACTCGGACCATTTTGTCGTTGGCTTTATCGTTCCTTGTTGTGCCCGCAAGAGTGGAGAAAGTTCCCCAAGTCGCGTTATTAGGTGCGAATCATAGACGCCCATGGTAGTATTTGTAGCAAGCAGACTGAAGGAAGAGCGATGTGCCGAACTTTATCACGAGTTACTTCCAATCTAAGGTCACCTGGAGTAGCAAAGGAAGCTGACTTCGGGAAGGGGAGCCACGATAGTGAAAGTCCTGCCTACTCTCCCTAATACGTCATAAAAACAGATTGAAGACCCACGCAATCTCTGAACCTCTAATTCCTGCAAATCGCACTCAGCATATTCAAACTCGGGAACAAAACTTGGCCATAGTCCCCAAAATGGGTGACTGGAGGGCTGATTGGTGCCCACCGCACGGACCACTCGAGGCGTCAACTTTGGAGGGGTATGGCCGTGGATTGACACCAGCACTCCGCTTTTCAGAGCAATTCGTGGCGCAAAACATCATCGGCGCCATGGCAGATCCCATTGATAGCGCCCTGTACGTTATGCCCTCCTCCCCCGTCCCAAGCATCGTATTAGGACTGCTCGCTAATTCAGCTCAGCGACCTACTCCGCCGCCTCAACCCTAAAGACGTCAAATCAAACGTCGACCACCTCATCAGCCTGAACCCAGACCTCACCGAAGACCTGCTAGAATCCGTGGATATTCCGCTTACGGTCAAGAAATGCCCCAAGACAAAACGCGACTTTCTGTGCTGCGACTACAACCGCGATGGCGACAGCTGGCGGAGTCCGTGGAGCAACGAGTGGGTGCCGCCCGTTGACGAGGGGGAGGGTGTAGTACCTAGTGATCGGATCAGAAAAATGGAGATTAGGGCAAACGAGGCCTTTGATGTGTATCGGGAGCTGTGAGTGAGAGAGTTGTGCTTTGCGATTGATTGAGCTGCCTGGCACCTGAAGCATGGGCTGACGAGGGCAGATATTTCGAGGGCGGCATCTCAAGTGTCTACCTCTGGGATATGGACGACGGCTTCGCAGGCTGTATCCTGCTAAAGAAGGGTATGTACATTAAATCTGCCTGTGCTTCTCCCCCTGGCTCACTGACGCCTCGACAGCCGTCTCACCCAACCCCCAGTCCTCCGGCAGCTGGGACAGCATCCACGTCTTCGACGCCCAGGACCGCGCCCGCACCGCACACTACAAACTCACGTCCACCGTCATCCTCTCTCTCGGCACCGATTCGGACGCCCTTGGCGGCATGGACCTCTCGGGAAACATGGTACGTCAAGTGGAATCCGACATGGCTGTCGACGACGACACCTCACACGTCGCCAACATCGGCAAGATGGTCGAGGACATGGAGCTTAAGATGCGGAACCTGCTGCAAGAGGTGTACTTCGGCAAGGCAAAGGACGTGGTCGGCGACTTGAGAAGTATGGATATTCGGAAACGTCGTGGAAGAAGATTCTCGCTGACGGACTTCTTAGGTATCCCGCCACTCAGTCAGACGAATAGGGATAGGGCAACACAGAAGGAGATGATCAGTGGCATTTCTAGGTGACGGGAAGGATGCAACGATGGGACAAGGCGGAGAAGTTATGTCTACCAATATCAAATATACAGCCGTTTGGTGTCTTCCACTAGCCCAGACACCGTTCACGTCACCTGCTGGACTAGCCTACGACGGCCCAGTGGAAGCCCACACAGTTTCCTTGGCTCTGTCGCTATCAGATTGTCGCCTTTCTCTAGTGATAGAATTGCCTCAATGACGCTCTCCAGCCTTTTCTCCTTACTGATTTCGAACAATCTTAGGAGGCGAGATCCTTCCGTCTAATATAGGCGAGAGTGGTCGCAGTCGACTACTGATGGGCCTAATCGTAAGGTCTCTGCCTCCGACTACTTCGACGGTCTGATTTCCTGCTGTGATAATCATTCCTTCTTTCAGGTAAGTATCCGTTACGTTTTACACTTTCCTACTTCTTACACGTTTCTAGCTAAACAGAGTACTCCCAGTCCTGTTTTCCAAGTCGTCTTCCGAAAGGTTGTGGGGTTTCCCCTACCGGCAATATTCGTATAGAAGTCTCGGCAAGCTATCAATTCTCCGGGAGTTTCGTATATAACGTTGCACAATCTCCCGCATCCAGCCACCCTAATTCGACCAGATCTTGCAGCTTCTGGCGCCGATCATGCCGACAATCCGCACAGCCGCTATATTAACCAGGCCCAGTTGTCCGTCCTGATGATTGTCACATGGATCAAAGTGTAAGCACCAATGATAACGCTTTCCGGGTCCTCGTCAAAGTCTTTCTATATTTCAATATACTTGACCTACAGCCCTAATTTCAAAAGCGAGATGGTGGCAAGTTAAACCCAAGGATTCATATGCCCCTGCGCCGGATACGAGAGATCTCCAAACACTTGGTTTTTGGCCGTCCGCGGGGTTGCGCTTTTACGGCTGCCTATATTACCGTACGTTGCAGCCGCTGAATATAAGGTCATCATTAGCCCAATACGGACGCACTGCATCCGCGTTATGAGGGAGGCATTTTGCGGTGTTTCGACCCACTATTGATATAAGGACAAGTCCCTTCCCCTCCATGGATCTTGCTAGCCACTTCGTTACCTGATCAAGGCGAACTCCAATCGCGAGAAAGCGATCGACAGCATTTCCAACCGGATGGTGGGTCTGCAGTCCTTACCACAGCTCCGGGCTCCTCCCTGAACACTAGAAGGATGAGGCTCTTATGCCTTTATATCCTTTTCGGCTTCCTTCGTTGCTGTCTTGGTCTGTCAGGACATGGACACGCTACCTCGGGGATAGTCTCTCTCATTCCCAGTTCCACGCCAACACCCGATCCTAGTCGGTGGAGAAATAATCGTACACGGCAATCCACACATATCCACGAGTTCTTCAGCCTTTTTGGTTGGTTGAACCACAATGCAACTATCAAAGATGCCGACTTACCGGCTGCGATACGGAAGATTCAGAAGATTCTACATGAGCCTGAGACTGGTGAATATGATGACCGAATGGACACAGTTATGAGTCGACCTCGATGCGGCACCCCCAGCCCGTACAATGAGACAGATGCGAAGACCAATACAACAAAACACAGGAGATATGTTCTTTGGGGCCCAAAATGGGATCATACAGCGATTACATACCAGTTTATCAACTTTACCAAGGATATTGATCAGAGTACACAGAGGACGACTATCAGGTCAGTAATTCTCTTGAATGGGCTCACCTCTTATCAACCATTCTGGACCTCAAATCACATTGTGTCTCTTCGAAATCCTTCCAACCCCCTTTCCCCATATTTTGCACCTCTTCTCTATGTCATGCACACACTGACTACGTTGAAGCAATGCATTTGCATCCTGGGCCCAGCTACTACCAATCACCATCAAGGAAGCCCCTTCCAGTGCCCCTTCAGCCGATATCCACATTCGATGGGTCCCACTTGGCCCCAACGAGACCGTTTTCGCTGCAACCAGCATGATCGCCGACGGTACCTCTCTCTGGTCAGGTCTCGTCAATATCACATTTAACGATGATTATAACTGGAATGATGATCGTTTGTTTCGGTACACGGTATGATATCACCAATACTATATTCATATTTTCGCAGTTTAGCAGTACAGCCAGCAGCTAATGCAACCCTGCAGGTACTCCACGAAATTGGACACGCGCTCGGACTCTCCCATTCTAAAGTTGAAAACGCAGTAATGTTCCCATACTACGATGGTATGATCCATCCTTTACACCCTGACGATGAGGCTGCCGTTCATGTGCTTTACGGGTGGAAAACCCCCCGCTGGTCTAAAATCGATTCAAATTCAGGGACGAAGTTCATCGCGCAGGTTTCATCCAATACATCCACACCCGCAGCTCAAGATGGCCTTTACCAGTTACGCAGCACGGGACAGATTATGTGGTACAACCCCAGCGGATCTTGGGTAAGCGTTGGAAATGACAAGAATACTGTGCAAATAGCAGGCTCGGCTGGGAACCTCTACCAACGCCGTGCCGATGGCAGCGTGTATCGCTACACCGGAACCTCGTCCAACTGGCAGTCCATCGGCATCGCCTCCGACAACAACATCGATCTCGTAACTGCCGCCGACGCAGTCTACCTCCGGCGAAAAGACGGCTGGGTCGCGCGCTGGTCCGGGACAGGCACAACATGGAACACCATCGAACAACCCTCCATCTCTAAACAAATAGCCGTCACCGATAAAAAGACCCTCTGGAACCTGCTCATATCCGGAGACGTCGTGCGGTCCGAATATCCGTACAGCTCGGGGTGGGTCACCGTCGACCAAAACCCGTCTAATCTCGCAATCGCAGTCGGCGGCGAGGAGTTCTACAAATTGCAAACGGATGGGAAGATTGTGTGGTTAGATATGGATGCCTATTATTGGCGGACGATTGAGGATGGAAATGCGACGGATTTTTATGCCAGTGGAATGTATTTGTACAGTAGTCATGGTGATGGGAGTATTTGGCGGTATACAGGGACACCCATGGTTTGGGAACAGCTAGATAGTGCCAGGAATTCGGATTCCGTGGTTGGGGATAGGAGGGGGGAGGTTTGGGAGTTGTTGGGGACGGGAGATATTTTGAGGCTGGTGTCGTAACATATGTTGAGCATACAGTTCTTTATTCTGTATATGAATGCAAAAGTTTAGTTGCTTTAGAAGGATTGCTTGAGATTGTCGAGCTGGACTTAGGATTTCTCGCCAACCAATCCCGGCTCCTCACTTAATTCCGATAAACACCGGCAACGTCACCTCATCGAATTCTTCAGGGCTTGCCGCTACACGCACGTATTATTTGCATTGCCATCGACTTTCCGGGTCAACGACATGACTAAAGCACCCAAGACCTGCTTGTAGGGAGACACTGTATATGATTCGTTTATGTACCGAAATTCCAGATGGATTTTGGGTTCCCGTGGGTCCTGTTGAGGAGCGGAAAACAATCAGCGAACTATAGGCGGGCACATAAAAGACCTAGAGCTGTAAGTCAAGCTAAATATCTGGTTCTAGTGGGAAAGCCTCCCAAACTCTAACCAAGTCCAGATAAATCATCTTTACCGACCAGCCATATCACGGAGCCAGGGTACAGAACATGGAGACCTTAACATCTCCAGCATCTGTATCGAAGAGAAAGCAAGCATGTAGGAGCTGCCGGCAACGAAAAAAGAGATGTGACGTATGATGCTATAGCTCCTGATTTGTGCTGCAACTTTCTAACAATATTGTAGGCCGAGCGGCCTTCGTGCTCGCTGTGTCGCAAGTGGGGCATCCAGTGCGAATATGGTATAACCGCCTCAAGTTCCACTGACTTCCACATACCGGCTCTGGTTCCTGGGGATCCGCCCTTACCCCCGCCGGCGTTTCTAGCACAGTACGAGCATAACGATGGACTAGACTTCATGCAGTTTCCTAGGATAAACTTTGACTCACCTCTGGCAAGACTAGAAGATGTCAATGCCAATCAACAATCCGGTTACCCCACACCTACCTCAGTGCTGGACTCTTTAGCTAATGGGAATGAATCAAGCTTTGTGAAAGACTTTGTGCTACCTACTCCGATTCCAGAGGACACTGTTCTATTTGAGCTCATTGAGCTCTTTTTTGCCCACTTCCAGGACTCATTCCCTTGCTTCCACCGAATCACCATAATGGATGATCTCCGGACACGGAAATTGCAGACTGAAAGCCCCTTACTACTATATTCAATGTGCGCCATAGCCGCCCGGTGGCACTCTAATCCGGCTATAAAAGCCCTAGAACGCGACTGGTACCAGCAAGCAAAATTTTTTTATGAGCTTACTGAACGCTATCCAGAGCCTGGTCTTCGCACCCTCCAAGCAGTTATATGCCTGATCTTCCACGCCACTACTGTAGGGGACTTTTCAGCCGGGTATATATATCTTGGGAAAGCCTGGAGACAGGCTTGCGCGTTAGGCCTGAATCGCTTGGACGCAGAGGAGAACGGGACTTTTTTTGGGCCTCGTCCAGAACCAGAGACATGTCTTGAGAGGGAGGAAAGTAGGCGAGCTCTTTGGTTGCTGTTTATTGCGGATCGTGGCCAGTCATGGCCCACTGGATGGCCTCATGCAATTGATGACCGCCATTTTAAGATTGATCTGCCGATTGCGGAAGTAGATTTTCAGGCTATGACACTTCAGGTAAGGAAAATACTATCCAAAAGCTTTCTTTCAGGTTGTCTGTCTTCTAAGCAATCTTTCTTCCTTGAAGCTGGGCTCTCAAAAGCCTCAGAGGGATTTGCATGGCCAGAGGTCGAGGTTGTTTTGCCCGCAGCTTTCTGGCGAATTTTCTATAGGACTTTCCCCTATGTTCTTCGGCTGATATGTGATTAGAAAACCGACCAAACAAAGGGAACGCCCTTAACGCGCAATCTCGACACTCTCATCCGCTCGTGCTCAGCTCCTCACCCAGGCGACCCCCTTAACATGTTCCATTACCTAGTCGTCGCACACATCATGCTCGGCCGAACCGTCGAACAAGTCCATTCCCTTCATGACCCTCCCGACTCCCCCGAATATCTCCAACGCCTAAACCATCTCGACGACCAACTCATCAAATTCCGGCTCGGTCTCCCCCGGTCCGCTCTCTACATACTCGAAGCACCCGAAGAAGCTCGTGGTCATGTTATCTGGCTGAACACGGTCCTGAACACCATTACCATATTGTTGCATTATCGCTGTGCGAAGTTCACCACTGACGAAGAGACAAACGCACACTTCCTTCAAGTCGTCATCGCGGCCAGAAACACGGCGAATGTTGTCAAGGACACCTCGCGCATCAATATCGACCTTCTTCTCAACCCACACATTGTGGCGTTGTACTATCTCGCCGCTTGTGTCCTGCTTGTCCAGTGGCGACTGACCGGCGATGAGGCGCTCAAATCAGAGATGGATTTGTTGAGGTTGGTGTTTGAGAGGTGTCAGGAGGTGTTTGCATTTTTAGGACTTAAGTTCAAGTTGTCGTTACAACGGGATTTGGAAAAAGATTTAGAGGGTATTAAGGAGATGAGAATGATGGGGTTTAGAGGCTTGCTGGCGGATTGCTCGAAGTGGAAGTATATTAGAGAGGGATTGGCGGTGTTGTGTTGATGGGTACACGCTTTTAAGAGCATAGGCCAGAATCTGGGCCTGACGACAGACGAAACGAGTGACTGGAAGAATCGTTGACCACTATTCTCGTCTGAACCTTCTCTCGATATTATACCACGACAGGCAACCGTTAGCTCAAGGGACCAACTGATATATTTGATTAGATACACCGCATTCATGGACCAAGCGATTCGGCCTGTTTCCATCACCTAAAGACCAAGGGGGTTCCTCTTCCATATCTCTTCATCAACCCCCTTTGCAACATGGACGATGGTTAAAACACGATTCATTGAATCTACCAATTATCCAAGGCGCTCCGACCAATCCCTCAAGTACCTACCCCGAACCTCCGACCTGCTCTTCCTCCCACCAGCACACCCTATGCCTCTATGCCTTTCCCGTCCCATCCCTCCCCAATCCTACCCCTGGCCCTGCTAGATACCTCCCCCCATTTGTCGCCGCCACCGTCCCCGTCACAAAATCGTCTCTCATAAACCACGCATAACTCTCCGCGCAATCACTCGGCACCCCAATCGTACCTGTAAGCGTTTCCCTCTTCATAGCTTCGACCGCCACATCTCCCAACCTATCCACAATCTTCTGCAACAACTCTGTTTGAATCGCCCCAGGCTCCACCATATTCACTCTTATTGGCGCAATATCGACAGCGAGCCCGCGCATCATGCCCTCGGCGACTCCACCCCAGCACGCCGCGAGCGTCCAGCCGGGAAACGGCTTTTGGGTGTTGGTACCGCCAGTCAGGGTTAGGGAAGAGGAGGGGGAGATGGGCATGTAGACACCAGCGCTGAGGAGCTTGGCGATAAGGAGGGGGGCCAGGAAGCGGATTGTACCCATGGCAAGAGCGGCTGGGATGGTCATTTCGGCGATAGACGGCATGTTGGGGATGTTGCCCGCTGTAAACACAATATGATTAAGCTTCTGCTTGCCTCCGTCTGTCACTTTCTCGAATAAATCTTTTATGTTCGCTTCGAGGTTGTCCGTATCCAAGAGGTCCACCGCATGGCCTGATACTTGGGAACTGGGCAGGTTTGGGTATGCCTTTTGGAGGAGGGACACTTTAGAATCGACTTTAGGTTGCTGGGATCCTGAGATCATGACCGTAGCACCAGAGGAGAGACAGAGAGAGGCCACAGCGAAACCGATCCCGGATGTGCCTCCAAAGACTAGGATGCGCGTGTTGGCGAGTTTGTTTGGGTGAGCCATTGTAGTTTCAGGCTTTCTTATATCGAGGGAGGGAGGATGAGTGGAAATATACAGTGTGTGTAAGCAGTTAGGTTATGAATATGATTCTGGTTTCGGGGTTTCTTAAACAAGAGAACAGATCTGAAATGCTCAATTGTTGAATAGTGTAGGCATTTATCTTGGAACCTAAGTTTTGATTGTGGAAAACGGGCACGACAAACTCTCTTTTATATCCACGCCTATCCAACCATCCATTCCCTCTGTTCCAAACTCCGCAGCTCTCCTCCGCTACCTAGTTAGTCCATCTCTTGCGCGAAATCCGAGCCCGCCCGTCCCCGCTTACTCACGTCATTTCACTCATTTTACAATCCACTCCCCGCTGACAAGACCTGGTCGATCGCGGGAACGCTAATGTGCTGGCGGCGACGCTAATGCAAGAGCGGGGAGCACGGCCATGCATGCGCCACACTATACCACATCACACCACACCACTCCACACCACATCACGGCGGAGGATTTAAGTTCGGGGGATGATGGGATGTGGCCGGATTTGAAATACATTTATTTTTGATATGACTACACGGCATGGTACAGGATGCATTCTTACAGAGTGTGGTTTGTGAGGTGAGCGAGCCATGTAAAGGGATGAATGGAGAGGATGGGTGGGTGGCCGGGTGGAGTTGTGTTCGAGATGCTTGTGACCGACTTGAGTATAGGCCTCGTGTGGAATGCAGTTACTACGGACTATTTCGGACAGGACAGACAAGCTCTTGCGGCCTTGAAAGCTGTACTGGGCCCCAGGACGAATATTGACGGATTAAGCAAACCCAATAGGTGGTTCATGGTTGGAATTTGGTATTCCGTCATACTCAAGGTGGGATGCTGTACATGGATGGGTATGGCGAAATGAAGAGTAGGCGGTGGTTGGGATGATGAACAGACAGCTCGAACGGGCGAGTATGAGCAGATGTGCAATAGGTAACCTACTACACATGGTGCCCACACTCGCTACGTGATTTAGCTGGCTAACTCCAGAGCGTCGTGATACAATGCAGACAAGGCGGGTGTGTGCGAAGACCGTGGTAATGGAGAGTGTTCGCACTAAAGTGGAGATGTGCCGAGTCAAGAATCGAATCTTGGAATGGAGTGGAATCTTTGGGGCCACTCCCCCCATTTATTCACTCAAAGCGATGTGCGGAGGATTACATCCCGCTTCGTCTGCACATGTTGCATTGCTCAGATTCCTTGCGGCAGGTTTCAGCTTCTCCAAGGTTTGTCTGGCAACATCAATAGCTGCTTCCGGAAGACCTAGGTCAAGTCAATAACCTTCCAAATATGAATAACGAGCTGAGTAGAACTTACCAGCAACTCTCGCAACCTTCAGCGCATGAGAATGCCGATTAACGCCTTCCTTTAATCGATACACATACGAAAACGTCCCATCTACTTCTTCCGCTACATCATTACAATAACACCCTAATTTCTCGAACCCCCTCGTCATATCCGCTAGAGCATGGAAATGCGTAGCAAACAGAGTCCTAGACTTATTAACATGATACAAATGCCACAAACAAGCATACCCCACCGCAACCCCATCTTCCGGCGTCGTCCCCCTTCCAACCTCATCCATAATAACAAAACTCCTCGGTGTTGCGTCCTTGAGAATCTGCGCAGTTTCCAGCATCTCGACCATGAATGTGGATTGGTCTTGGTACAAGTTGTCGGCGGATCCGACGCGGCTGAAGATTTTGTCGACGAGTCCGATCTCGGCATATTCTGCGGGCACGAAGGAGCCGGTTTGGGCCAGGATGGAGATGAGTGCGTTTTGCCGGAGATAGGTGGACTTTCCAGCCATATTAGGGCCTGTAATGAGCCAGATGCGGGAGGAGGGGGAGAGGAAGCAGTTGTTAGTGGCGAATTTGCGGCCTTGGTGGGCTAGACTGGCTTCGACGACTGGGTGCCGGCCTCCCACAATATTGTGTGAGGTACCAGAGTTCAGGATAGGGCGTACAAAGGCTTTCTCGTATGCGAGGACGGCAAATGCACAAGCAACGTCGAGCTCATCCAGCACGGCTGCGTTTCGTCGGAGTTTTACAAGGTTCCGGACAACCTCTTCACGGAGTTCGCCTAGGACTTTCTGCTCTTCGTTGCGTATTCGGAATCTTGTTTCGTCGAGCTGGATGCCTAGTTGAGTCCATTTTGGCACTTGGAAGGAACGCGTGGATTTACTGCTGCTGAGGCTTTTTGGGTAACGCACGGTTACACGTCTGGCATCTTTGCCCTTGACGTGTGCGATATGTGCGAGGTTTGGTGTCCATTTCAGGGTCAAGCTGTCTGCACCTGATCGGCGTTAGATGGCATGGGATAGAAATGTGAGATTGCATACGTAGTTCCTTTTGCAGCTCTTTCTCGAGATACCCTTTCTTCTCGGTCATCTCATCCAACGTGGTATGTAACTGCTCCAGCTTCTCGCTCGCTCTAAACAAAGTCAGAGAGATTTTGTAAGCATAACAGGCGCGCACTTACGTTCGTTGGATGATCCAAATATCGTCTCTGCCATCAGTTGAGCTTTTGAAGCTAGGTTCAATCATACGACCCTTTTGCTGTTTGCGTTCCAGCATAAGCTTGAGCTCTTCTTCCTCACCCTCCTGTCTTAAAACATCTTGTGCATAGTCTACCATTTCAGCAGCCTTGTCATTCTCGGCACGATGTTTTTCCGATAATCCCTCTTCATCTATCGCGTCGTGAATTCGCTCAGCCAATTCCAACGGCTGTGTCAGTTCAAACCGTTTCTCTAGGGCTGACAAGCAATTGTGGCGGCGCTCCTTCGCTGCTGTGCGATCCGGGTCGATCGGAATAGCATTTCGATATGTGGAATGGTCGCGCAGAACGCCCGCAATCCTAGATGTGGCAAGAATTGTTTTCCAGAGTTCGACGAGGTCATCTGCATCTCCACGACCAACGGTGAACTTGGTGACGAGGCGGCGGGTATCGTAAGTTTGACCGAGCAGGGTCATGACTTCTTGTTGTAGTTGTGGATGCTCAATCATCTCTTCTACTAGGTCTAACCGGTCATTAATCGTAGATAAGGACATTGAAGGACTAGCTGTCTTTATGTTAGACATCAGACATAATGGAGGGTAAGAAGAAACCACATACCAAGCCTCTGCGAAAGCAGGCGTGTTCCACTCTTCGTAACGGTCTTCTTCAGTGAATGGAGCAAACTCCCTTCGTACGTACCATTTCGAATAGTACTCCTGATTTCAAGCGCCCGCAAACTGTTTCTATCGATGCTCATATGATCCTCAATCTGATGTCGCACTGGAGCTTGAAGCCTAGGCCTTGATCCGAGAAGCTGATGCTTCACGTAATGAAGTAATGAACCACCTGCGGCTACTTCACTTGGTTTGAAGCCAGATCTGTCAAAGTTATCAACTACATCCTCAAGCATTGGGATCCAGTCGGCTACTGTCAGAGGCTGTTCGGGCGGTTGTTGGAAAGTGATGATATGGCCGTCCTCCCGCAAGATGGAGACGATGCCGGAATGCTCCCCTTCCTCAAACACGTTGTCCAGTACAATCTCTCTTGGTTTGATGCGGGCAACGGCCGATGGCAAACATGCGATGTCTGTGTTCTGAGTCAAGAAGTCGCCACTAGATAAGTCGATCCAAGCAAGGCCTACTTCAGTGCTAGGAAGGTTGAGTACTGAAGCGACGCTTTGGTTGTCAGGACTCCCCTGCTGTGCACTTTCTTCTTTGAGTGCCTCAAGATTAATATAGATGCTAAGGAGGTAGTTGTTTTGCCATGGGTCCATGAAATGCTCGTCAATTAAGGTTCCTGGCGTGACGATGCGTGTGACTCGTCGAGTATAAGCAGGCTCGCCTTTTGCTTTCTTAGGTGCGTCATTCAGGAACTCTTCACTGATGGCGACGTGCTTGTTCAGATCTTGTACCAAGATCTTGAGGTAGCGATCCAACTGGTAGGAAGGAAAGCCGGCCTAAGAAATTAGGATAGATTATTAGACCTAGTATGGATGGGCTCACCATTGGAATAGCAGGCTTCTTGCTATTTTTTGATGGTTTTCGTCGTGTCAGCTTCAAATTCAATCGCGGGGCATAATCAAGAGCGTGCTCAAAGTATAGCTGAACAATCTTAGCGAGGTTGACTTGCCCTAAGAATCCATACCTCATAGAAACCTCCCACTCGTGTTAAGAGCACGCAATGGCTGAATTTGAGCATATTGTTGCGCACTTGTTGAATGAGCGGTGGATAGTCCGGCTCTTCGTCATCCTGAACCGGGAGTTTATCGCCGAGCTCAATGGTACCTTGAGGAATATCATCGAGACTAATTGTAGCCTTCTTCCTCGCCCCTCGAGTTTGACCCAAGGCAGACCATGTGGGGGTGAGAAGATGAGCAGCACGTGAGACTCGCCTCGGACGCGTCAAGCTTCGGAAAGGGAAAGCGAGATTCGTGCAACTTCGGCGATGCTGATGGTCGAGCTTTCGCAAAACATGGGCATTGAGAAATCGCAGTCCAGATTTGCTTGCGACACGGGGGAAGGGCATGACATGCGATGAAAAAGAAAGGGACATGGTTGATTGGGTGAGAGATTTGGGATGGGATGTTTCAGTGTTGCACGGGTAGCTATCCAGATACGGTTAGCCGTGGCGCGGAGACCCGTGGTGGTGGGGTACTGTTCCGCAGCTCAGAAAGAAACCTGTCTCGCCCAAGATTTTATTTCTGCGCAACAATCATGGCTCAACAGTTCGAGCCGATGAAGAATGACTTGATTCTCCGGACTGCAAGAGGTAAATTGCCTCTTTCGGTCTGTATCTTGCCTTCACAAACTGACCAATTGCGCAGGAGAGAAGGTCGAGCGTCCGCCAATGTGGGTGATGCGACAAGGTGAGTGAAGATGCCTTTTTCAAACAAAGAATTAACGGCTAAGAGGTCACTAGCTGGTAGATACCTCCCCGAGTACCACGAAGCCAAAGGAAATCATGACTTCTTCGAATGCTGCCGGTCGCCCGAGATTGCTTCAACCCTCACCCTGCAACCTATTGAACGGTTCGCGGGGCTCATTGATGCAGCCATAATTTTCTCCGACATCTTGGTCATACCACAAGCAATGGGGATGAAGGTTGTCATGGTTGACAAAAAGGGCCCGCACTTTCCGGAGCCCTTGCAGTCACCGGACGACAATCAATACAAAGAAATCATGCAGCGGAATGTTGACGTTCAGGAGTCGTTGGACTATGTGTATAAGGCCATCGCACTCACACGGCGGAAACTGCAAGGGAGGGTTCCCTTGATAGGATTCTGCGGCGCACCTTGGACGTTATTGAGCTACATGGTGGAAGGAGGCGGAAGCAAAATGTTCATTCAAGCAAAGACGTGGGTTTTCAAGTACCCAGAGGCAAGCAAGGCTCTGCTTCAGAAGATCGCAGAGATCTGTGTAGAGTACCTCGCGCTGCAGGTTCAAGCCGGCGCACAGGCAAGAGTCACTTGTCCAGTGGCCTACCAACCGTTAACCCTTCTAGATGATCCAAGTGTTTGACTCCTGGGCTGGAGAGCTTTCGCCATCGTCGTTCAAAGTTATAGCGCTTCCATATCTCGAGTACATCGCTGATCACTTACCCGGTAGGCTTCGGGAACTGGGCCTGGAAAGCGTACCCATGACCGTCTTCGCGAAAGGAGCTTGGTATGCACTTGAAGATTTGTGTGCGACGAATTACGATGTAATTGGCCTTGACTGGCTTCACGTCCCAGCAGAGGCATACAAGCTTGCACGCACCAAAGGAAAAGTGGTTCAAGGGAATGCGGATCCCGGCGTGCTCTACGGCGGAAGAGAAGCCATCACGGCAGTGGTTAAGGAGATGGTGGAGGGCTTCGGCGGAGGAAAGCAGGGGTGGATAGCCAATCTCGGTCATGGTATGTAGAGATATTGCCCCACCCCGCCAGTTGACTGACCTCTTCCAGGTATAACTCCCTTAGTGAAGCCTGATGATCTAAAATTCTTCTTTGAGGAAATACATAGATACACCTCTACGTGAACTGCCTTGTAGCAATAGAAAACCAAGCATACCAACCTCAATGGAGGAAGCACTATTCATTCCCCATCTTCACCAATGTCTTCATTCCTGCTGCACGTCAGCTGAGATCCAACCAGACAACATCCAGCTACGAACCAGTCTCCGGGCTTTTCTTTTATGAACTTCTTCATCAGCTCGTGGCACTTCTCGTTCTGTAGCACGACTACCTCAATGCCTCGCTGCTTCAGATAGTCCTCACCACCAACAAACGTACGGTTCTCGCCTTCGAAATATCAGCCTGCTGCAACAACGCTATACGTTTACTACTCTTCATACCAATGACAACACGCTTCACGCCATACATAATGCATGCGCCCGTGCACATATCACAAGGCGAGAGAGTGGTGTACATGGTGGCACCCTTATATGCCGCAGCCGGCAAGCGACCAGCATTCTCGATCGCACTTATTTCGGCCTTGCAGGGGGTTAGGATGGTAGCACAGAAGGGGCTGGAAGGCGGCGAAGGGCCTGGAGGACGGCAAAGGCGCTGTTTGATTACTCTTGGTGACTTACATGAAGTGTGGCACTGCTCTTCTGGATGCGCATGTTGTGGCCTTGCCCCAGCACCTTCCCATCCGCTGAGACCAAGGCAGCACCGATGGGGACGCCGCCCTCATCGCTACCTTTCTGGGCTTCTGCCAGCGCGGCCCTGAAGCCGGCGTCCGACTCCATGAAATACGATGGAGCAAGTGTATTTTGAGTATAAGAATCGATTCCCTAGATGGGTTGGGTGGGATCCGAAGATTCATTCACTGCGCTCGCCAATCGCGTCAAGGCCGACAGGGCTTTGCACCGATCCGTATGCAGGCCGTGATTGACGGAGGCGTGCAGCAGTCCTAGCGTGGTTCCATGGCTTTCCAGGACATGCACACCACGAAGGACCTTTCTATTCCCCGGACGCTTGCCCTCTGAATTTTCAAATCCTGCAGCTTGTCTGCTGTTTTGTCGTGTGCTGCTCACCGCATCTGCTGTTTGCGCAGAGGTTTCGCTGCTGGTTCTCCGCAAGCGCAAGGCTGCAGCTGCCCGTGGAAAGGCGTAGAATCCGACCGAACTTTCGCTCGGCCGCAGTCGATTTGGCAATATCCCGGTAACGCTTCTTAAACCCCAAATCTTTCTCGCACTCGACCTCGTCGTCCACCACCAAGAATCCCAAGTCGAGCGCCCAAATTCGACGTCTTGCGACCTGCCTTCTGCGACTACATTCCACGTCCCTGCAACGGTCACTGTCGACCCGCGAGCTTCGGTAGGCCAGAATCCCGTCAGCCTCCTCCGGCTACAATCACCCTCTGCGCTGCGCAAGCCCTTCCCAGCCGGGCTGTCCACTGAACGCCTCTTGTTGACGTATATAAGAAACACTGAATCCCACCCAACCGCGCCTTCTGCGAAAAAAAAATAAAAAATAAAAAGCTCTAGTCCCCAACATTTCCTGCTCCCGCCCCACCGACCCCTCCAACACCCGACAATCGTCTCCCCGTTGCGAAGATGGTAAAAGACACCAAATTTTACGACATCTTGGGTGTATGTAAATATCCGTCCCTTCTTTCACCATATCTTTGCTAATTAGGTTAGGTGCCTACAGACTGCTCTGAGGCACAGCTCAAATCTGCGTACAAAAAGGGCGCCCTGAAACACCATCCAGGTAGGTACAACAATTCCCCGTGCTGGCAGAATTCCATCTAACGCCTTGCAGACAAGAACGCACACAACCCCGACGCAGCAGAAAAGTTTAAAGACCTCTCACACGCCTACGAAGTCCTCTCAGATGCTCAGAAGCGCCAGATCTACGACCAGTATGGCGAAGAAGGGCTAGAGCAAGGAGGAATGGGCGGCGGTGGTATGGCCGCTGAGGATCTGTTCGCACAGTTCTTCGGCGGCGGCGGAGGCCCGTTTGGCGGCATGTTCGGCGGCGGCATGAGGGATACGGGACCAAAGAAGGCCCGGACAATCTCCCACGTTCACAAGGTGTCGCTCGAGGATATCTACAAGGGCAAGGTCTCAAAACTGGCTCTCCAGAAGTCTGTCATTTGCCCCAAGTGCGATGGCCGTGGCGGCAAGGAAGGCGCTGTCAAGAAATGTGCTGGCTGCGATGGCCGCGGCATGAAGCACATGATGCGCCAGATGGGTCCTATGATCCAGCGTTTCCAGACGGTTTGCCCCGACTGCCAGGGTGAGGGAGAGATCATCCGCGACCGCGACAGGTGCAAGCAGTGCAACGGCAAGAAGACCATCATCGAGCGTAAAGTCTTGCACGTCCACGTCGACCGCGGTGTCAAGAGTGGCCACAAGATCGAGTTCCGAGGTGAGGGAGACCAGCTACCAGGCGTTGAGCCCGGTGACGTTATCTTTGAAATCGAGCAGAAGCCCCATCCTCGATTCCAGCGGAAGGACGACGATCTCTTCTACCACGCCGAAATCGACCTCCTAACCGCCCTTGCCGGTGGCCAGATTCACATCGAGCACCTTGACGAGCGGTGGCTGACCGTCGCTGTCATTCCTGGCGAATGCATCAGCCCAGGTAAGAACGCCTTCCTCTCACACAGCCCGACTCCAAGCTAACAATGTTCAGGCGAAGTCAAAGTCATCCGCGAGCAAGGTATGCCCTCCTACCGCCACCACGATTTCGGTAACCTCTACATCCAATTCGACGTCAAGTTTCCAGATAGTCTCAGCGGCCCGGACGGCGGCCCCATGACTCCCGAACAGATCCGCGCTCTTGAGAGCGTTCTCCCTGGACGGCAGGTCCCGGCTTCCCTTCCGCCGTCTGATGCGATGACCGAGGACTTTACGCTCGATAATGTGGATCCAGCGAGAGAGCAGGCGAGGGCGAGGGGAATGGCGGGCATGGAGGATGATGATGATGATATGCATCCTGGAGCGGAGAGGGTACAGTGTGCTTCGCAATAAGCGTGGAATGGGTGTAATGAGGGTATGGTTGGATGAGCTATGAATGAAGCGGAGGAAAATGGAATACATGGATGACCTGCATGACGGTCGGATGGGGTGGACATGTCGAGGCAATGATAGATCGAGCGAGATTCACAGTGTCACGGTTTGGCTGGCTTCGGTTGGCTTTGGCTCCGACTTTGCATGAATGTGGAGGGAAGGAAGTCAGGCAGACCATAACCTGCTGCAGCTCCCACCACACACTGTGCATGCTCCTGACAGGAGTTTGTATGCACCCATTACTGCATTTTCTTTGCGTCTCAGTTCTTTTCTTTTCTTCACTTGCGTTAGACGGAAGGTGGGATTGCGCTGGGTCTTATTCCTTTCTTCTATTTCGAGCTTCTCAATGTCAGTGGGCTTACTCGAGCCTATCTCGAGTCGGGTAGCATGATTGCATTTTCAACTTCGCTTTCGTGCGGCTGCGAGTGTGAGTTTGAGTTTGAGTGTCTACGTTGATGGTTGATGGCTGACGGCTGACGGCTGATAGCATTTCTGAAGAGGGCCCTAGATGAACGGGTATGTCGGTCTGTCGGCCTACGAGTCTATCTATGGGTCCGTAGAAAATGAAGTCATGGAGTCCAGATGTGTAGTTGCTTGTGTACCTTGAAGATGTTTAATTTGCCCGCGATAACCATGGCTTGACGAGATAACTACTTGGTAACCTGAACTAGGTAGGGAGCCTAACAAAGTCTAACTTACGTCGTTACCGGGTAACAAGTGATGAGGTGGGATTTTCTGGCGGTAAATGAAGCCTCAGTCCCTCCCTTACTCTTGCTTCATCTCTACAAGTGGTGAAATATTTCTCCCAAAGAGTATAAGAGAGTATACAGTTCGTCTTGTTCGAGGCGATTCAATATCTCCTACTGTGTACTACATGTGCAATACGGACTTGAAAGCAGGCTAGAAAAAAAAAATTACGACCATTACAATCACCGTCACCATCCCCAACATAGCGTTAGATTAAATGGGGTTACCTGGTAGCCTGACTTGTGAATAGGATTTCTGCAATCTCTGGAACGATATAAAGCCGATCCCAGTTCTTACTTCCTCCTGTGTTCTTGCTGATGGAGCTGGTAAACCACGTAGGAGTTTCTCATACTAGGGTCTCCGATCTCGAACGTGCATTATCCATTGCCACTTTTTCTTATAAAGGGATGATCGATGGGGATTTCATAGGGGCTGCTTCGGTGAGAATTTATCCCGGTACGTTTATTCGCCGGTCCAGAAATGATTCGAAAAATGGGTTCTCAGTACCACATTTCCTTGTCAAGACACGATCTCGAGATGAGCGACATAGTTCAGCAGCAATGGGTATTAAGATCACCCTCGGTGCTCCAATTTCATTGCGGAAGAGAGACCGAAGGAGTAGTATCACCGAGTATGAACGGTTTCAGGCCGACGTGGAGCCAAGACATGTGAAATGAATTGCAGACCCAGGAGCTGTGGAAGCAGAGAAGAGAATTTGTAGATAAGAAATGTTAGTTGGATAGCTCACAGAGGAAGGCTAGGGAGCGTACCTTTTATATCGAGTTCAATATGGACCACTTGGTCTATCGAAAGGCTGCACTGGCGACCCCTGGAACATCGGAACTAGTGTAACATGCTTTGGCGTATGGAGAGATGTACCGACACTTTCCCACTTATTGCCATACCTCGTATCCCTTCGTTTTTAGCTTCTTACTCCGCAAGCATCCTAAGGTATGTGAAGTAGAATATTAAAGACAAAGATTCTATCAACGTACCCTATAGTCGGGAAACGGACTAAACATATCGTAATTATCGGTTCAAGTCCAAAGGACGCGTAAGAGGAATTGGGAGAACAAAAATTGTGTGCCACCCTAGCTGGATACTACGCTAACCTCTTCCTTTTGAACCCTAGAATCCAACCTAATCGGCGATCGTAGCATGAGGTTTCCAGCAGCCTCATATCTCTATACTCCAGCAGACTAGTCATAATGTGTTCATATTTGATAGTGTCGTGCTTTTGCATGTGCGCATTACCATTTCTTACGACTTATTCGTCCTCTTCATCCGAGAGAGTATCTCCATAGAGCACATCGGGGCCATTATTTATATTTCCATCGGATTCGCACGTGGAAATAATCCTTTTACCAAGACCACATACTACTTGAACTTCTGGAAGCCTCTTAGTGAGTTGCTTTTCCAGGTTAGCATCGGGGTGTGCCCAAGGACTCCTATACGGATCTTCAAAGCCAAACAAATGAATCGTTCGAAGGGCAGGCCATGGCTCGTCTTCTAAGAGTATCGGAAGGATTAATTCTACAAAGCGGTCGTAGCCCAAGTCGTGAGAGTACTGGGTCATGTATTCATCATTGTTGGTACCGTCAGGTGCTGTCTCGTCGGCTACTAGTCGCTGGTCTAGAATGAGATGGACTAAGGTGTTCCGACATGCACGGAGAAGGCCGATCCATTCGTTGAATAACTGCCTCTCCGCCTTAGGAGAAAGGACTTTGTCGAATCTGTCGCTCTCGTCCTCAACATCGGATGGTTTGCAGAGGTAAAGCTGAGTGAGGGATGTAAACTGGGACATCATAGAAGGCGTTAGGCATGGAAAAGGGCGTGGCCAGACATATCCAATTTCGAGAGGGGGTTCTTCTTCCAGACTAGGAGTGTCCTCCAAAGGCTGATCAGCCTCTCTGTCTTCTGGCGAGAACCGTTCACTAAATTCCATCGCCTGATGTTCAACATCGCATTCGTAGTCGTTGGTGGCACGTTCTAGGAGCAAGCTGCTTCTTCCATTGGCCGAGATGTCTCCAATTGGTTCGTCAAGCAAGGCGAGTTGGAGGCTTGTAATACTTGACGCATTCTCACACATATAGTGTACGAATTCTCGCGGAACGAATCCTCTGAGCTTTAGCGTACGCAGCTTAGCCATCTCATGTGCTGGACGCTCAAAACGGATCGTCGTGGTCCAACTAGGAGACTGCCAGAATGCAGATACTTCCAGATACTCCACATTCTTGAACAGGGCCAGTGCGTTCCAAAGATCTCTTTTATTGTCCCATTCATAGACAATGTCAGGCGCATACAAGTGAGAGTTGACGTCTACACAAAGCCAGCGAACCAATCCCGCTAAATAAGCCGCTCTATTCTTATCCTTCATTGAGAAACTTTGAAAGATATCAAAGAATGCAGCGCTCTTCCCTCCATACTGCTCGGCCACGCGTTCCCAATATGTGTAGGTTTTGCGAGTGGGTGGCCCTGGTGGTAGGAGGTGATATGGCCTCTGCAATGCGCCCTCCTCCTCCTTAAATTCTTTCTGTGCGTATCTTTCGTGAAATTCTGGGAAATGAAGCTCGATCTTTTTCCAAAGGATTGGTTCGATGATCCCCGCATATCGTCGTGACACGCGCATTAGCTGGCTAAGATCATGATGACGAAGGAAATTTAGGATTTGCAGAAAGATTTCAGTGGGGAGAACCTCAACGAACGATGGCATGATGTGTGTCAAGCTATGAGAAATGTGTATGAGAAGTGTGATTGAGGTGAAGAAGGAGTAATTTGACTGGACGCCTAGCCGCCAAGCTAGACACGTGATGACTTCCCTACCTACAGTATTTAAGCACCGGTGGGATCTGAAATCTTACCAAAGCAATTTCATAGGTAACCACCCAAACCCGAAGAATGAAGCTTCCATGGTTTTTTCCTTCTAAAATACATTTTGGTATATCTGATTTTCAGACCATCTCTCGTGCAAGCTCTCTGCGAACCCAATTTCGCCCACATCTACTCCTGATCTGATGAAATGGGATGGATCATTCCTTATCTGACGAAATTCGGCTCTAATTAGGCCCTCAGGAGTTTTCTCCTTGTATTCTAGGCTCGACTCTATTTGACTGATCGATAATGTTATTCTCGCCCCTCTCGTAGTGCCTCCAGCCGGTCGTGGACGGCAGTATCTCTAGCATAGGTCCCGACATACGTGTCTTCTCTAAATAGTCCCCACATGGTTTAATCTTCGCAACTTGATTATGCTCTCGGAATAAATTTATATGTGCGTTGATAGAGCTTACTTTACGGACTCGTATATTGTCCGCCTTTGGCTTTCTTGCCTATCATGATGCCTTCACAGACAATGGGACTTATTCCATCTTTCTTTCCTCCGAAAGGAGTACAGCAGATGTTGCAGGTCTTTGCCTGCTCGAGAACCCTTGTCAGCGGGATTGTGGTCGACTATTTGTCAGCAGGTGCCACAAAATCTAGAGCACTTTCCGGCATTCTTCTTCCCTTCGGAGTCCTTGGTAGCGCATGGAGCAACATGAATAGTCTCAGCTTATTTCAACCTAACATAACCTCCTCCTAGTGGATGAGGTGTTCGATCCTAGAAAGATGTCGGTAAGTCTCCTGTTTCGACGCCCCCAAGCAGGAATGCGAGACCGGAGTCCAATAAACGAAGTATTGTAAAGAAGGCATTGATCGGGTAATTTCGAGAGAAACTAAGGCCAGTTGGAAGTAGAGTCGCTCACAAGTAATTCTCTTTGAGATTATTAGTAGGTGAGATGAGTTAGAATGAAATTTGTTTTAAAAGAATATGTGGCAGTACCATGAGGTTGTGGTGGTATTGCGTTAATAAAAACCGGTTCTGAAGGGGAGGTTGTAGTTGAACCAAAGGATGGTAGAAGTTCTGTGCAATATAACTAATAACGACTCGACTGAGAGGGATTTATCTCTTACTCTCCATCAGTCTGACTAGCTTCTTTGAACAGGGCCATCAATTGTGTTCCTAGGTAATTCCATAATTCAATCAATCTTCGCTCGAGGTTGTCTTATCCTGTTGTGCGCCTCGTTGTATTTCTGGAATGCCAACATGAACCATGAGCACCCTGGTGGGATGCGACTCAAGTTACCGCCTGCTATTCTGGTCCCTAGTTTTCTGGTCCCTAATTTCGACTCGATTTATATCTAAGTCTTATGCGAGGCGAGCGCAAACGAGCTTCGAGTAGATTCACAATCGTGAAGGGAGTGTTCTAACCCTTCGCATGCAGCCCAAGAAGTAAGCTCACAACTTCATGAAAGCTTAGGAACACATACACACTCGTAGTCGTGTAACCAACAACCTCTCATATTCACTTCTCGGACTTCAGTCAGCTCCTCTCGCCACGTTCCAGATTCAGACTTCCGAAATTGGTTACGCGCGTCACAAGCCAGGGTCGCAACTCCGACCCCGAGGATCCCTACGAGCCACACACTTATGCAGCAAATGCACTCTCGGGCCGAAACAAAGCAGCGCAGCCTCAGTGGGAAAAAGCCCTTGACGTTATCGTCTATGCACCGGGTATATTGAAGATACATTACACAAAGAATCCAGAACTGCCCTAAATTAGGCCAACTTTTATAGACACTGGTAATAGTACGGCGGCGATACCCCCTTGCACTGGTACGGCGACTAGATTGGGAAACCCCGATTAGCGAGGTTTGGCCGGGAGCAGAAAGGTAGCAACGGGAGGGGCTAAATGAGAGGATACGTACTGCGCAAACCGTACAACCCTTCCAGTCCTGTCCACCGCACTGATCCCAGTGCTTTTGCTGGCAGCCACCACCGCCCGGATTCGCTGGTGTGGTTGTTGGTGGCCTCTGAGTGGACGTCTTGGTCGAACTTGGAGGTTTTGATTTCGTGGTAGGTGGTTCTGGTGTTGAAGATGGAGTGGTTACTAAAGTCGAGGATGGCACTGTTGTAGGCGATGAGCTTGTGCGACGGGTTGAAGAAGTTGAGGACCGACGGTTTGTAGTTGGGCCAGATACAGGCCTTGATGTACTCTTCGGAGGTCGGGTTCCGCCCTTTGTGGGGGTGTCCGCCTGGCTACCATCGCAGTAAAGTGTCAATCCATCCAAGGACTTATTCTTCATAACAGTACTCATACCCGTGGTTCCAGCTGAGGTGCAGGCAGTCCGCTTGTCATTGTCTGAGACAGGGTTCATTTTAGGGGGATATTCGATATGGAACACAGGTTTGTTCGAATTGAGAAACTCGTTGTAGGCAGAGCATTCTGCCCTAGCTGCACACTCCTCGTTCACCGCGAAATCTATGATCGGAGCCACAGTCGAAAGAATATCAAGGCTATTTTTGAGGCCAATATTCATGTTATAGTACGAAGCGTTCTTTTGCAGGAATTGCATGAAGCTGATGGCGTCGGCTTTCTGGAGGTTTAAGCCGTTATCGTTTTGCTAAGAGCCGTCAGCACATCCAGCATATTTGCGTTAGCACTACATGAAGTGTGCGACTCATCGAATTGAGACACAGCAGTGCTTTCAAACCGCAAACTTCTCAGGTAAAATAGGGATCTTACGTAGCCATCTATAAACACAGTCAGTTATCGCTTCCTAAGAAACTTGACATCGACAACGAAGCTGCCCAAATCGGAACCGCTTTCGAAAGAAAAAAAAAACATACCTATATTATCTGGGTCCAAAGCATCGCACCCTTTGTCGGAAGCCATCTTGATTCTTCTCGCCATAACATCTCTAACTTTGGAGCTACCCGTCCGTATCCATTTCTCATTCGGCCACTCTGGAAGTATTTTTCCTTGGTCATTTGTCGGGAAGTCTTTCGCGTCGTCCCTCCAGTCCTCCACCGTGCCGGCGCTGAAATAGCAAATTACCGTCTTCCCTTGAGCTTTCAAAGCTGTGATGGTGGTGGCATCATTGTCGAAAAGGTCGACATCAAATACTGGAGCATCCGTGGGTGGAAGTGGACTCTTCGACATATCCGGCGTGCCAGTAAGGATGATCTGCCATTTTTGCCCCCGAGTGAAGAGAGTGGTTTGCGCGAAGGATGTACTAGCAAACAACCAAGCCCACAGAAGCCATGACAACATGTTGGCGAGATACCCTCTTATGCCAGCGAGTGATCAAAAGAGCGAGGTGGGAGTGTGGTATCCCAGAAAATGAGAGAAGAAAGGTTTTGTGAGTGCGGAGCAAGAGCCATGCGGCGAAAACCGGGGTACCACCAGATCTTTAAGAAATGACATTTTGAGCATATAAGAGATGGCCAGCTAATGAACACGGTAAGAGACGCTTTGGTTTACGTATAGTAGTCGACGGAGTGCATTGCGGAGATATTAACCGTCTTGAAACGTCGAGATCTTAGGGGTGCTCGCCCAGGCGCATATATCCATGAAAATTGTTTCTTCCCACCCAAGCCAATCATATTGACTTAGTTTAATGTAATGAATGTATGGTCACACCCGGGCCTCATTGCGATGCTATGTGGCACGGCCAATAAATGCCAGTGCAACAGCCACAGCACGTCACCGGACCGTCCGAGAAGATGGCGGGCCAGTAGGTTGAAATTTAGTTCGGTGCCACCATATGTGAGGCAGATTCGCAATGAGGCTTTGCAATACCCTGGCAGTCATGGTGTGACTTCTAGAAGATGAAGTCGTTCCTGGAAGAAAATCTCTACATGAACTAACGCCAGATGTGCATGTTCGGCAGATTGTTGCATTGCGGGGAAAAGCTTGTCTGTGCAGCCTTCAAGGTCTCCATCAAGGATTATTAGCGGGAGATCGACTGCTGGTGGTGCTTGATGAGAACGGTCTGGACGGCGGCTAAATGAATCGAGTAATCTCGAGAAATCCACATAAACGAGGCGCTTTGACAAATACCATATTTGTCGAGGAATGTTGAGAAAATTTTTGATGAACTTCGAGAGAGGGTGCCTTCGGACATTTTGCGTCGCCGGCACTGTTGCGACTAGGGTAATACTCCACCAATTAGCCAAGCTTCAAATGGCAACACCCTAACGGTGGATGGAAGAAGAAGGTCGAATTCAACGGACATGCTACCGATCCCGGGGTTGCATACCTTCTCTCTAGATCGTGAGTCCTGAGAATGCTGGATTGAAGCTTATGTATCTATTCTGTGTTCATCGATTGCGATCTTCTATTTGCAGGACGTCTACACACCACCACGTTTTTAATCTCTTGAACTAAGGGCAAACCGGGCTCTATCAGATCAGCTTCCCCGGTTCCAGAGATGCCTTATCTCGTTGAGTGAACTAAGGATAAGGATAGCACTGGTTTGCCCTTCCCTGGATTCCATCGAATTCGCGCGGTCACGATCGAACCCTTGGTGAGGCGTTGTTGGCAGGCACAAGAGTTGGGGTAAGGAGCGCCTTTGTCAAGCAAGTCGCTTCGCGGAATAGGCTATTCGTGTTGATGAAGCCAGTGCCGCGCAATATACTTGTATCTTGAGCGGACTGGAAAGCTAGCCTTGTTCGAGGGTGAATGTTGAGAAGGTACATAAAGGAGAGGTTGTCTAGAAGAGGAGATCGCTCCGGTGGGCGTTTTTCGCGGGCTTGACGAAAGTGGAAGCGTAAGCACTCACTTCTATTGGGTGTTGGAGGATACGTACATCGGACCCACCCATTCTCTGTCGAGCATGTAGCTCTTGGTCATGGTGCAGATATGAATACGACTTCCATAGAGCTCATCTCGGATTTAGCATAATGCTCAATCGAGCCCACCGGGTAGGGACGTTTTCGGGTAGGACTTGAGATAGAAATTTGCTCCTCCTTCCTAAATGGTGTCATAGCATCCAGATTAGGACATCTCAAGATTGTGGATACTCCTTTGTGGAACTTCGATGGGGCCATTGCAGTGACCAATATGCACTAGGGTTCAGTGCTGCCGCTGGAGTATTAGAACCTAGAGTGGCGAAGCTGGGAGGTAAATCTTGACGCGTCCCACTCAACGACGGTTGATGTACTTGCCAAATTTTCCGTCCTCGAGCAATCGCAGCTGTTCGCTGTCTATAGCACTTGGGCCACTTCATGTTTGCACTACTATACCACGTTGACGGTATCTGTACGTTGTGAGCATTCTCACAAATTTCGAGCGAGTGCAAATCTTACTGCCATGATGTCTGGAGGCGAAGAAATCCTGCAACACCCAATCCACACCCTCTAGTGGCGCGGCAAATGCGAGAAGTGCGAGAACTAGAGACAAATCTCCGATGAGCCCGCCGTGGGTCATATTAGCAGCACCACGATTGAAGGTATTATGCTTTGGTCAATTGCCACGTCCAGAAATTGATTCAGGGTATAGAGTAAACTGGACTGGGTTCCGGGTATTTGCCCCGCCAGGCTTTCGTATCCTGACTCGATATCCTTCCAAAGAGCCATAGCGCCCTGGAAAGCAGAACTCGTGCCATTCTGAAGCATGAGACTTGCTATGTCCATAGCCCCAGTGAGCAATGTTTTCAGAAGGGCCAAGTTGAGCGCTACGGGGTCCAAAGTTCGACAGTTTACCAGAATCTGTGCAGCAAGAGTCATATCTTTTTCATCACACACCATACTCAGTACCTCCTTAGCTGTTTCTCCGCTTTGATTTCTACCCCAGATTGAAGAAGGAGAAACACCACAGGGTAAGAGCGGGATGTAAACGCAGCATTAATAACTGTTCCCTACGTTGAGACCCTGGAATTGGGATAAACTTCACCCTGGAGTAGTGATTAGATACGCTCACAATTGCTTGAGAAGGCTGCGAGATCGAGATCTGGAGCCGTTCTCATTTGTTCTCTTTGGACCATAGTTGATTCGGAATTGACTAAATGGGGACTTCTAGAAGGATTTCTCTCTACAGAACCAGGAATCGGTACCTTTTCCTTAATAACTGGCGATGTAACCCGGATGCTTCGTAAAATAATCTTTAACACATGGGAAGCCATGTGATCCATGAATGTCGCTGGCGTCACAAAGGTGCCGAAAGCGAGCTCGTTAGATTTAACCCCTGGGGTACAGAAAGGGCAATTAGTCGTCCGCAAGCGTGTAAGAGATCTGCGACCGGTGAAGAATGAGGAAGACCTATCGAAATTAGAGATTTTATCGGCATGTTCAGACCGAAGGTGATCCACATACTGATCAAAATGCAGATCTACTCGATCTACAACAAACGGACAAGGGAAGTATACGTAGTGGCGCTGCTAATAATTGTAAGAATCGAAAATTTTCGACATATGTCAGAAGGGCTAGGCGCTTGGAGGCATATTCGAAGAGATTACAAGCTCTGCGGGAATGGGTTTATGCATCGCCGCCTAGTATTCAAACAAAAACCCCACCCTCCTTTGCGGCCGATCATTGATGCTACGGCAAGAGTCAATGGCCTTATTGCAGATCCTGGGGGTAAGGGCTGGTCCGATAAAGACATATACCCAGCACTCGAAAGTCGTTTGGGCGATTTTTTAAACTCCAGTATCAGTGCAATTGAGAAGATAACGCAGATTTTCAACACGTTGAAGGAGGAGCTAACATACAACAGAGCATCTGTTCAGGCCAGCGTAGCTTGGGGTAAAGCGAGTATCTCTGTCTAAATGTCAATTCATGGCTTCAATTAAAACAGAACTGAGGGAGGGGGGGAAAAGAGGGGGGGGGGTGTCTGTGGGACAACCCCAAACCCTCCCGAATCGAGTTCGAAATATACCGGGCGAAATTCGCACCCGGAGGTCTGAAAGAGAAAGATTGTTCAAGGACTTCCAAAACTACAACGACCGCCTAAGAGTCCCCTTGAAGAATAGTGATGATATCGGGGCATTGAATTTTCTCTTACCAGTGTCGGCTGAGTTTGTGAGGGCGGAAGCAATCATGGCAGGAGCCTCTATAAGGGCAACTCGTCTCTTCGCTGCCATCGCTAAGTCGTGGCAATGTCCATGTCAGCCGCACCACCTTTCGAACTTGTTCCTGGAGAATCGTACATTAAACGTGGATTTTAACCTGATATTCCACTTTTTAGAAATTGGTCTAAAACTACAGGGTCATATTTTCGTGAATGAGCTTCGCAACAGGTTTGTTCCCCGGATGTTGCTGCCAACCTTTGTCGGGAGCACATTGGAAACTCTGCACAGCCATCTCAGGTATCTTCCGGTGATCTATGCAAGGGCCTGGCATACCACTGTACCCTCAGTTGCTGAGGAGCTTGGGATGAAGGGGGACCTTTATCATCTACACAAGTCTACCAGGCAGCAGGGTATTGACCTTCATGCAGTTGCTTCGCTGAATGAGGTATTTTCAGCAAACTGCAGGTTGTCAGTGGGCTCCTGTAGACTATATTGGATCGCAATGGCCATCGCTTCCTCCGTTGCACAATTCTAATTTACGCCATGGCTGCGAGAAAATATGTCGAAGCATGATATCTTTTATCTAGAGGCACTCGGGTCGACTTTACGTTCAAAGCACCTTTCATACGGCGATATTTCCCAATAGGCTGCGAATCCGACAATAATACTGGTCCGGCAAGCTGCAATTTCTACCCCAGGGAAATCTCCTCATGGAGCTCTGTGTGGGTCAGAGGCTTGAAAACCACGATATCCGGAAGAGATTGTCACTTGGAGAGGATGCTACAACCAAGTTGAGTCTGCACTTGTTGGCAGCTATGGAGATACGTTGAAGCGTTAAGGCCATATTTGGCAACGGCTATGTAATGGCTGTGAAGTGGCGTTTTCCCGTGGCAATCGGGTCTGCACGATCGGAAAGCTAGAGAGTCGAGTTCGGGAAGAATGTAGTATGCCCATTACAAAGTTGTCAAGAACATGGCAAGGCCTTCGGAAATTTGATATGACGAAAATATAGCTGCAGATGAGCGACTGGCGCAATATTCGGCGCCCAGGGACATGAGACCTGGCATAATGGCAGGTGCTCGACGTAGGTTAAACCGTAAGAGTCATATCCTAGTAGTCTAAGTAAAGCTTCCGTGTAGCAGCGCTCATATCTACATGCTAATCCACCTCGCCATCCAAGTTTGCGTAATCTCCCTCGCCTCATCCACCAACCCCATATCTAACAACAACTGCGAAGTTCCCCTGACCGCGCTCTCTAACGCACTCCAAATCCAAGCATGTGTGAAGCTCGTATGCTCTCCCACAAACACGGTATGCCTCTCCGTGTGATAATAGGCTGGAAGATATAGCTCTTGCTGCCCTAGCATAGGCGAACACCACGCCCCAGCCTGGAATTCGTTGTTCTCCCAGCAGATGCGATCATACGCGCCTGTGAACTGATCTTTAGCAACGGTACCGAAGGCCTCTATCATGGCACGCTGCGCCAGTGCGACGTGCTCGGTTTCGGTCATAGAGCCTAATGTGCGGGCTGGAGTGCCAGAGGAGTAGGATGCAAGGAGCACCCCGGGTCCGGAGAAGTTGATTTTGTAAGAGGGGAAGCAGACAGAGCCGATGCCGGGGATGTTTGTGCTGCCGCAGCCGCCGAGGATTGGGCGGTCGAGATGCTCCCAGAATCGGGTTTTGTAGTGGAGTGCGACTTTGCAGGATTGCTCGTAGTTGAGTGTGTTGATTGCCCGAGTGAGGAGTGAGGTATAGGTTGGAAGTCTCCAGAGTCGGACTTTGGAGAAGGGTACGGCCACGATTGTGTAGTCGAAGTCCATGGACGCTGTTTCCATGCTAAATGGATTGCCTGGTCGCCATTTTACGGTCATCTTTTCGGTGCTGGTATTCCAAGACATTTCTTGCACTTTGGTTTGAAACATCGTTCGATTAAGTACTAGAGGACCAAAGGCCCGAGGAAGTCTGGTAAGACCTTGATCAATTGTCCTCCATGTTGTAGCTGAGAAGTATACAGTCTCGTACTCCCACGACGGGTACACATCAGAAGTAGAGTCAACCAGATCGGTAACGTTCAAGTCGGTATTAAGAACGTAGCGAAGATACGCGGACTCTGAGAAGTTGAAATTTCCTGCCGCAACAGCAGCCTTGTGTGCTTTGAAGACGTTCGAGGCCATAGATTTAATTTTCTTGGTGTCCAGATCGATCCATTCCTCGAAAGCAGCTGAAGCTTCTTCTACAGCTGTCGCATTAACATAAGTGGCTGTGACATTGTCCCTTAGGCTGGGGCTTGCTGCTACTTCTGCAGCACCTGGGATAGTGCCATCTGCTCGTCGCTTTGATGTTGACACAGGTTGGTTCTTGCTGCTCTGAATCCACGGGATGAAGTTAACGGCGTAGTCCGGATCATGTAGGTTCATCCTGTTCAAGGCATCAGCCAGCTGGAACACCATTCGATGATCAAGTATCTGGATCGTTTCATTCGTATCAGGATCGGTTATGCTGACAGGAAAACGCATTGGACCCATTTCTTGGTACTGATAATCACTCGATTTTGAGCCATTCAGGTATGTGGTGTGAACACGACCTCCAATGCGTCCAGATGCCTCCAAAATCTTCCAATCGTGGATTCCAGCCGAATCGAGTAAGTACTGAAAGGCAGGTTAGCTCTAAATGCAAACTCATCTGATTTGGCTTACAGCGCTCATCAACCCAGACATTCCGCCCCCTATAATCCCAATAAGCTTCGATTTTGCACTAGAAACGAAGACGTGATCCGGCTCTTTTTCTTGAAGATAGGCCACACCATCGAACCACGGGCCCATGGCATCCGCAATATCTGCGAACGCCGTTGATCGCCGTTCCATTGGCTTCCTAACGGTGACAGGTGTGGAGCGACCAACCAATTCATCTCCAATAAATGCGTGCAGACATCCAGCATCAGGAGTGTCTACTAGAGGTAACCATACGAATTTGGTAGGCCGCCGATCGTCCCAATTCACGTGCCTCTTCGCCAACGGGTGGTCGCCAATGTGGGTTTCCCCAAGACAATGATGGGCCTCCTCTTTTGCCTTCAAATTGCATGAGCCATAGTGGATTGAAAGCTGCCCGTCAACTGCTCCATTGTACGTAATTCTCACATTGTGCATACCATTCGCATGTACCTTTAATGGGCCTTTAAACCTAACGGAATTGTGGGGGAGGGATGAGTAACAATAGGGGAGAAGCGAGGAAGTCCAAAAAAATATACGGAAAATAGTAGATTCCCAACACGCCATTACTAGAAATTGCTCGGAAACTCTGGGACTTAACCAAGAAATTTTACCCAAGTCATCCTAGCTTTTATCTATCATCGGGATGTAAAGTCTGTGTCACCAACAAAGGACCCATATGCAAAGCTGACAAACGTTACGACTGTGGCTGCTGATAGGAATCCTTCTCCATGTTTCTGGACGGAGTACGCCTTTCCGCTTGACAATAGTGGGCTGAGATGGCTCATCATCCTTGTGAAACATACGACGCCTTAGTAAATATTGGGCTAAAGTTCGCAAAGTAGACTTTGCCTTGCACGATTAGAGCTAGGACCGGCAAGATAAGACGTTGAAGGGTGAGCGTAAAGTGGAGGGTTGAGATAATCACACCAGGCGGAGGTACTAAGACTACTTTGCAAACAAGTTTCAAAGCCGTTGCTTGTTGTTTAACATATTTTCAAACAGACGATTCAGGACGCCTGGAGATCGATCTGTTACCTGTCAGGATAGTGTCTAGGAGAGGATTAAACCCTCTCGTCTACGGTTGTGGGGAGAGTGAATTACTAGCAAACATTACCTAGGGCTGTTAGTAAACGCAAAAGATTAGACGATGCCGGACACGGCGGAAGCGTGCAGATGGTGGATCCAAGAACGGAACGATATCAGAAAAGCGCTCACGAACGCAATAGGAAGGTGGTGTACGACAAACGGATCAATGGTTTCTGCGCGCTCCGGATGACTCACCAATCTTTATCGTTTCCAGCTCTGGCCTCCCTCTCAATACTCTCAACCTTGATCGATGTGGCACAAATGGATGAGTTTACAATTCTCGTACCTCAGTTAACTATATTGCCTGGTCCATCCATATGCTCCATCGTCTGGGACGAGGGAGTCTCTGTCATCCTCAAATCAGCCTACCAATTCGCACAATAACGACCGTACCTAAGACGATTCCAGGCTTTCTCAACACCTGGGATCCGTCTAGCCATGGAACTCTACGTGCTGCGAGAACCGCAAAGAGACAGAAGGTCGATGGCAGAGATGCAGCAAAGGATGCCATTCGGAGAGCTGTCCGAAAGGAAATACGAAATAAGGACAATGTAACAATTACTGGCAACTTCGCTCGGACCGATGCGGTTAGGCGACTGAACTATTGCCTTTTACTTGTGGACTCTAAAGGATGCAATGACGATGTTCGCTCTCGGGTTTGGAGAGCATATTCCTTGGCGAAAAGAACGTACCCCCAACTTCCTCTCGATATACCGAACCGAGCCTGGGACATACTCTGGGCCACACAATCGATTAAATCAATGAGAAATCGCTCACGAGACCCGCACCTTTGCGAGCTGTATCGAGACATGCGCGCAACCGGAAAACCAACAACTGTCAAACAACGAATCGCATATTTGGAAGGCATGTTCCTCACTGGGGAGGAAGAGAAGGCATTGAAGGAATGGGAGGACGACTACGATCAGTCAAATAACCAGCTGCGGCACGACTTCAAACCGGAGCACCTTGAAGCTGGTGCGAGGATGTATGCACTGGCTGGTAATGCGGATAGAGCACGAGGTATCATGGACGAGCTCTTCGAGCTTTACCCTGATTGGGACCCGACCATTATAATGGCTGTCTTCAGGGCTCATACTCGATCCGATTTAGCAGAGCACCATGACATTGCTCAAAAAATGTATTCGAGAATGAAAGACGTCCTAGGGGACCGTGTCACTCTTAGGGATTATGATAGTTGGTTTGTGGGATTTCTGGAGGCTCGCCATCTTTCGTACTCTAAAAAGGTCTTCAAAGAGATGGTCACACATGGATTCATCGCTCGCGATTCTTCCCAGACTGAAATCAACGAGGTTCTCCGGAGACTGCACCTTCTCTATCGCCTTGGAACCGATATCGAGAAAATGTCCAGCATCGCCCTCCAGGCCATTACAATACTACCTCCGTCTTACCGATTTCACTTATTTGGCGATTGGGTCAAGTCCGCAGCTGTCAACAAGGCACCCGAGGCCGCAGCACAGATCTTAGAGATGATGATGAAACGCGGATACGATCCGCAAACCTTCCACTTCAACCTTCTTCTAAAGGCCCTGTTCCGTTCAAAAAAGAAACCAAACGAACTCAAAGCAGAAAATATGGCGTGGCGAATGATTGAGGCGTACAGGTCGTGGTCTGAGCCTGCACATTCTCTTTCGGCCGCTGACGCCATTTCCAAGCACACACACTTATTGAACAACAGGCCTTCGACTTCAGAGCTTGATTGGAAAACCCCCCCAGCCAACGTCACAACATTCGCCCTTCTAATGCAATGGCACGCCAACCATGCGCAGTGGGAACACGTCGACTATCTTACGCGATGGTTGAGAGACTCAAAACTCGCCCCCAATACGGCAGTCATGAACATTATGCTAGAGAATCAGTGCCGACAAGGGAAATATAATGAAGTCTGGAACATATACCGTTCATTAGCCGACGTACTGAAACCGCCGGTTGGAGGACGACTCCCTGGAGTTTTTCCTGACGGTGCTACCTTTAGATGCCTGTGGAAAACTTTGCGGCTTGCCCTCGGCGACCACGAAACACGGCATAATAGCACCCTTCCAAGTTCGCGCGACCTACTCAAAGAAACGCTCTGTTGGTGGGATCTCGTACGTAGCAGACACGACGCCGAACGGTTTCGAATTGGGTTGGCTGCTTCAAACCAAGGTGCACTCAACACATTAGTAATGCATTGCTTCAGCTATGATAACGATCTCACTGGCTCGCTTGTCGCCATGCACGTGTTCAGAAAGAAGTTTGGTCTCTTCCCATCGAACAAGTCAGCTCAGATTTTGCAGAACCAGATTGCCTGGGTGGATGCGCGGCGATCCGCCTCGACGAGTCGGAGACAGCACCAAAATGGCGTCTTCAAGCGAGATGTTGAGAAAATGGCCCGCGTTTACCATATGCTCATGCAGAAACGATTCGAACGAACGAACATGACGGGACAGCAGTTTTCTTATCTGAGCGAGGCAGAAATCGCCGACATGAACCTTAATCTATTGTCGGAATTCGTTCGCGTGATTTTAAAACGAAAACACACTCCCGAAGTCGTTGAGGGTATGATTGACCAAGCAAAGGCAGAGCTTGGTTTCCCAGAGATGAAGATCGGGGATCTAGATGCGTACAGTGTCGCTTGAGATTCGATCACATCATCCTCTATTCTATCACGCCTATAAGCTTTTTCTGCTTCTACTACTTACATAACTAGCATTTCTTTCTTTAAATTCTCTTCTTGTACGTCATTGTGCATCGAGGCGGTGTTCTGACCCGCCTCTTAGTTATATAGAGCGCTGTCCGATTAGGAAACTCAAAGACATATATGGACGGTGTTGGCTGGCAAGGGGGTCCCTCTTACACATGAACATAGCGGTTGTATTTGTATAACTACTTGTGCGATACCCAACCCTCCTCCCGCGTATCTGAAAGGGACGCTTCATCCTAATCTAACTCCAATCACTCTCTCACGAAAGTCTCTTCGAAGTCAAGGCCAATTGTGGCTGTCATCCGCGGACATTACAACCCCAGTGGATTCCCTGCCGTCCCCTTCCTCTGGGTCCCTCCCGATCTCGACGCCATCGTCGCTTTCGCGCCTCCCTTGCTGCTCGCAAGCCCGAGAGGATTCTTGTTTGTGCCAGCACGAGCGCCAGAGGCTCCTGTCACATCTTTGATGGAGTTACCGTATTCACGGACGGTGTCACCCCAACCTCGAGTGGTGTTTGTAACGCTGAATTCTTGTCAGTACGGGTTAAATACTACCAACGGCCAGAGAACCGCTGACCTCGAGCCTGCTCCTCTGCCTGCTCCAACTACGCCGTTGCCAACTGCATTGACGATGCCTCCAGTGAAGTTCCCCAGGCCTGCTGCTGCGGCATTCGTGGTGCGTGTGAGCCAGCTGTCATTTGGTGCCATTTCGGTGATGGATTAAATTCTAGTGGATTCTATGATTACAATGATGCAATGATGCAATGATGCAATGATGCAAACAAAAGGTATTCGAGGCATCGTGTGGCGGCGAGTGATGTCACAGGGCATAGGAGTGGCTAGTGAATGCCATCCGGCACTAGCCCTGTTTTAAATTAAGCTCGCATTAGCGGGAAGGCAGGGATGTGCGTGGAGACCTCGCGGCTTTGTATCACGAAATCTGCCGCGGCAGGTACAACACATTAACTTCTCCCCAACGCTCCTTTTGTTCACATTTCCGTATGCATTCTGTGCTCACTGGATCTGTACCTCACTTTCTGTATCCCAGCATGCTGCTCTGACCGCTTGTTGTTGTGCCTTCACTCTGCGGGCGCGTGAACCTGTTGCAACGTCTGAACAGTTGAAGGTCTGTCACCGCTTCGAACGACGCCCATCACGCAGTATGACTGTCTTTCACCGGGCCCAAACTTAATTGAACTTCACGTCGTAAGTCGTTCCCTCTCTCTCGCCCAGCACAAACGCCCAGAACTACCACCTCGGCGCCTTGCGTGCTGGGGCTGGCCGACGCAAATATGCGCAAACTCAAGCGGTCCAAGACCGACGTCGACGAAAGACAAAGGGATGAGAGCATTTCTTCCCGCCCCAGGCGTGGCCTATCTTTCGAAAGGTTAACAAGTATAGGTCGTAGGAAGAAACCACCGAACACACCAATCTCGCAGCTCTCGATTTCGAGACCAATTCTTCCCCACCACCAGAAAATTGGCTACCGATCGCCGCTATTAGATCTGGGGCACGTCTCCCCGCCTCCACAGACACCGTCGCTTGATCGCTTCTCAAGTCCCCCCACAACACAAGGCGGAGTTCCATTCAACACTCACGGCTATTCGAATTCCGACCCACCAATTGCAATCACGTTCCCGCCGCTTTCTCCCCTTCAGCCCCCACTGCGAATAACCGCAGACGAGAATACTGGGCATAGTCATAGCAGAAGCAATAGCCCGCTAGAAATTATAACAGAGTCCCCGTTCAAAGTTGAGCGCGCGGTAGCTCTATTAAAGAGGCAGGTCACCGCGGAGCGGGTTTCTAAAATGGAGAGTTCCCTCTTGCAGCCACCGCAAAATGCGGGCACAAAGAGTCGCGCGATCCAGCAGGCAAAAGAGATGGAGATGCTAGTCGCAGAGAGGGCGAAGCGCAGCGGAGATGAACCGCCACCTTATGGATTCTCTGAATTGATTGGGAAGGGCTCGTATGGTCGTGTCTTTAAAGGGTGGGTGAAGCCCATGCGGTGAACGCATCTGGCTGACCACAGAGCAGCATCAATCCCGCAACCGGTGGACTGGTTGCGATCAAGATCATCGATATTGACAAGGTCGACTATGAGGAAATGACCACGAAGAACCTGGAAGAAACGCTAAAAGAGATCAGGATTCTGCAGCAGTTACGGGATAGCAAGGCGCGTCCGTACGTCAATATCATTGAAGAGGCCCGAACCGTCCACAATGAGCTCTGGATCATCAGCGAATATTGCAGCGGCGGCAGCGTGCACACTCTCATGAAGCCAACAATGACACTTCAGAATCCCGGCCTAGATGAGAAGTACATCATAGCTATCGCACGTGAACTAGCGTTGGGACTTAAGTACATCCACGAAGCAGGCGTTTTACATCGGGATCTCAAGTGTAAGTTGGCCATAGCACTGTCTGCTATAATTCGGTAAATGCGCATTACTAATCATACCACCCACAGGCAACAATATTCTTGTCAATGAAGAGGGTCGAGTGCAGTTGTGCGACTTTGGTGTCTCAGGCCAGTTGGAGCCCGAAATCGCGAAACGCTCGACGATCGTTGGTACACCTTACTGGATGGCTCCAGAGTTACAAAAGGAATGGGTGAAAGATGCGGATCCCAGCAGCATGGTCCGACCGAATGAAGTTCTTTATGGTTCCGAGGTCGATATCTGGGCATACGGATGCACAGTCTTCGAAATGGCGACCGGTTTTCCTCCATTCCACAAAACTGTTCAATGGAAACTTCCCGAGAGTGGCATTCCTCAACTCGAAGGCGCTAGGTTTTCTGATAATCTCAAGAGTCTCGTTGCTTTCGTCCTCGCACCCAATCCTCAGGATCGTCCAACGTCAGACCAAATTCTAGAGCATCCATTTCTCGCAAACACTACCAAGATGTATCCTTCTTATATTCTGGTCCAGCTTGTGGAGCGCTACTATCGTTGGGAACAGGGCGGAGGCGCTCGCGCTTCACTCTTCAATCCCTATGGTGCTCAAGCACCTGATCCCCTTGCTCCAGAGATCGAAGACGATGAAGATGACTGGACGTTCAGCACCACTGATGATTTCGAAAGGCAAATTGGCGGCCAGTTTCCTGACCCATTCTCCGGCTCACCGTCTGGTCAAAATTTCATGAGCGCGCCTCCCCCTGACGACGATCGCTTTGCAAAGTTACAGGCAAGTATCAAGGAAGAGCAAATCAAACGAGGAAAGCGGCGCCTGGATCGAGTATTCGACCAGAATTCAACACCCTATCGGTACAGCGGGGTAGGGTCTGATCGACCTCCTTCTGACCTCGTTCTTCGTGACTTCAACCCCGGTGCACCAAATCGAGAAACGGTTATTGACTTAGACTTTGCTGCACCCTCGGTAGCAGATGTCCCTAGTATTGATCTTGGCGAGGTACCCACCTTGAAAGCTAATCGAATGCATCGGCTGCTCCGCGAAACAGAGCTGGAGGAGGAAGAAGAAGGGCATGATTCCTTCTCGCAGAATCAACTAACGAAACGCGCAACTCGTGACTGGAAATTTCCAGTTATGGCAGAGGACCCTATGCCGGCGAAACCAATTCCAGAAAAGCCGAATCGACGGACAATGGAGTGGACTTTTGATGCGTCCATGGCTGAGGCAAACTACGAGCCTCTTCCCAAAGAACTTCGGTTTTCTCGCCGACGTGAGACCCAAGAACTTACCGTCCCAATGATGACTGCGCCTCTAGAAGACAACCGCCGGACTCGCGATTTTGTCTTTCCACCGAGGGAGCCAGCCGAGAGTCAAAGCAGCATGTCTGATCAAGGCCCTGTCTTCGCGTCTTCACCCACACTTGGACCTGACTTCCGACCGAGTTTGAGACATGCTACGACTGAACCTGTTGGCTCGTTCGACGATTATCCTCGTATTATCTCGGCGCCAGATTCCCCCCTTCGAACTTCAATGATAGATTTGGACATGGCGAACATTGATGATTATCGCCCGTCCACCGCCGACTCAGCATCAACGTCCACATATACGGCAGGAACAGAGGCCACGAACGGCAATCCCTTTGATCTCGAAGACCAAGTCCATCTCTCACAGAATAACAACCGTGCCTCGTACCACATGAAATCGCAATCCGAACCCAATCACGCCATCCCTGGTCTTCTCACACCTAACGCTTACGACGAGCAAGAGTACCCCACAGAGCAAGGACACCCTCACTCCATGCACGCCCGGGGTGTCTCTTCCGTCTCGCAGATGCAAGTGAAGCCCCCGCCAAACAACATGGGATACAGTCGACAGCGCAGCCAGCAAGTAGTCTGGGATAGCTGGAGCCACCAAGCCGCCTACAACATCGATGAGTCCCCACCCGCATCCGTGTCAACCTCTGGCTCAGCCGAAGACGAAGACTCCGTCGACGAACTCTGGGAACAATATGAAAGACAAGCCCAGCAGTCACAACGTCGGCTCTACGACCGCGGACCCTCGAGTATGCGCTCCCGGAGAACCGCATCGACGGATGATGACCTTGCGCGCTCTTCCGACGCAGATGCGGAAGAATACGCGGACGATAATGATGGCCTTGCTTTCCAGCGCCCGGCCACACGTACGTCAACGCTCATATCCCGCGTCAGCGTTGGGCCTAACGGGAAGCCGCTTGTCGATTTCCCGGTCCCGAGGGGTCCTGATCCTGAAGCGCTAGTCGGTGTGGAGAGTGACCCCATCATTCTGAGTAATGCGTTGTGGAAGAGTACGACGGAGTTAAGGGATGGATTGAGGGCAAGTAGGGATTTGTTGAAAGCAATGAGGTTGGAGGAGATGAAACCTCCGGGAATGGGAATGGAGGGGTTAAGTGAAGAGGAGGGAGATGGGGAGGGGCAGGGAACGGTTAGGGTGGCGAAGTGAGCTGAGTTTCTGAGGTAAGTGGTACTGTTTTTTTTGTTTTTGCTATTGTTATTGGGATTTTCAGAACACTTTTCTTGCGATACAGGACTTTACTTAGAACCAGGTGATGGAGTATTCGGGCTCAGGGCCTCTGGGCCTTCAGGCGGCGTTCGGAGAAATGTCCTTTGTGGGACTGGCAGGAGTTGGGTTTTGGAGGTGGATATATATGATGATTGACGAGGTTATGAATGAGGCATTCGAGCGCATGAATAAGTGCAGAAGGCGGCACCTACAGCTCTCCGTAGCTGATACCAAAACGAGTCTAAAAGAGATAGAGTTGTTTGTGCTCAGTGACAACCATCAGACCAAGCTATGTTATCAGAATAAAGATTGTTCTCTCCACGTTCTTGCTACGACTCCATTTCTCTCTCAACCTCACCCGCTTTTACCTAAAATCCCAGAGAATCCCATAATGAACCACCACGTCTTCACCCCCAACGCCATCATGTCCGAAATACGCAGACCCCTCACGCCCAATATTCTCCGCCATCGCACTCCCTCAGCAATGGATCACCTTCGCAACCGCCGCTATTATCATGCTGGAGATACCTGAACGCTTCCTTCGCACTCGACCACCACGTCGTCGTCATTCGGAAGAACGTAGTACGGAAGAACATGGGACGGTGAGACCTGGAGATTAGGGAAATTAACAAACGCTCCGGCGCTACACCTGCTTTCCTAATGCGGAATGTGTGAGAGATTTCAGGCGCCGTTGAGGAAGCTTGTAAGTGAACCCCGGGCAATGATCACGAGGGATTTTGGAAAGTAAGGTGAAGGAGATAGGAGAAAGGGAATTAAGTGAGTACGACGAGTGACAGAAGTTCTCACGAGAGAAGGGCAAAAGGTACGGTAACTTCTGTTTACTTCTAGCGATATTTTTAGCAGAAGGTATGTATGACAAGGAGTACACTAAGGCCCATTCAGGAAGTAGTTTTATGAGACAACGAAAAAAAGGTTCCCAGAATACAGAAGTAGCTTCGTATTGCACATCCATTCATTCACTCCTCCTCCTTAAACGAGAATACACCTAGGCCGAGCCCCGACAAGGGAATCTAAAGGCCTTAACCTATATGACATCAACGCCGCCGCTCGCTCCCTCCCGCTTTTTAACCTCATTTACTCTTAACCCCGTTCTCATAGTGGGAGAATAGAAGTAGCCTTCTAAAATACGATTGACTTCAGTTTAAGGAATTTGTAAAATAATGCTTGCTTGTGAAAGGGAAGCCTGTTCCACTAGTGTACAAAAAAACCAACGTCGACTTTCGGTTAGTATTGTCAAGGAACTTGGAGCCAATAATAACTCCCTAGTCGATATAATTAACAGTGATTGGTAGGCGCACACAATTTTCTACTCCACACACATTCTTTCTAGCCTTCATAAATCCGTTCTTTGATGATGCAGAGGTGTATAAAAACAGAGTAGGGCGCTGGAGCCCAAAAGGTGGGAGCAAAACCTGATATCTTAATAACTTGGTACAACGAAAACTAAGACAGCTATTACTCTCTGCATAGGCTGCTTGTCTAAGAATCAACTCTCCAGATACGACGTGATTTAAACTGCATCTACAGGCTCAACATAGCTGTCCTGCACAGCAAAATGATTGTATGAACACAACTTCATTCCCTTTCCAAGTCCTAATGACCTCTTATCCGACGCTAAAAGCGCCAGCCCATCTACATGCAGATCGCTGAAACCCAGACCTAACAATGCAACCAAACCATACCACGATCCCACGCGCTATAAATGCATCAAAAAGCTTTTCTCGACGCCATGCCAAGCCATATCATACCAAACTATACCATATCATTCAGTGCCCTGCAGCGCAGTACAAAAGTAAACTAAAAACTCGCATCCGTACCGTCGTCAATATCCACCTCCTCCTCACCATCATCTCCATCCTCAGACCCATCCCTCTCAGAATCGCTCTCATGATCCCCATTCTCTTCCTCTTCCTCTTCCTCATCATCATCATCTTCTTCTTCTTCCTCTTCTTCTTCTTCTTCTTCTTCCTCATTCCCACCTACAGGCTCCATCCCCGGAATAGGTTTCCACTGCACATAATCCTTTTCTAACCACCTCTTACTCCTGGGCAGAACATACGGATCAAACGGAAAGTACGCATCCAACAAAAAAGCCTCTTCGCCCTTCTTCATCGTCAGCGCCGTCTCCCTCGCTGCTACACCATCCATGTACCCAGTCCCCAGGCTCTTGGCCAGCCTAATCCGTTTATTGGTCTCGATGAGTGGAAAGACATAAAGGAAACGGAGATGGTGTGCCATGCGTGCGAATTGAGCGACGATGGTAGGGGCGCAGATCTTGAGAGGATTGAGTTTGGAGAAGATGTTTCGGCGGAGGATATCTTTGATATCGCTATACCAGAGGAAATCACCTTCGTGGTAGACGATTTCTTCGTCAGTGACGACATCGTCGTCGTCGGTGACAATGAGGTCTCGCCAGCGGAAGCAGAAGGTGTAAAGGAGTGCTTGGGCAATAGCGTAGTAGGTGCCGTAGCGCCGGACATCTGGGGCTTTGCAGCTCGACTCCTGGGTCATACGAAGTATTTCGAGGTGATGACATAGGAGGTCGAACACATCCCGGACAACAGAGCGAGAGACATGCGCACCACGGGCGATGAAGGAGGCTAGATACGCAGCTGCTGCAACACGCTCCATATGTGGGATACGGTTATTAAAGGCAAGATGTGAGCAGCATCCAGCAAAGCGCTCGGTAAGAGCGGGCGAGATTTGGCTGAAATGGAATAGTAGGAACTGTGTATGCCGCGAACGGTAAGTCTTCAGGATAATGCTCGCAAATTGTGAGAGGAGGATTTCGAATACATCGTCGGTTTCGAAAAGATCGCCTTGGGCGAAGATCGAGTCGTAGTGTGAGAAAAGGAGATCCATGATAGCGTCGAGCTTGGCAACGGATTCTTTAAGCTCTTTCAAGCGACGCTCTTCACCATGTATGCTTTCTTCGCTGGACACGGATTCGTAATCACTAACATCTTCCTCTTCCTCGTCGTCCATGTCTTTCGCCACGCCTTCCACCAGCTGGTCCTCAATATCGTCTTCCAACTCTTCCATGTCAACCTGAATTTGCGAGTCAATCTTGACCAGCTTATCCATGACAAGTGATAATATTTGCCCCTTTAACTCCGGACAGTACTCCGAGACTTTGAGGATGTTCTTGATATATTGGACATGGGCCTTTGTGGTATCAGTGGGGAAGGGGAACGTCGCCAAAAAGATGGATGGTAGATAGGTGCTCGTGAGAGGGTTGTGTCGCAAGAGAAACCTGAGGCAGTCGTGAACGCGGGCCTGGAGTTGCGAGCGCTGGATGTTCGGGTCGTCCTGTTGGCGTATGGCGGGTGACGGAAGTTCCATGAACATGTCCACCAGCATAGTGTAGACGGAGGAGGTGAAGCCGGGTTGGACAGATAACAATGACCGTAGAAGGTGTCGGTATGAGCTCACAAACTGCTCATTGCGGGCAATCCAACGACAGTCGATGATGGCATGTACAAGTCCGGAGCATTTGTGGTCGAGGAGGGGTACATTGTTAGCGAGAGCAATGACGTATTTTTGGAGAAGTCTAGTGAGAGGCGCATCGGCATCAGTAGGCTTAAGAGTGAAGAGTTCCCGTATCTGATCATAGCCTCCATTGTCGTTGGTAGCGTGCTTCTCCAAAGCGCGTCGGACCTCCTCCCCAACCAGCTCCAAGCTCTTTTCGTTCACGTCCGGAAGTATGTGAACGTCGATGTCGGGGTCAAATGTGACTCGACGGCGCTTGATTTGGCTTAATGAGAATTTGTCGGCGTCGAAGGTATCGGGTTGTTTGCGCTTGAGGCTGCCGCCAATGCTGGGGGCGATGATGCCAGTCGCTCTATTGGTGTTGGCAAGAGAGACCATGTTCGAGAGGTGTCCAGAGGCGTGCAGGTTACATCTGGTCAGTTGTAAAGGAAGAAAAGGCGCAGAGAAAATGAGTGGGTTGTGTGAGTGAAAATGCGGCGGGACGGTGAGAAACCGAACGAGAATGGGGTGGGGATCTGTGGGTAAATTTTTGCCAAGAGGCGCTTGGTCCTTGTTGCCACGTGACGCTGCACCTCAATCTCCTGCAGTACCAACCAAAAGATAGAGAACCAAAGAAGAGAGTGCACGAGGCTGCTCACGACGGGAAAGGAACGTTAAGGATCATCGTAATGCCGAGTCAAGTATTTCATATTCCTAAAACGTTTAACTAGTCTTAGTACTCCTCCCTACGTACCCATCATTCATCCTTTGATGCTACATAGATTTATCCCCGTCGTAAGTCTCTCCCTTGCATACAAGGTGATCTGAAGCCAGGATCTTAGAGTTTCCCAGACAGAGCTTTCCTCAGCAGGCACTATCCCAAGCATCCTTGCCTCTGAGTCTGTGTGGTTGCACAGATCCGTATCAACCGTGGAATGTCTCTCTCGGTGGTGCGAAGGAGCCCATTTCTGCCACGCGCTCACATCTCACCGCATTGTGAGATTGTAACATCCTGCGACGGCTTCTCTGAAATGACACGGGTGTTCTCAATCTTCGTGACGACGTCCATGCCTTCGACGACCTTACCAAAGACAACGTGCTTGTTGTTCAGGTGGGGAGTGCCTGAGGGATTAGTGGTAATGAAAAATTGGCAGCCATTAGTATTAGGACCGCTATTCTGAGATCAGGTTAGTAAATGAGATACAAACCAGAGGGAACTTGTGGACAATGCCATGGAGAATGTGGGATACTTACTGCCATTGCCAGCAGTCCAGGTTTGTCGACTTTGAGGCTGAAATTTTCATCTGCAAACTTGTCTACGCCATAGATGGTCCTCGTCCCAGTCCCATCTCCGTTGACGAAATCTCCACCCTGGATCATGAAACCCTTGATCTAGCGCGTAGACAGTCAGTGATAGTCTGCTGCATAGGGCCTAGCCGTAAATTCTTCCACGGCGCAAAGCAGCCCCTTCCATCATGAAATGTGTACGTGATGCATGTGATCAGGTTTCTTTCCGTTTTTCGCGTGGGCATCCACCACCCACAAGATGTAAATGCCTGCAGCCGTAAAAAGAAGACTTACCACACGGTGGAACTTGCAACCTTTATAACCCTGCGGCCGCCCTTGAAACTTGGTCTCACCGGTACAGAACTGACGAAAATTCTCGGCTGTCTTTGGAACTATATCCTTGAACACCTCCATCTTGATTCTCCCGAGCGGCTCCCCTTGATAACTGGTTAGTAGAGCATGTCAGTTGGTGTGATTGGACATTGCAAAACGACTCGCTTTTCCACATAGAGTTCAATAACAAGTAGGAAGGGTTCAAGACTAGGATGTGCCGAGAGAGCGATGGTATGGGGTAAACCTAATGTGGGCAGTGGCTTCAGGAATTTGAAAATGGTTGCAGACATGGCGTACCTCCTAACGTGATGTCAAAGAAGACGATTGGGTTCGGCTCGACAGACTCGGCCATGGTTGGGGCAGTGCAATATTGCTGCCAAACCGTTGATGATCTTGATGACGTTAGAGAGTGTTTCACGAGATCCGGATGGCGACGAAGGAGAGAAGAGAAAATCTCACCGAGCACAGCCTTGTGCTGAATAACCCTGTGCAGTTGTTGAAATCGTTGTCTGAATCGCTGGAAAATTCAGGATGCAGCGTGAGAGGCTGGGTACTCAGGGCCCCTGGGAAGGTCAAGCGGGTGATGTACAAAAGTCCGCTTGCATGGGCGTTAACGACGCTGCTTGGCGCTGGGAAGTTTTGCGAGAGGCGGCCCTAGATGAAGGATCGCCCAAGTGCAACCCGGAACTCTTCATGCGCAAAACTCAACAGGTGCTCTCAGAATCGTGAAGCGGCATGTCCACGATACGGAGTAGAGTGCGTGAATAAGATAGCGAACAGATGAATGACGACGGACGTATTGCGCCAGGTGTGTCTCGTAATTAAGCAACGATATCACTCGCATGCATGGCGTGCTGACGGACCGGAATCATTGGACGCAAGATCTTGCGGCTTGACGTTTGAGACAGTGAAGGGCAGGTCGGTGTTGCTGTCGCCCGCCCTGTATGCAGACTTCAGGATCAAGTCCAAAACTGGTCACGACTCTCGAGTCGCAGCAGCAGCAATGCCTTCACGGCAGCCAGCAAAGCCCTTCAGCACCACGCATTCACTCCCAGGTAGTCGAACTGTCAACTACCATTAACAGCGTTCGGGCATTCACCCGATAAGCCTTAATTGTCATCAATAGATAATCCGGAGCCACAAATCGCTAGCCCCCAGACCAGACTTGGCCTCGCTCGGTCTGTCAACTTTAGCGAGCCGATCCCTTTGTCGTCCTCCCTCCACCCCGTCGACCATCCCCAGCTTCAAGATCCCTCGCCGCAACCACAAGCACCTCCACATATCGGAGGGGCATGGCCGACAAAGCCATTGTACATACTCTCTGCTAGCTATTGTTGCCAGCATCACGAATCTTGGCCCCGTTCGCTCCTGCCGCCGACCTCAGCTGGCCCGCCGGCCCACCAACACACTTCTGCCATTACCCGAAGATACCGGCCAGAGCCTGCGATTGCAGCACGCCCACATCCACCATCCTCACCTTCAACGCCGGCGCAGAGTCGCTCCTTTGTCACTGTACTGGAGCCTTTCGACCTCAGCTCACGCCCGTTGTCGTTTTCGCTGGAACAAAAGGACGCAGCCCGCGTCCCGATTCTCACTCAATACGACATCCTATTTTTGTCGGCCCCGTTTCCGCATTGTACATATCTGCAACCAGTCGATCGTTGTTGGCTCCCATCAAATACCCACGTCGTTCTTCTCGTGAACATATGGAACGCAGCAGCCCATAATGGCTTCACAAACATCCTCCTCCCCCATCCCGCCCGCGCAGACCACTCAGGGCAGCTCTAGCAGTGGGCCCACCAGCTCTCCATTACTCTTTTTTGTCGCTCTGGGTTTTGGTGTTGTCTTCACGAATCTTTGGTATGTTTGCAGCGAGGCTGGAAAATATGCTTGCTTTTCCCGCTGACCCGATTTACTCGTAGGATCATCGTCGGCGTCAAATACTGCTTCCGATACAACCAACGCAACCGCGCCGCCCGGGCTGCTGCAGATGGCGAGCCCATCGACCTCGCAACCATGCCGCGGCCGCATAGGAGGAGGAGGGAGAAGAAGCTGATGTCCATGGACGAAGTCAACGATCGCTTTCCTCTCACCAAGTACAAAGCATGGAAGGCAAGTCGGGAAGATGAAGGCCTACCGGCCGCTGGCGGTATCAATACTGCGCCCCAGAGCAGAGCCGCAAGCTTGAAGGACGTTGATGGTGTCATCGGGGCATCTGGAGACGCGCGCACATCTGTAGAGTCTCCTCGGCCAGCCACCACCCTCTCCATAGCCCGAGACGATCACGCAGTTGCGAAAACTTCACCACAACCGCCAAATTCACCGAAGAAATCCTCGTCAACACCCGAGACTTCCTCGAAGAAGGAGAGCGAGAAGACCATCGAACTTACTCACATAGAGACTGCGACGAGTCATTATCCACCCGGCAAAGAGCCTGCCAATGCACACGACCACGACGCAGATGACTCCGACGATGACGACCCGATACGTACCGCCGCCGCTCCTGAGATGCTTGCGGAACCAGGCGACACATGCGCCATCTGCCTGGATACGTTGGAGGACGACGATGATGTGCGCGGACTGACTTGTGGTCACGCTTTCCATGCTAGCTGTGTTGACCCGTGGCTGACCAGCCGCCGCGCCAGCTGCCCTCTTTGCAAGGCTGACTACTATGTACCCAAGCCGCGGCCAGAGGGAGACACTGGTGATCAACCAGCTTCCAGTCGCCGCCCAACCGTGACAGGTCTTCGATCGCCCACATCTCCCCAGGCTACTTGGGCTGGTGCTCGAGGGAACCCATTCACTCGGTCCCGTGTCGTCTTCATCTCTAACCCTCGCCGTGCCACGGCCAACAATGGCAATCAGCAGGAGTTATCCTATGGATTGGGGAGCGTCTTGTCTCGTCCTGATCGACACGATCGTATTGCTGAGACACAGCCGGTACAGAATCAGCCAAATGAGAACCCGACTTGGCGTACTCGACTCCACGCAGCGAGGACTGCCAACCGCCCGACACTACCCAACTGGTTCGGACGGAATCGTAGCAACGGTGCGACTGACAACAACCCCGCTCAAGCTACCCCTGCCCAGCTTGAAGCCGGCAATCGGTAGTACAAGCTGTACCTCAACAGCATCCTGGATATATCCTCGAAGACCTTCCACATCCAATGCAAACTGTCTTCATACATCTAATTGCGAGCTGGTCTGATCTCCAATACCTTTATGCCCCCTCACGAACCCAATCATACCACACTTTTCCTTATATCGGTGTTCTTATACAGTATGCGTACCCGGACTACGCATCATCTGGGTTTCCTCTTTGGGGGTTTTTTTTTAAGCAATCAGCTTTCTCGATTTTGCCTTGGCGTTACAGACCCCCAGCTTGATCCATCAATGTGTATTTGGTATTCGGTAGTTTCCCCCATTCTAGGGCCGTCCTGAAGTAGCCTGAGAATTGGAGCATCGCAAAGGCAGTGTTTCGCTTGGTCTGAGTTGAGATACTTTTCTTTCTTGAACTGGACTGATTTTTGGTATTCCCCTTTGAGTAGCGTAGGGGTTTCCTTTTCTGGAGGTGAGATTCTGGCTGCATTATATCCTGATATGGCTTCGGCTTTAGTTATGACTTTGGGGAGTTGGAGTGAGGGTAAGGATTGTAAAAATCTTGCAGATTAAGAGGGGGGAAAAGGAGGTATGTGTAGTTAGCTGGAAGCAAGCAGCAGGGAAGAGTGCGGAATACAATCTGTGCATTAGCTGTCAAAGTTGGTTAATTGCTTTTGATGTGATGTTTGCCAGTCTCAGCGCAGTGCAGCGCAGTGCAGTGCAGTGCGTTTTGGGATTTGCATGGCATGAACACCTGGCTGGGCAGCCACAGCCTAGGTCGTTCCTTGTTGTGGACAGAGAAAGGGTCGAGATACTGGGACCGTGGATTCTCGCCCCACATAATGCGAGATGTTAGTGCCCAGCGGATCCGATGTCTCCAAACGTTGGGGCTACTTTACCGTGCAAGATGCGATACCAGAGAGAAACGATCCTAGGGGGATGAAACAGTTGGAGGGGTTACGGTGTCGTGGTTGCTTGTTTGAGTCGGGCGCCCGTCCTCGCTGCTTCATTGTTGCGTCACGTTCCTACGGAAGCTTAGTTTGACGTCTTAGTCTTCAATTTTCTTAGTCTAGCACCCACATCGTCCTTTTTCGCAGGCTCTGCCTTATAGCTGAGAAACTCTCGGTTATGTATGTGAGCGGGGTGTGTCTTTTCACAGCTTTAGTGCATGTCTAGCCTTAATTCCTAAGCATTAGCCCAAAAAATATTGTCCTCACCCCTAATGTAAACACATTTGGGATGGGAAGAATGATTAAAGTATGATTAAAGTATCAAGCTAAACTCCGTCCTCAGCAAAATATCAGCCATGCGCGAGCACGCTTTCAAAAGTCAGTGGATCATAATCGACCTAATACATTATTAGCGGCAGCACTAGCAGGCAGCTAAACATGGATAAGAACCTCATCGTCCCCCATAACAAAGAACTGTATTCCGGCCCGACTTGGGAAAGGACATCTTACACTAGCGAATAGAAGATGACATTGGAAGAGAAGATTCCGAGCCACTCGTAAACTTTGCTTGCCTGTTTTGATTCATACTTGGTTTTACAACTCTCTCGAGTTCTGTTAACCTCGTCAAGCGAGTGCGCATCGTTGAGGCAAAACGAAGACAAAGTCTTCCGCAAGGACTGTGTCACAAACCAATTTCTTTGCTCTTTCGTAACTTTCCTTCAGAGGAATATTAGGGGTTCTGCCGTAAGCTAGCTCAGTTGTTGATGATAAGGCTAAAGCCCATTCATGCTAGCTAAGGCCTATATACTGCTGACCTGAAGATAGATGTTGAATACCATCCCCGAAAGCGCTCCCTGTCCCCGATACCCTGTCCCAGCGAGTGGAGCAAGTCCATGGCTGATAAATTTCGAGATCAGCTAGGTAAGTGAATATGTTGAAGCCTAATGAAGCTTATCGTAGGGAACGGGGCAGACGAGCTCGGCGATCCCGCCGAGTGAGAGTGCTTACAAGGCAGCCTTAGCATATTGTCCTCAAGCTTCCTGCTCTCGCAATTTGTTTAATAGTCTTCCTCACCTGTCAGACTTGTTGAGGGAAAGTGTTGTTCTTAAGTTCTTACCAGCCACTATATTTGTAGGATCTTTCTAGCCCAGTGATACTCCGCCTCGATTGCAGCTGTATCTCCTTGTATCTTCCTAATACTTCGCTTTCTTGAGGGTCTCTGTCTGAGTTCCCGATACATATTGAGCCTTTTATGTCTTCCGCACTTCCATCTACACCTCCACCTCCATCATTACTGGTCAAGACAGACTACCATCTCTAAAGATAGAACCTAGTTGACAGATGAGGCGGACGAGCTAGAACTCTCCGGCTCTATTATAGGAAATTCGAAGCTCTTTGAGCGTCAGCCAGAGCATGAGTCAACACATTAGGCTGTGCAACGCTCTTTTTTCAGTGCCTTCAAAAGGAAGCCACGTCTAGGACCAAACCGACACACAGCACATGACCATCGGAAATTGCTCTTGGTACAAAGTGAACAGGTGTATCAACAGAAAATTCTACCACACGCTTCTCTTGGATACCTTAACTGACGGTGCAAAGCGATACCATGTAGATCTTGACTCAGATGAAGATTATAGTGCAAGTCCCGAATCTATTACTAATGAAGCTCATGAGGATTCTCCTGATCAGTTAGATGCCAGCTCTATAGCCTCAGCTGGTTCCAATCAAGGTTCAAGCCGGAGTTCTGCGACCTATTTCTGTATCCTTCATCTTGTAGTGTTCAGGAGCGATATTGCATATAATAACACCGCCAACCTATATGAAGGCATACCTGGAATGAATTCAAATCGCACAACGTTGCAGTTTCGTCACCTTTTCAGCAAGTTCCCGTTCATGCATTCGACTCGATGCTGCTAGATAAAACTATTGGCTTTGTTGACTTCCGGTATCACTCTTGTGTGGAACGCCAGGATAAAGCAGGTACTTGTACGATTGCTAGTGAGAACTAGAATGCCTTCATAGTACTCCAAGGCGCGGAGAAAGACCGATACAAGAGCGTTACGCTCTAAATCAGAAAGAGTGCACTCTTCGAGGAAGATATCTGCTTCATTGAGCAGTAGAGCACAATCTCATACTTTCCCAGGGTAAAAGATTGTTTGAAGATGCTTCATGAGAGTATCTGCCGTAGTTCCAATGCCGCCGCAAGTGACACTGCAAAGAGGCATTTCTATAAGCTCTGCTACAGACCCTACGTCCAAGGATTAGTAACAGAAGGGGAAGAAATGAAAGCCTCGCATACGTGCACGGTGCAGTCAATATTTTGCCAGACTCAGGCCCACCATGGAGGAGAAGTATTAAACCATTTTCCTTGCCGGTAGTGACGTCGTTCTTGTTTCTAGTAATATGTAGGTTCTGTGGCGTAGCTTATTGCGTCCTGCGAACCACAACAAGAGCTTGAACGAGGTCTTTCGTTCGTTTTGGAGGCACAAGCCGCTGGGAAGCCGTCTTTTTCCATGTGATAGGACATACATAATCGATATGCAGATTTTCTACGTGGGTTAGCCGTTAACCTACACGATTTAGGGAGCCGTCGTACTCCATTCTTTCACTTTAATATCAAAAGCATGTACCTTTGGAGGAAGAACTAGGCAATTTTTCAATTCTAGTTCTTTCTCTAGATCCAGTTGTTCGGGCCACGGATCGATAGTTGCTGATGGGAGTGGCGGCGAATCATTTCAGGGATGCAAATGTGGATAAGTTACATAATCTATCATGAATCTAGTTTCGATGCCCTACTGAGGTTAGCATGCAATTGAATAGTATGGAATATCTCTTGGGGATGTTAGAGAGAAGCAGCAATGGTGGCCCAAACCAGTCTATACCTGCGTAGATAATAGGGAAAAAAGTGAAAAACGGTCGAGATACTAGACAGTACAACTTACATAACCTGGACCTTTGTCAGTAACTATAGGACTTTCATAAGCAATGTATGACGGTTTCCGATACTTCTAGAAATTTCGACCTCGTTCTTCCAACTTCTCTCGAGGCTCCTGGTTTATACATCGCGCAGGATATATTCCAAGAGTGGTATTGTCGACAACAGTTTTCGCTAGCCGCTTAATATCTAGTTCGTTTCTTTGCCTGACTACCTTTTTTCCATCATGTTTCCAGTGCCAGGAATATAATAACAACCTCTCACCGCCAACTGGACAGCTTCTAACAACGCATCTAGTGCAGACGCCCTTATTCTTCGCTACAATGACTTCATTTAGACGAAAAAACATCTCGAGATAGTCAAGTTTCACTTTCCCGAGAGTAAGGCGGTGCCGCAATTCTGAGCATACTTCGTCATACTCTGTCAAGAGATAGTCACAGAGAGCATGGAGTTGTGACTCGCACAAGGTTGAAAGATTTTGATCGTTCCGTAGTTGAAGTAGAGAATCCAGATAGTGGAAGAAGAAAGGATATGACGCATACTGTTCGTCCATATAGAACCTCGACATCAGCACCTTTGGTCGCGGAAGATCAGGGAATGGAGTTTTGGCCTCGTAGGTGGAAACGCTGTTGATAGCAGAAAAGAGCTCAGAGGGCAAGATTAGTAATGTTTCTTGAAAGGCTACCCCAGAAGATCCGGGCTTCGAGCGGGTGCACCTTCCAAATATCCCTTTGGCGAGGCCTTCCAATCCCGAATCCAAGTCGCACTCCACTATTCTTCCTCGATACTCCATCCCGTAGGAAAATCTGGAGAAGTTTCTTCGACATGCTTACTGAAGATGGGATTAATGTCGATTTCGAAGATCTTGTCAGCCACTTGGATGAACTTGCGGAGCACGAAATGAACAACCGGCAAATCAGAAACGTCTTCGCAACCGCATGGCAACTTGCATTATTCGAGAGACAGAGGCTGGAATGGGGACATATTGAGCAGAGTCTGGCAATGGCGGAGCAGTTCAATGGGCAGTTAAAGGAGTTACAGAGGGTCAGTGACACGGATCGGGTGAGGGATAAGAAGGTAAGGTGGCAAAGGCACTCCGCTATTCCGCATTCATTTATCTTCATTCCTATTGTTGAGATCTTCAAAGATCGGGACTGTTAGAAATACAGGGAAGTATAGACTATTACCTATCGTGCGGGCATTACACCCAGTTTGTGCCAGAATCTAGCCCATATAACCTTATGCTAAGGTCTGCGGCTCCCTCTCCTCTGTCTGTTTATTCTGCCTCGTCTGCCTTTCCACAATGGCATGCGCCAAACACATATAACACGAGAGAGCAAACGCTCACCTTCCATAGAGACTTCTAACCCTTCCTTCTCTCCCATAACTCGCTCCCTCATATTACCATTGTCAAAAAAAAAAGCGGCAAGTACACATGCTTTAGATTCGGAAACTTCGCTATAAACTTTCACCGTTGCTGCATTCGCGCTTGGTCTTAACCCAGTGAAATCGGGCTACCATCTTTGTGGCGGCTTTTGTATCTGCTGGAATACACTTCTCAAGCCATGCATTCGTGTCGACACGAGAATAGAATCCGAAGAGGTTGCATGAAGAGAAGAGTGTGGCTGTCTCGGCATGCAGCTGGCGACAAATGCGGGGCCGGGCGGTGATGTTCTTACGCTATTTACCTTTAAGAGACTAGTATTGAGCGTTTCTATTCCCAGGAAGCATGGTAGGACATATGCCCTGTTCAAGCTATAGTAGGGATTTTGCGCCAGCGCCATGGCTGCTGGAAGGCCAGGGCTTGGGTATTGTACCCACCGAGTACTGAATATTTGGCTGCAAATCTCCGCAGGCAGGCGGAAGAGAGGAGAGTTGTTTGAGCTGTTTTGGTTCTGTTGCTGGTTAGTGACTTATACCCCGTGTTGTGTCTTATTTGTTAACTTATCCTAGGACTAGATTAGTTGGAGTCTTAAGCGTTCTGCCAAGACCGTTCTTTAATTTGTGAAATCTCTTGCGATGAGTGGCTACGAGCGGGTTGGGTGACTTTGCTCTTGGGTTTCCCCTCTTTAAAGATTTCCGTTTCCAATTACCGGTTTCCTCAGTGCCATGGTGTAGCTGAGGGATCGAGCAGGAAGCTGTCGGGACTAAAGTCTATTCGGGGTTGTAGCCGACGCTGAGGGATTGTAAGGGACTGTGTACTTGAATTTGTCGAAATTTTGGAAAACTTAGTTCGGAGTCAGGCTCTCCAGGCCCGCAAGCTGTCGATGGAGATACACCACCAGTAAGGTCTTTCCGCCCAGGCTCGGTGATTCTTTATCCAACAGTGCTTCTTGTAACTTCCCTGGAAGCTCCCACGGTTCTACCTTCCTCCTCTTCACCCTCAATCCAAGCAATAAGTGCAACAACACCCATCAACTATTCATAAAATACAACTAGAAATGGCAGGCTCCAAGAAGTGTAGCTTCCATGCCACCCTACGCTCCGGAAAACGGAAATGATGCCGCAAATAAGGAGAGGAAGTGCAAGGCTAAACTAAAGCTCGCGTCCAAGTCTCGCATCACCAAGGCTCCGACCAAATCATTGAAAGCCAAGGTCACACCTAACGTCGACAAGGTTCGAGGCCAGCCTATATACTGATTGAAGAACGGTTTATCTCTGTTCTCAAAACACCCCAAGACTGTGTGTAAGTGGTATAATTCTGCCACTCTGGATCTGTGAATAACTAACATCCCAAAGAGTGAAGACCAATTCTACGTTACCCCTTTCTACGTCTCCCGGCCGAAGCCCAGAAGAAAATTTTCAACTGCTCACTGGGAGGATCGTGGATCCACTCCCGAAGGCGATTTGAGGATACGAAAATAAACACTGAAAACAGGGCCAAACGGATATTTGAAAAGTCAGATGCTTTGCCGCCTACAATACGAACTCGATGCATGAAACCAAGATAACCAACAAATTCGCCCTTCCATGAATATGTCAGCAAATCTATTTCTGAGATGGCGACTCTCATATACGAGTCAAATACCTTTTCAAGTAGCTATTATTAGGATACCCTTCTCCAGATCAAGAATCGGACTTTGGCAAAGAAGGAAACTGTTCGGAGTATTGAGCGAAGGGTCCAGCAACACTCCATCTAAGCTACACTACGCCTGCCCGCTTTACGTCTGAGTTTTAGGGACTACGAGGCATTATCATGGTAGATCATTATTGGCGCTCGAAACCTCAGGATCTGATTGAATATGAACGGCAGACCGAAGGACTGAAGTGGAGGTGACTTTAGTTCGGTAGGTCACTACTAGGTTAGAAGCATCATGACTTCGACTGACATGAGGTAGAGGGAAGTGGGACTCTTAGGAGTTCTCGTCCTATAGATATTGAGGAAGCCAAAGGCATATTCAAGAGTAGGAGGCAGCCCTACGTTCTAGCTCGTTAGTGTACGCATACAAGGGTGAAACGTAGATGGATGTAGCTTATTAGATTTTGATTGTAGGTGTTTGGTTGAACTAATTTGAGCTCTAAACCTATTCGGCGATCCGGAGCTTCGATCAACCTCACCGCATTCTCCGAATTAGCTTGGCTGAGTTTCCACCCATTCTTGTGGACTTGCTTTGTTGTTGTGATAGTCGGTCACACCCTGCGATAGTGCGGCATCGAAAACCTAGAAATAGTCTTTCAGAGAGTGATTTCAGCCGTATTGAATCGGCCCGGAGCAAATCTGCATGGGAAGGACGAAAAAAGGATATTTTGGTTTGGTGCCTATAATCTGCAAAATAAGATATATCGTGGTTTTGTGTAGTGGAGCTAAGTTGCTGTTAGTGCTGACAAGTAGAGACAGAGAAGGGTTAGAGAGAAACTGAGCTTTGAAATTGATTAGCGATTGTTATGTCCATGGGATGGGATGGGACGGGAGGTTGTGGGCTGGTGAATTTAAAGATTTACGTGTGGTATGAACGCGGAACAATTGCAATGAGAACAGCTGTAGTCAAAATCCACGAATCGTATTTGAAGTCTAAGTAGTAGCTTCAACACATTGCGTACATTTCAAGAATGATGGATGCTTCGGGAGATCGAAGTTGACAAGCAAGCGAGTGAGTTCCCTTGGCTATTGCATTGGTGTGCCAATGGTTGTGTATATTGCGAATCAAGCCTCCAACAAGACAGAAAAGAGTTCGCCTCTGGATTTTCAAATCTGACATGTCGAGAAATTGAATGTAGTGGAACGTGGACAAATAGAAAGTAATGCTCTTTGCAGAGCCGCTTGAATTACAGAGCTTGGATTCGTGAATCCCCTGCGTTACCTACTTTTGGAATAAGTCCGTCGCCAAACCTGACGACTTCTGCTGCGTCCTGCGCTTAAGCCCAACGTACTGTCATGATCTTCACTGAACCTGTGCCTGTTTACGTGAAGTTGCATGAGCTCACCAGTCCTGCTCGAAGTCAGTATGCATAATCCACTCAAGAGCCTGAACGTGGCACCAGACCTTCTCTCCAATGTAGTATCCGAGCGGAACAAGCATATGCTGCAATATTCCCATGTTAATCGGTTCCAACCTAGGTTGCCAGAAGCCACGAGACCAAGGATGGCAGACATGGGTGGAATCTCGAAGGGGAAGTACAACGCGATCTTCGCACGGCACGTGTTAGCGGGTGGTGGATCCGAGGCGGCGCGCTAGGTCGGGCTTCAGAAAAGCTGGCGTGTAAAGAGCTCCGCCGCTTGTTGCTGCCCATTCCCATGACAGGCACTGATGAGTAATGGTTTCTTGAGATGCTGATATGGTGTTCTAAGCCGCTGGTAGCGACGGAGCGAGTTCCGGGGTGAAGCAAAGTTAATTGATTGGAGATTAGAGTATGGGGTTTTAAAGTCGTACCCGGAAAGTTCCAGAGGCGGTGACAGCGATAGCCACCTTACGAAGTTGTTGCGCAGAATGCTCGGATTTGAAGTCATCGTTAGTTGAGTGAGCATTTGTTTCTGGATGCCTAAGCAACTTTAGTAATTATGCACTGCCTCTAGCATCCATAACCAGTCCGTCTGCTCGTTTTCTCCATTGCGATTTCGATATTATGATGCAATAAGCATGACGAGCGTCGTGTGCGGTGATATTATTGGCATATGGATCTCGTCGTAGCAGCCTCAAGTCAATCGGTCCAGCTGGTGCAAACGATAGTTTAATTGGCGATGAGAAGATGTGTGCGGATGAGGAAAGTGTTGGCGGCTTGCATGTCGTTCACGGGGAACCACGACGCTGAGCAAAACATGTTTTTTCTGGAATTTCTCGAAATTGAGACCGGGAACGGCTCAATCCTCAAGGGAAATTTTGGAAGGAGAGGTGATCTCGTGCCACGACAGCCCAACCGATTCTTTTTTCCCTCCTTTCTTCCAAGCTGAAACTAGAAGATTATCACCAATCATCAAACCTGCAGCTGAATCGAAAAGAAGCAAAACACAAGGAAAAATAAATTATCCTGCAAGAGAGGAGACCCGACCAGGCGGAAACACGTAGACAAGCGACGGACAGTTTTAGAAAGGTGCTGAACAAGGCGAAGTGGAAAAAGCAAGTTTTAAAAAATTCCCCAAGATATTTTGATGTTGCATAAGCCTGCCGAAGCCACTTCCGCGCGAAAAAGCAGTGCGTACAGTGAGAAAAAAGCCTTGGCTTGTGCGTGATCTGAACCTGTTTGCGTCTTATGAAGCGAATATTTTCGCATGTGACCTTTCCTGTGAGGGTAGGGATACGTGCAGTAGGAGTCGTCGAATAACGGTGACATGAAAAGTGGAAAGGCTTAGTTGGCGGCCGGAAGTGGAAATAGAAGACCGAACCGGAGCGCAAGCCACCAGCAGCCCAAGAAGAAAAAGCAACGACGTCATTATGTCCTTGCAGGCGCGTGTGTCGGGCCGGTGTTCGATATGCATGGTTTGTAGGAAGGGCGAGATGGTGAGAAGTTGCTCCCTGCGACACGAGAGATGATTGACTTCGAAAAAGCGCTCATTGAATTATGGTGGAGGCTGAGCAACGGGCCGCAAGCCATAACCGCTGGAGGAGTTTCAACGTCTGCAATAATATCTTCTTGGTATGCCGGTTGATGGATTCAACTCAGCTGATGCGACAAGCCCCATTTCCATTCAAAAAGTGGAATGATGGTGATTGGGAGTGTGAGTCAAGGCTGACCTGGTGCCGTACGCATTAAGGCCTGAAAACTCAATCGTATTCAACGGTCCAGGTCACACAAGCAAGCATTCATTGACCGCCTCCCCGGAGCTCGCAGGAGAAGCTGTTCTCATGATCAGACTTATGGGGCGTCTCTAGTCGGTGATCAAACCGACACGGGAAGGCTGGATTTGGTTTGTTGGAGTTTGGAGGAAAGAAATTGTGGAATGTGATTTGGATGGAGAACGATAAGTTGCGAACGGGTACCCCACGATTTGTAAAGCTTTTTAGAAGAGTTGGTCAAGGTTGAAATAAGCGTTTGACAGGTGAGACAACCCAGCCCTGACCTCCCTAACCGAGATTTGCAGATGGGAGGAACACCTTTCGGGCCGATAAGCTTCCAAAGTTGAACCGACCTGGACTTTGCCGTTCTCCACGATTCGGCAACATTGGCGAATGAAGTCGTGCCGGCACCTTATAATGGAAGGTCGATTATAAGAAATGAAGGGCAAAGTAAGATATGAGCGCCGTTGAGATCAACTTCCACAACGAAATAGTGTACAGAATGAGAATACGATCATCCCAAAACCCGGCGGATTCCAGGTGCGAAACAGAACGCTCTCGAGCCGGCCCATGTGCGATCACGAAATTGTCATGGTCTCTTGCGTCGAAGCGACAGGAGGTCCGACTCGTGAATTTTCCTTTCTCTAGGAGAGGCTCAATCGGGCACGCTTCCAATTAGCGCTAGAGCTTATCGCAGGATACATCGGATTCAGAAATCTTATCTCGAGGCCGCATCCTTCGCAAGATGCTCGCATGACTCTGGCAAATTGAATGACTCCATAGATGGTGTGAGAGCAAGAGTCTCTAGAAGCGCCGTTGGGGTCCTGCTGCGACGCGTGTCAGCTGCAGAACATCTCGGATTGTCTTGAAAAGCCCAAGAGTCATGAGATGAAGCGTGCCGCAGATCTTCAGATGACAGCCTTTCCATTAAGTCTCGATTAGGATGCGATGGAGCAGTTCGGAGAAATAGTACAGCTTTGTTCGAACAACCGCCGTGAAAATAAAAGATATGAACGCTCGGGAGAGATACTGTAGGCCTGTCAGGGGTCAGACACGTGGCCAGAAAGATCTATTGGACGGGTCACAAGCGCTGCATCAAATGCTTCCCGAGCGAGCAAGCGATGCGACGCTCCCAAAATCGAACCCAAGGTGACCTAATGTTTGAGAGTACAGGCGCCAAGTCATCCCGCTTGATGCTGAAAAGAGAGATGTAGAGCTTTTTTTGCTCGCTCCACGCAACGGAAGCGAAGGCGCGCGCGTCTGCGGCGTGTAAGAGAAAGGAAAATATTTTGCAACGAGACAGGCATTTTGACGCTGGGATACCGCGGGGGGGGGGGGGGACCAAACTAAGAAAAGGAGAGCCAGAGGATGAGACTATCTCGTGGGCTAGCGACCATTCATGGCCCAAGGGGCTCCATGAGGGTCTGGACATCCGGGCTGCTGTTCTGACCCCAGAATTCATTGCTTTTTCCCGGAAGGTCGGGTCCTCGCGAATGTGAACAAAAATTCCTACCGACCGAACAACCCATCTCTTTTCTAAGGCTGTTAGGATAGAGACCCCTCACTTGCCAACGTTGCGTCGGTGGCTACATGTTGCCAGATGTTGACTGTGTAGACTTGGGTATAATCTCATCTACTCTCCATATGGCCCATATTCATACTGGCTTTGTAGTGAACAAATTGGTGGAGTTGCAAAGGCTTCGGGATGTGTGTCCCCAATCTCTTGGGTCTGACAAGCAATTGCTCGCTACCGAACCGATAGTCCAGACTTTTCATTGCACTCTCGCAATGTCTCCTGACATCTCTCCCCGAGGAGTCATATGTCTGTTTCACTTTACATGCAAAGAGCGGCCCTGGGATGAGGGTTGAAGAAAGAATTCGAATGAGATTGACGCGGGTAGAAGTGCCGCAAGCCTCTCTTACGTTGCCTCCGTGGTTCGAGGACTTCCCCACATTGCTGGGCCAACGGGGAGATGCATTAGCGCCTTTCACTGGACCGCATAATTCCGCGGAGAGTGATTTGATCGTACGATATTCAGATGTGCGGGCTTGGCCACCAAATGCAGCCTCAAATGCGGGGTTGAACGTGTGAGGACTCTCCTCACATTCCGCCGCAGGATATTCATCGAATGAGTCGCCGGAAAATATCGTCTTTGTGGAGATATAGTGTCAAGAGAAGTATTCCATTCCGCGATACGGATACATATTCCAGTCAGCCACTGGTAAGAGGAAAGCAAACCTCGAACGTGAAATTCATCAGCTTTAACAACACCATGGGGAATTCTGTCTTCGTCGATGTTCGGCTCTACCCTTGTGTCGTAGGCTGACCGAAAATACTACAACGTAGCGGAGGAATCACCGTGGTTCGCTGTCGCTGGCACTCCTCTCCTTGACCTTCTCCCATTTCCACACGATAAGCAGTGACTAACGGAAGTCTAAAGGAGTTTTGCGAGGGGGTAATCATCGTCGGAAGTACGGTGCCTCAAGTAACCTCACCCTCTATCATGACTCTTTTTGACAATTTTCGCGGGCGTCTAGGGAGGCAGCGAGAAGAGATAAATCAATTAGCGTGGGTTGTTTGCCATTGTCTCAGTTCCTTCGTCTGTCCGAACCCGACCAAATATGTTGGGAATCGGAAAGGTGACCGCCGTAATACCTATGGTCTGTTAATGTTGAGCTCAAACGTTGGGAACCTTGGGCGTTCTTTCTCCATAGCTTGGCATCCCACGCTGAGATCCGTTCCTGGTAATAAAGCGCATGGTCGATCGAAACATCCCACGCAATCAACTCGGCTGAGTCGGGTCGGGGTCACTGAGGCTCTGGCGTTCAGTTCAGGGTCGGTCGGCATTCGACGGCAGTGGCAATGTTTACGATAACCAGCCGGAAAGGGTAAGACACGTGTGTCTACTGGCAGCCATCAGGAACTTGAAATAGAACCGATGGCGCGGCAACCCCGCAAAAGCCTAGACAAGATCTACGGATACAAGCATGTAAGTGTGATCAACATCTCTTGCGCTTGCGGGTTCCTCTGAATCCCGTCTGGTCTCTTGCGATCCGCTAGGTGGAAAAATTAAGCGACCTTCGAGTGGGGAATAATGGGGAAGCAGGAATGGCATATCCGGAGTTTGAGTGATTATCATTCCCTGGGTTGGCTGCTAGCGAGATGAAATGCTGACCACCTCTACTCTGAAGGTTGAGTGATGGCAGCTATTCTTGATTTCGTAGCACTCTCTCCATGCACGAAATTTCGAGATCTCGGCAGCCACTATCGCCTGCTGGTGATCTCAAACCCGGTGGTGATCTAATTGAAAGCGGCGAGCGGCTGGGGTAGCGTCGACAACTTTTTAGCTTTACTTGTCGGATGTGGTTGCTCCCCGTTCCCTGCAGTCATGTTCCCTCCGGATATTACTTTGAATGTTTTCTTTGCGAACCTGGTTGTTTCCGTTAGCCACACATGCTAAGAAAATTTTTGCAACATAGATCCACTTGTGACACACACAAACTCACCCCACGCAGAACTGTGCCTGGCATGTTCCTACTCCGTCTCTTCCTTAGCCTTTGTGACTCTCATGGTTCTTTTGATGCCGACGGAGAGTGCCTTTCAGGGGAATCCGAAGGAAGCCAATGAAGTGCCGAATAGATCTTACCTCATGTTGCACTCTTAGTCCACGTCATGCAGCGCAACCCCTGTCTGGATGTGAATAGTTACTTTGCCAGAGCTGTCACATGGCTGCGGCGCAGGCAGGCGATGGCTAGGGACTGCATCGTCGACGGATCACTCGAGTCCACGGATGGCTTACGGAGTCGGGGTCTTTGGGCAGCATCTGTGGCTGCACCCTTCTGATATTGCGTGCATGGGCTCCAATGCAGCGCAGTGGTAATGCTACTGGGAGGGGATCTGGAAACAGCGAGGACGACTGGGCGTCATGCAAGTTAGGGCCTGAATGGTCGTCGACAGGCGTCGCTTCGTTGCACGGGGTCAGAGTGAACGTGGTAAGAAAGCGGGGACGCCAGGTCTCTTGGATCGACAAACTGTGGGGTAATAGCTCGCCAGCAGCCGGACGCAGCTTCGGTTTGTTTTCGGGCTCGTGTGGAGCGAAGCTGAGTGCATGTTGTCGACAACAAACAACGCACTATACACGCCCCTTTTTGGAGCTGCAGACACTCCCAAAGCCCTTGATTCCTATTACGAGAGGGGCGCATGAGTCGAAGAACGAAGTCGGCTGCAGGTGAAAATTTTCCCCCTCGTGCCATTGTGGACCCAGATACGGCGCGACAGCATTCGGGGATACACCACTATCGCCTCAGCGCGGCGAAACACAAAGGGCACGGCGTTCGGGATGCTGCAGCGCAGGAGAGTTTCATTTAGGGGAGACGGAAGCAAACTCGGCTCTCAGGAGGGAACGCTTCGCTTCTTGTTATGTCTTGACCCTCCCGTCGGCCAATGGCATTCACAGTGGCGTGGGGGGGGAGGAGGAGTGAAATCCGCCGACGCTCAGGAACCGCACCAAACGATCCAAGCATTTCCTCTCCTTTGCTGGCGAGCCTGGCCTCTGGGAGACAAAAGCAACGAGAGGCTGGAGCTTTCCATGCCTTCGGGACACGAGCTCCTCTGCGACTGCCGAAGAAGTCTTCGGTACATGATGCTGCGCTCGAGATGCAGTGTGGCACACAGGTATCGACGTGCTGCTGTCGCATTGAAGGCCAATTCGGGTTGTAGATTGCAGAGACACGGCCAATTGAGTTTGCGCCGCCCTGTTCTTGACGCGATAGTGAGGTGGAGGAGGCGACAGCAGCCCCGGGCGAACCCCTCTTGCAAAGAACGCTGGTCGTGAGGGTGTCAAGAGAGTCACTGGGAAATCAAAGTGAGAGTCGCCGCCCAGCGTCCCCCACGTACTATTCTTGCCATGGCGCACTAGCAGGAGCAGACCAGAACGCGGTTCTGCGCGCAACCTGGCGTCGTCATGCGAGGAAACTGATGCCAAACGGGTCCAAGGGGACGTCTGATGCTCATCCAGTGCCTGTCGATGCCTGGGGGGAATTGATGACTGCGCTCGCTGCTGTCGCGCTGATGCTCAGTGATCTTGTGACGAGCACCCCTCGTCAACCCTCCCCCCTCCTCTGCCTCCAGGCCTGCCACGTCTTGCGTCCTCTCCCTCCCTATTTCTCTTACCCTCTGCATTCGGCACGCTGCACGCCGTAACTGGCCGCTGGACCCTGAGCGCCGTGCCGACTGGCACCACGATGGACCGCAATGGGCGGCTTGAGGCCCACTGTCGCAGTCGTGATATCAGATGATGAAGGCACCCCAGTGCTTGTCGCCGCTGCATCGCCGCTGCATCGCGCTGCCACCCCCCACCCCCACACTAAGATCCCTCGTCCAGCCTGCTCCAACGCTCTTGGAGCCCGCCAACCCTTCGCATGGGTGAGAAGGTGGCAATGATCGACCTATCACAGCGCGGTGCGCGCTGCAGCGATCGTCACAAGGCGTGAGTTCCGTGCCCTGCACCTCCGGCCAAGATCCGACCTCCAAAGCCTCCTGTCACCTCCTGGCCAGCTCCTTGCCAGCGGCCACGGCGAGCAGGAAAAAAGCAAACGCAACCTCAATCAGCAATGCCCGTCGTACTATTGGCTCGACTCCAGACCACACGGCCAAAACGCAAACCGCCGTCCCTGACATCGGCAGCGGTCAGGCCAGCGCCTCCAGAGTCACCGCCTCCTGGGTCGTCACAGCTTTGCCTGCCCCGTCCTTCACCGGGTGCAGTGTTGTGTGCCTTGCTTTGCCCGCGATCCCTATGATTCCTCACTCGGCTGTCAGCTGGACCCCCACACTCTCCAATGGCTCAGGAAAAGTGACTGAGCTTCTCCGGCTGCGAATTATTTAAGTACCTCGTCATCCTCGGTAGGTATCTTCACTATTCATCGTTGACGTATTCGTTCCGCACTTCGTTCGCATCTTCGAATTACTCTTTGTCATAAGCCTCGGGATACCCGTCCTCCTTTGTTGCTATATAAAATCTCAGTTAGAATCACAAACATATCCATAATATGTCACCGCATCACGACGCCCCGTCACCCGCCCGCAGCTTCACCACTTCATCTTTCTCCCTCCACCACCAAGCCGTGCGCTCCATCTACTCAATGGATCACTACAACGATGCCTTCGAGACTAGCTCCGTCGAATCCGGCGATGTGGGCATCCGCCGGGCATTGGTCCCCGGCATCTACGTCCCCACTGTAGCATTCTTCGAGTCCAGCTCTGAGAACGTTGACGTTGAGACCACCGCCAAGCATGCAGTTCGTCTCGCAGAGGCAGGCGTAGCTGGCATCACCACCCAAGGATCCAATGGTGAGGCAGTCCATCTGTCGCATAAGGAACGCAACCTCATCACTAGCACCACCCGCAAAGCCCTCGATGAGGCCGGCTTTGGATACATACCCGTCATTGTCGGTTGTGGTGCCCAATCAACAAAGGAGACCATTGAACTGTGCGAAGAAGCAGCCTCCGCTGGCGGAGACTACTCATTGGTCCTCCCACCCGCATACTACCAGGGCCTCTTCTCCAAAGACACAGTGATGAGCTTCTTCCGGGACGTAGCAACGGCCTCCCCAATTCCAATCCTCATCTACAACTATCCTGGAGCAGTATCGGGCATGGATCTCAACTCAGATGTCATCATCGAGCTCGCACAGCATCCCAACATTGTTGGCTGCAAGCTGACCTGCGGCAACACTGGCAAGTTGAACCGCGTTGCGGCTGCGACACGCGCAGCAACCCCCTCCGAACCTGGCTCTGGATTCATGTGCATGGGCGGTTCTGTCGACTTCACCCTCCAAACATTGATCGGCGGCGGATCGGGCATCATTGGCGGCATGGCAAACATTGCACCCAAAGCCTGCGTCAAGCTGATCGAACTGTTCGAGGCAGGGGAATACAAAGAAGCTCGCAGGCTGCAAGCCATCGTGGCTCGCGGCGACTGGGCGGCCATTCAAGGCGGCATCATCGGTACGAAGGCTGCGCTCATGGCCCACTTCGGTTACGGAGGCTTTGCGCGCAAGCCTCTTCCCCGGCCGACCAAGGACGAGAGCCGCAGGTGGCGCGACGCATTCGAAGAGCTGGTCAGACTAGAGAAGACTCTGTGAGAGCCCCTAGTGTGTTTATGTGTGTGTATGTGTGTGTGTTTGTGTGTGTATGCGCGCGCGCGATCCTTCGTTCATGACTTTGTGCTAGCCGCCGCAGCATTCGAAAGATACCCCAACCTTTCCACCACCTTTGTCCCACCTTTATCCCACCTTCACAATTCAATAAACCACACAAGGCCCCTCGCGACTTCTTTTGTGGCAATCACAACACACCTCTTGCATGTCCACACAATCGAGCATCTTCACCGGCGTTGAGCGCTTGTGCATAATCTCTGTGGCGTTTTCAATTTTGGGCTCCAGCCTGGGATCTTCGGCGTTATCTGTTGCCAAATTTGCAGTTGGGGTTGCATCTAAAAGCAAGTACAAAAAAGGCCCCAAAAAAGCGTTACCAGTCGTTTCTCAATCTCCCCTTATTATTTTCCTTCTTCCTCCCCCTCCCTCCGCTGATTGTGGGTTAAACTTTCAGCCTCACCGACATCGTATCCCTGTCTACATGTACATATCCGCTTCTTTTTTTTTCCCCCCCCCGCTTCGCCTTTCTGTACTGCTTGCTCCGAAAGGTACTTTTTTATCTTCAAATTTTTTGGGGGTTAGGGTTTATGGCTTGAGAAGGAACCGCGACACGAAGGCTCAGCATAGAACAGGACAATACCTGTGGAGGGTACCGTCGTGACGGTTTCTCCAAATGCAACAAGTAATATTGGCCCAACTGGCAGAGACCCCATTATTGGGGTGAAGAAGTGGTCTCCGCATGCGTGTGCGTGTGGATAAGTGAGTGCTCGTGATGTGTTCGTGCCGAAGGAGGCATTTATCTCCGTACCAATTACATCCCGAGAACAACAAGTCGAAATGCCGAGTTATGAGATGAGATCAGCGCAGCCTGATATTACGTTTGATGATGCTCGCGACCTCGGAGGTACCTCGTAAGCATTTCGTCAATTGAACTCGCCTTTCTCGCCAGCTCCCGCATTCTCTCATGTCGGCTCGCCGGCGGAGCCCTGCTCAACTCGTAGCCGATCCCGAAACCAACATCTAGTCTGTCCAAATTTTGATGGAAGCCGCCGTCCGAAAACGGTGCACTTTTCCCATTTCTCTCTGGCCGCGCGCGTCTCCGCACGTACGCTAACGACCTCTAGCTGCCTAGGCAAGATTGATCGCTGAAAGCTCAGGCAGGTCTCGCATGCAAGGTGACGTTTTCCTGCGAAGCGGCCTGGCTAACGACTTGCTGCTCTTTTGTCCACGGGTCAGCCCTGATTGCAAGTCGGGGCAGCGCAGGCAATATTTCCTTCCCACTGCAGAGCCTTGCACTGCCTCGCTGTGGGCCGTTTGGCATTCCAGCTGCCATTGAAGGAGCACACCGCGATTTTCTCAATCCCCATAGGTTGTCGGAGCGAAGATCAATAGACAACTGCTACCCGAGTGACTTCGGGACTACCGTCTGCGCTAATAGGTGCTGAGCTGAGGATGTACCAATGGCCTGGAAATAAGTATCATCTGAGACGAAGTCACTTTTGGCACAGGCTAGCACCAGCATCGAGTCCAATCGCCAAGTGAGGATGCGGCATGCTAACATCCTCGACTGGTGGCTTGGATGGGGAATTGGTCACGGGGAAAAATGTGGGCGCGTGGGAAACGCAAAAGCTATACATGGCTGAGGTTGGCTAAGCTAGAAGTCAATACGTACCGTATCAGGAGCTCCAGGTGACCCGCATTTCAGGAGCACCGATCCTCGTGAACAAAATAGAACAGGACATCGGGATGCACGCCGAGGGACGTCTGGGTGTACAGTACTATCAGGCCGGGACGAAATCGCGTTGGCTGCAGATATTAATGCAGGCTGGCGAATCACCGTCTCGCTGCCACGTTTTCTGGAGTCTTGGGTGTGCTGATCCCGCCAATCGGGGGCGCGGGAACAGAATTGTCAACGTCTTGTGGCTGGGAATTGCTTCTTTTGAGGCCTTCAGGTGGAAAAGATAGGTACTTTTTGTTGGTACCACTGCCTCTCTTCTCCCAGTCATGCTGTCATCTATCAGCTCGCTCTGGCCGCCTGCCTTGCCTTGACGCGCACGCCCATCCACATGCATCATCAGGCCTCAACCTACCTTTGGGCTGAAATCTTGCCGGCTGGTAGGGCTGAAGGGTGTGGAAGCGTCTTCTGCAAACAAGCCGACAGGCCAGGGGGTGAGGTTATGGCTTAAGATAGGAAGATTAGCAAAGCGTGATGCATTCATCGGCGTAGATTCGAAAACGGCTAGACCTGAGATCCAGGTTCCAGCTTCAGGTCCTCCCGCAGACATCCCACGCTGTTGTATCACCAACACCCACCGACATCAGCCAGCAAAGGTAACGCCCTGTTGCCTTCTTTCATCCCTCGTCCCTTATCGATGCGAGAGCATTGACTGCGTGTCGAAAGCTTCGGGCAGAATCGGAGCCTGCCTCGATATCATGGCCCAGTCACCGGAAAGTGCGTTCCCCACAACAACCTAGGGCGTCCAGGACGACGGCAACGCGGAATCAGGAAGCCGTTCAAATGGCGGTCAGGGGCTTCAATCGACTTTCTGCTCATGCCTGTCCAATATACATCTGTCCATGATCAGAGAGCCCGGGATTATCGCTGTCTTGCGCTTTTGCAAACCTTAGCGCAATTAGCATTCAGCCACGGGCTTGACTCTGACATCAGCAGGGCAAGTCAATTTGAGGCTGCGGGAGGTCAAACGACTATCTTTATCAAATCAAAAAAAGGAAGGATCTTGCATGCAAACTCGCAGCATCTTAGTCGCGGAGCCGCAGCCGTATGCCACATGGTTTAGACTGGTGGCCCTAATCGAGCCCCCAATTGCGATCAGGGTGTATCATCATGCCTTGAACTGGACCTCCTCCCCAGGTTCCCATATGTGGGCCTGATCCGAGTTAGCGAGGTTCACCGATCGAAGAGAAAAAAGCAAAGGGTGTTGGGCTCGATTTTATACGGTGAACTATCACACCACCTAAAATTCGGCATCCTATGCCGAAGCGAATACAATGCAAACAAAGTGTGAACTGGCAGCCAGGCGTGCAGAACTGTCAGCCTTTTCCGACGGTAAGATTTCAGCGTGTTTGTCCAACAGATTATCGACAGATAATGTAGAATATTGTTGATTTCATCCCCCTAAGCCACCTTATGCTTACTGGCGCCGTGATAGGAAAACGTAATGCGTATCAACAACGATGAAGTGCAGAGAAAAGAGTGGGATTCGGAATCATCCCCTCTGTTGCTCAGCAGTTTCTCTCATGTAGCGCATCGGTATATGGACCCATGTGTATTTTTTTCGGCTTACTCGCTTCGGAACATTACTTAAACCCTCCGCTCGTAATATGTGTTCGTTGCGGCCATGCTAAGTCCCCCACACCGAGAGTGCGACGACCGAACAAGCCAGTTGCAATTGACCCTCGACGATCGCCCTTGTAATCTTCAACTCTAAGCTCCTGTTTAGATAATCAGCTAGTGCTCAAATAGCTTTAGCAAACCGTAGGGGTGCCGACCTCGAAGGAATAGTGCTGGTATGGATGATTGAATGTGAGAGCTTGGAAGTGCTGTGCTCCCGCACTATCCTTCTCTAGCAGCATTTTTGGCATTGATTCAAGCGTACCTTTAGTTCCCTCGTTTGGAGGGGGTGATAGAGGTGACGAAGGCGAAGTTTTAGACCCAAACCCTGATCCGAAACTTGACCCAGATTGTGATCCAAAGCCAGCGGATGTCCCAAAAGCGCTACTACTTGTTGGTATTGTTGGATCTGATTTTGCGAACCAAGGACTACTCGCCGGCTTCGCTGTATCTCCTTTTCCAAAAAGGGTAGGTGCAGGAGACTTTACTTGGCTTGGTCGTCCGAAAGAGGAACTTCCAGTGGAGGACGCTTGATAGGGTCCCGGTAGAAGCTGACCAAGACCCTTGTCTCCGGGAGAAGCACCCCCAAATAATGGGTTCGGATCCGTCTTGCTCTCGGTGGTAGACTTGGTCTGCGTACTACTAAACAACCCTCCGCTCTGTGTAGGCGTTGTAAACATGCCAAAAGATGGCTTCGCACGTGGAACAGAGCCAGGTGTTGCCGAGGGACTCGCGCCACTATCAAATATAGATTTTGGTTTCGGCACGGTGGGCTCCGTTACTGAGCCAACACGCCCATTCAACGGAGATGTGTTCGCAGAAGACCTTGAGCTCTCGGCTCCCTTGGTGATCGATATAAAATATGGGGGAACCGATGAAGCGCGAGGCAGTGTCACATCTCCAGAGAGATTTGAAGTTGCCTTTGATGTTCCTCCGGCCGGATCTTTGGAGTCTACTATAGTCTTTGAGAGAGCTGCAGCGTCCCTAGCGGACTTCAAACGCTGCGGAGATTTTGCCTGTTTCCCATCGGTAATGCTCGGGGAAGGCTCGTTGTCGAAGTTCGGGGCTGGGAGATGCTGAAAATCTTGAGGACCTAGTTTCGTGAAGTTCCGGTTCATCCGAGTGCCTTTCACTACTGGTTAGTGGGAACTCTTAAGTCGAAATATTGCGTACACTAGAAACGAGAGGGTAGAATATTATCTGAGTGTGGTTCACCTCTTTACCCTTTTACCAGATCGAAGGAGTGGTTAAAAGGATACAGACTTGTGGCCTGATTTAACAGCAGCCATGTCCCATCATACCTGCCAATGTGCAAATGTGGGTTACATACCAGGATGTATTACTTTAATGGTCTGAAGTCCCTTTCGCAGAACTTTCACTCGTTCGATGAGGTGGTCTCTTTCAAGGAGCGTTTCTCTAGATTCCGAAGCAATAAGCCCTAATCTCTCATCGCTCATCTCTCTGATGTTGAGAGAGGAAAAGATTTTAGGAAGGCCAGTGAGCAAACACTGTTCCACCGCAAGCGATGCTACATTATTGATAAACATTGGCATCGTTGACTAAGTTTTGTTAGTAAATGTGTGCAGGGCTCAAGAATTAATTGAACTTAAATACCTCATAATAAGTACGCATGAATTCGAAGGTCTCATTTGACCCATACTTGTCATCGATGAGAGTGTTTGGCCATCCTATTTTAGTCATGATCTCGTCAGTCGACGGGATGAGAGTTCTATCAGTGCTGAGTACGAATTGTTGCCGAACCGATTCAACGATAGGTTTAGCGATTCTACTTTCTCTCGCCGACCATATCTTACGGGCGAAATTAGGATCCACGTTGACCGGATCATGATCGCGGTGTGGCACTAGGAGTTCTTCGAGCTTGGTACGCATGGTTTGGCGTCGCGCTTCCATTGCCGGATCAATGATGTGGATCAGTAATTGGTTCCGAGTTCGATCATCCGTTAGATGACTGAGCAGAAGTTCCAAAAAATCTTTTGCGGCGCTCCAAACAGAGGCCAAATGGGCAGAAGCGATACTCTCCCAAGGCTCGGACTGTTGATGAAATAATGATCCAACCAAAAGAGGGTTGGACATTCCCGGGAGCTCATTTCCCCTTTCATGATGTGCCAACGTATCCACATGTTTCTTGAGGAAGACCGATTTAGATATAACATTTGGGTGATCAATTTTCGAAGCTTTGAGAGCCATCTCCACGTCTTCAACTACATGCCACTTATGCCCCTTCTGCAGCATTGAGGTCGCAAATTCATCGTTTAGATTACGAACGACGGCACGCAATCGCTTCTCGAGTCCTTCTGACAAGAAGGGGTCTCCAAAAAATGATCTGCGGTGATATCTTCCTTCAAGAGCTTCTTTTGTGTACTCGGTGAAGTTGTCGCTGATATCTGAAAGATAGTTCTGTTGATCTTTTGGTGTGCTGCGGCCTTCTCCCAATCTTTTCAACTCGCTCTCGCTTTTGGAGAGGTCTTCTTCTAGCCGTCGCACGATCGAGGGAAGGCTTAAAGCGATATGGTCGAGTAGCATCCTACTCAACTTCTGTCGCAATGTGTCGACACCGAGACCCACCTCTCGCCGAGACAGAGAGGCCCAAGCGCTGTTTTTGAAGAACTCAGTTTCCCTTTCGTCTCGCTTTTCAAATGTGCTCGCTTGCTCCTCATAACTACGATTGCGCACAACATGCCAACCGTATTGAAATTTACTCGGATTTGTACGAGCACAGTCCATATATTCCTGCTCTTTCTCTGAGCCGGATGGTAACTCATCAGGTTTAGTGATGATCCCCAGAGCTCGGCTGCTTCCATTAGGGATCTTCTCGATAAGACTCAACACGATTTGGTTGTTGATGTCGTTATGGGCTGAGACAATGGCTAGGATAATACTGTTCTTCTGCTCCATGTAACTTTGGACAAGGCTGGAAACCAGTTTAATATCTTGTTCGCCCGACGAAGTTCCTCGATAGTGGATAAGACCCGGAAGGTCGACAATGGTAAGAGGCGCAATTTTGGGGCCGACTATTTCTATTTCGAGAACATCCTCAAAGAACGCGGATCCGTTTCCGGCCGTAGTTTCACTCATGCATTTACGCGCAGCCGAAATCAAATCTGGGAAGCTTTCCGGTGAGTCGAACGATGCTTGGAATCTGGCAAGTTTGTCTTTGTCTTCCTGAGTTCGCGATGAGGCGGCTTTGATCCGACAGCTGATTCGATATCTGGACTCTCGGCGTAATCGAAGCTCGGTTGGGAAAGTTGTACAAACACTGCTCTTCGTAGGGAAGCGCACGCGCGTTAATGCTTCCAATACCGAGCTCTTCCCAGATGACTGGTCACCGCACACGATAAGTTGAGGAAGGCCAGGTTGGCCGGGTTCACCAAGCAGTTTCCCAACGCCTTGAGACCTAAGCTCATCTATTGCGTCAAGTAGGCGATTCTCATCTTCTGATAGAAGTTGGTGGAGGGTGGTGCCCTCTAGCACATCAGCGGGTTCTGTCATAACGAGTTGCGGAAGTCGAATTTGTTAGGTCCTATCAAAGATAACTAATTGATGAAGTTTCTTAAATTTGATGAAGTAAAGTGGGAGGTGGCGGTTGCTACATATTTAAGTCCACTGTTTCGTATCTCGAGGCTGAGCTGTGCCGCAATAAACGAAAAGGGGGGGGGTGCTCGAACTGTCTGGAGAACTGCATGTTTGCGTTTCAAGCAATGAAATTCAAACCCTACCCGCCTGCATCTTCGAAGCGCGCTGTGTCACGCCCAGAATGGTACCATGCCTGGAAAGTGGGGCCATCATTGATCCCCCTGAAGCCACTCAAGCCAGGAAGAAAAAGAGATTAAGGACACAAACCCAAGCATAAAGAAGAAAAGGCTTGGTTGTCACTAACTACACAAATAAGTTGAAGCTGCCGAGTTAAGGTGATGGAGGCCAGAAGGATGGACGGTTGAGCAGTGTGTTACTTCTTTCGGCATGGTTTCCCACACTAGCGTCCATATTTTTTATCTCAGCAAGCTCAGACGGGATGGGGAGAGAGCCTTGACAGGGGCAAGCCCCTGCTAGTAGCTTTAGTGGCGCAAGCCCTATCTCTCTAGCTAATAAGGGTATAAGAAAGGCTTTCTCTCTCTAGCTGTCTAAGGGACTTTTGTAATTTTTTAGGTAATATTATAGTTCTAAACCTCCTCTACTATGCACTAGCTTAACTAAGAATTACTGTAGCTCTACCACTTTTTATCTAAACTAGGTTAGATTTTAATAAGTAATAGAGATAGTCTCTAGCTATATCTTAACATTTTTATAACCTAATTCTAACAAGATTTAGCAGAGTATTGCGCTATTAAGTCCTGCGTAGGACATTTTAATAACCCTATAACTACACCTTAATGCGACTCTCTAACTACATAATATATTATCTTTAGAATTTAAGACCTGTCTAAGACAGGCTTTATTAGAAAGCTTACAAAATTTTAGGAGATCTAGGCCGCTAGTTGTTAAGCTAGATAGTAGGCTAAAGACATTATAATTACTCTTATGTCTACAGCTTAACTAGCTGTTGTCTAAGGACTCTAAGGACTCTAAGGATCTAGGAGCTGTCTTAGACTAGCTTTATTAGAGAGCCTGCAAAATTTTAGGAGATCTAGGCTGCTAGTTATTAAGCTAGATAGTAAGCTAAGGACATTATAATTACTTTTATGTCTGCAGCTTAACTAGCTGTTGTCTAAGAACTCTAAGGACTCTAAAGACTTTAAGGATCTAGGAGCTATCTTAGACTAGCTTTATTAGAAAGCCTGTAAAATTCTAGAAGATTTAGTCTGCTAGTTGTTAAGCTGTAGTCTAGTAGATAGTAGTCTAGGGACGTTGCAATTACCTTTATATTTACAGCTTAACTAGCTGTTGTCTAAGGACTCTAAGGATCTAGAAGCTGTCTTAGACTAGCTCTGTTAGGGATCTTATAAAATCCTAGGGAATTTAGTCTACTAGTTGTTAAGTTCTAGTTAAGAGGGCGATACTATAAATCTAAAATTAGGGTATAGATAAGTTAAAGTTCTGCGCGCGTTTAGATTTTTCTCTACTAATAATAGTTAAAATTTAGTAAAAAATATACTATTTTATAGCTACAGCTTGTCTCTACATTCTATTAAATTCTAAGCCTATTTAGACATATAGTAGTAGAGATATTATAAATCTAATTCTATTATAATGCTCTTAAAATAGGCCTATTTATAAAAAAAATCACAAAAGTCCCTTAGACAGCTGAGGAGAGAAACGCTACTAACAGGGGTCAGAAACTGCTAACCCCCCAGGCCATACTCTATTTGGAGTAGCAATATGCATGGTGGTTTGTGCGTCCTCGGTTCTCTCCTCACGTCTGAGCTAGCTGAGATAACATATTTTTGACACGCACCTCAATCAATCGTTTTGTTGCACAAGCTCCCCATCCACCCTAGTTTACTGAGTGCATTGCCTCTCTGCAGCCACGTCTTTTGCATCTACCAAACTCAGTTCAAGTACGCAAATTGCCATAAACAATCTGCGCGCTGAACCATCTACAGGCCACTTTACAAAATCAATGGGCAGACAGTAAATTCCTCTTCTGCTCTTTGTCCCTGGCCGTCCTAATGACGTCGGTGGATTTACCGACAGTTTCCCGCACCGCTCAAGACACGATCAACCACACTATCCAGAACTTGGCCGCCTTATATCTCCACTATTGGGGCGAATCACATCGTATGATTGGTGAGTCAATAGATCACCAATGGATCCAATTATTGATGGGCCCTAGGGCGAACCCGAAGGTTGTAGAGGACTACACGGAGTTTAGCTACGACTGGGAGGATATGTGCACTCCATGTTTAACATTTTGATCTTGCCATGGAGCGGTCACTAATGAGTGAGTATTTGAGGGATTCTAGTGAGTATACGAAGACTAGTAAAGGCCCCCTCCACTATTTGTACAAATATGTTCTGGGATTCGCGATGCTCGGTGCCTGATTGAAGGTATGCTTCCCTCGACATCCCATTCATTTTTATTGTTAGAACTCCTCAGTTACGGACGTCTTCCACCGACAGAGCACTCTGGATAAGAAAATGGGTAGGCAACGTCATTTTGTAGCACATGTATTTTGAAACTACACTACAATGCTTGCTCCTCAAAGAAAATCTAAGACATCTCCTAGACATCCTACTTCCACGACTACAACCGAAGGTCCTTTTACGTACATCCTACTCCCGCTCGTTGAACCATCCATCTACATTCGCTACTCCAACTAACATCCACGCATGCGCCATTTTCTAAAAGAACCGCCCTTTTAACACTAGTAAACCTTATCCCACTCCCCTCCATGCTTCTTTAATCTAACCAACAGGTTTAATACACTTTTCAAAGGCCTTGGTTGGTGGCCGCTCAGTTCCCGTGGTGTGTGCAGCAACTAAATCTACTAGTTGCCTGCGATTGTTGTCATTTGCCATATGCCATGTACATACTTATTCTAGTTCTCACAAACAAACACAACGCAACTAGGAATGTCGGAGGGGGTGGGTGGGGTGAGATTGGCCCATTCTATTTAAGGGATCCCGAGATATAGTGAAGTATCGTACCACCCCTTCCATCTCAGATTAAACCCGACATTACTCTACTCAAATGAACGACCTTAGGAACTTCAGCAGTTGTTGCAAAAGTAAGACAGGTAAGCCGTGTAGTCAGTTTCGCCTACATCAAGTGACGATAACCAATCCCAGTAAATCAATTTTATTGCTGTTAAGACATGCTTATCATATACAGTACGGAGACAGTCCTTTTGACGCCGGTAGCCTACCAAGAGGTATCATATGCTTTCAAATCAAGTCTGTCAACCAAAACCAAACCGAACCGATAAACCGAAACTTTTCCATGCTTGTACTAGCTGTGCCCCAATTGACACTTATACATGTGCTTTGTGTTTCAAAAACCTCCAACCCGCTTCCGAGCCTAATCAATCTTTACCATCCATTCCAACCCCATCCACCCACACAACTATCAGGCCTCTCAGCTATGTTCTCCATTCGTTTCCGTTGCCCCATAATTCCCATTTCCCTTCCTAGCCTTCCCCGTAATATCTCCCCACGTCGCCCCAAGTCTCCTCCCCGTGCTCGCCAACAAACCCTCCTCCTCCTCCTCCTCCAAATCCGCATCCATCTGCTCATGATCCATCTTCGGCGTCTTAAACAACGTCGTCAACCACACCACCAAATACACGCCCAAAAAGGCAAACTGCGCCCAGAACAAGACCACGCCGAAGAATGGGAAATTGAGCGTTACACGGTTGATGAAAGTGCTAACGACACTGGGGGTGCAGACTTCTTTCGCCCCGCTGTTCGAGGTGGTTTCCGTGCATGGTTTGATGGCACTGCGATGATTGGAGCAATCTGGCTGCTCGCCCGGGTGTCGCGGGTCGCGGTCACAAAACGTTTGCGGGCCGAAAGTAGCATATTGAGGTGCGACGACCATCGCGATGGAGTAGTTAATTGCGAGTACCATGAGTGTAAGCATGACGGTTGCCATGAGCATGGCTTGTGGGGAGGTGTGGCCTTTGCGGATTTTGAAGAGTGTAAGCCACAGGAAGCGGATGCCGACGGTGGCGATGCCGACGACAGAGGCGCTGAAGAAGAAAAGGACAAGCAGGAGGAAGAGGACGTAGTCGATTGGGAAGACTTTAGAGGATTTGACGAAGATGTAATTTACGGGTTGGAAGATGTTGAGGTAGCCGAGGATGTAGCCGCATTTGGCTTTGCATATAGAGTTTTTGGCTTTATCAATGCTGGTGACGAGCATGCTAGTGAAGATGAGTAGGGCGATTATCATGAGCACGAGGCCGCCGAGGAGTTTAAGTGGCCGGAAGACGGCTTCGGTTTTGATCCAGGCTTTGACGATCCAGTGACGGTCTTCACCGCTGGACTCGGTAGCAAAGCGCTCACGGCGGATAAGTGTGCGTTCTTCACGGAGAAGAGCTTCCAATTCGCGCCTGTCCCTGGCATCCAAACCGCCTTCTCGGCCTTCATTGCGACCTTCCAGTTGCCTCTGACGTTCTCTGTTCTGCTCAAGCTGTGAGGATGTGTTTGCGGCCAGAGTCGGGGCGGAAATAGATGGAGCAGATTTGATTAGGGCCACGGGGAGGAGGGCGAGCCCAGCGCCGGTATAGAGGACATAGATGAGGGTCCCGATGAGCATGAGCAGGCCCAATGCAAAGGTCAAGGCGCGTTCTCCATCTAGGAACTTTAGGTCAGAATCAAATGAAGGGGGTTTCGGTCACTCACGGTTCTCCTGCAACAAGTGCTTAAAGAAGTCCAAGTCCGGGAGGCTGCCGTGTTTAGCCTGTCTTGCGAACGGGACGAAGAACCCAACGAGGAATATGGCTACTACGAAGATGAGGAAGGCAATGGTATACTTGAAAGCACCCCAAAGCCTGCTTCCAAGCGTCTGGTCTCCGGTTTCAGCCGCATCCGGGTCGTACTCCTCGTAGTAGAAGTATGTGAAGGGAACCACGAGCAGACACAGGACCGCGTCGAGCGCGTACAACGTGTAGTAGACCACCTCGAGAGTATAGACGATGTGGTCGACGTGGTTGGGAGTGGCCCAATTCTTCCTCCTGCCTTGGCTGGGTATGTTGGTGGAGGAGACGAGGGCGATGTCGACGGGCATGAGCAGCACCGTCGCGAGCAACGCGCTCACGGTGAAAATGCATACTATAGTAACGGACGCGGCGCGGTCTCTCGGAGCTTGGTAGATGTAGACGAAAGTAGACGCGATGGCAAGCAGAAGGACCAGGGCGACAGCGTAGGCCACCCAGATCAGGCTTGTTTGGATGAGCGCCATGGGGGCAGGAGGTGGGGGGGGGGGGGGGGGGGGGGGGGGGGGGGGGGGGGGGGGGGAGGTTGCAGGTAACTGGTGTTGATTCTTGTTTTTCTAAGTCTGTGCGGTAGTAGGTTAGTAGGCAATAGATTTAAACCAGTTAACAATTTAGGAACTGGGGAAGAGGGGGCAGGAGCTGGGGGAGGAAGGAGGAAGGCAGGGGGGAGGACCTGGCGGACAAAGAGCTGGAGGGGAGGGGAGATCTAACAAGGTCAGTAAAAGGCTGCGGTGGTTAGAAGAAGGCCAGACTAGAAGAAGGCCAGACACTTACAGTCAATCCACGAGATCGAATCCTTGAACACACGCGGAAGAGAGGAGAGGTGGTGAATTTATGGTGGTGTGTTTGTCCAAGCAGGCCTCCCGCCGCAGGATGACGACGGTGGAGAACAGGATTGGGAGCGGCGATCGACCGAACATGGCCCAAGCTCCCAATAGCGGCTTGGCGCGACTTCGAGCTCTTTGATCGCGTCGCAGAAGCCACACCGAAACTTTGCTTTCACGATTCCACTGCGCCTGCCCCTCCTACACCCTTCCCGACATGAGCAGCGGCGACCCAGCATCTAATCTCCTCCTCAATGCAGTGCTACACTGAAGTGGCCCCGCCGACGGCCGTCAGCCACGCCCTTCACCTCCCCTTCCTCGCCCCGAAAGCCAACAATCTGATCGTTGTAAAGAATTCCCTCCTTCAGATCTTCGAACTCAAGTCTACCGTCACCGAGGTCTCTGTCGCCGGTGATGGGGAAGCAACTAATGTGTCCCCGGTCTTCAACTCCGAGGTCGCAGACGTGCCCTTCCATCGCACTGAGCACACGGCAAGGCTTGTTCTTGTCGGCGACTTCCCGCTTGCCGGCACCGTCACGTCACTTGCACGCGTCAAGGTGCTGGGCACAAAGTCCGGGGCGGAGGCGTTGTTGATTGCATTTCGGGATGCCAAACTCAGCCTAGTGGAGTGGGACCCAGAGACATACTCTCTCCAGACGATATCAATACACTACTATGAAAAGCCAGAACTCTCTGGAGCGCCATGGGATGCAGAGCTGAAAGATACATATAACTTCTTGACAGCAGATCCCAGCAGTAGGTGCGCTGCCCTCAAGTTTGGCACCCGCAATTTGGCCATTCTGCCCTTCAGAGAGCGCCATCTGGCCGAGGACGACTATGGTTCGGATGTAGATGGCATGCGGGAAGACAAATATGACCATGCAAACGGTGCCAATGGCGAAGAAGTGCACAAGACGCCCTATCACTCTTCATTTGTGCTGCCATTGACTCTTCTTGACCCTGCTCTGACCAATCCTGTCCACTTGGCCTTCCTGTACGAATATCGTGAGCCCACGTTTGGCATCGTTGCATCGTCGCGCGAGACTGCGCCTTCATTGCTCACTGAACGAAAAGACATCCTCACCTACACCGTCTTCACTCTCGATCTCGAGCAGAAGGCTTCTACCACTCTACTATCTGTTACCGGTCTCCCATACGACATTTCCAGAGTGGTTCCGCTCCCTCTACCCATCGGTGGCGCGCTTCTGGTTGGTGCTAACGAAATCATCCACGTCGACCAGGCCGGAAAGACAAATGGAGTGGCTGTCAACGAGTTCTCGAAAACTTGCACCGCGTTTCCTCTAACAGATCAATCAGATCTGGCATTGCGACTCGAAGGCTGCATGATTGAGCTTCTTTCCCAAGACACTGGTGACGTTCTCATCGTCTTGAATAACGGCAGGCTAGTCACCCTGACTTTTACTTTGGATGGGCGGAATGTGTCAGGCATAACCCTTCAACCGGTTGCTGAGCATCATGGTGGCCATGTACTGAGTTGCAGGGCGTCGTGTGCCACAAATCTCGGTCGCGGCAGGATATTTGTTGGGAGTGAGGATGCTGATTCGGTTCTGCTAGGATGGACGAGTAAAGGTGGCCAGTTTGGAAGGAAGCGGTCGCAGGCTGACATTCCTACAGAGGATGCAGATATGTCACTTGATGAAGATGAGGAAGAGATGGATGACCTAGATGACGATCTCTATAATGACACAACGAGCACTGTCAGGAGGATTACTGCCGTGGCCGCTGATCCTACCGCTCCTGGGAGTTATACCTTCCGAATACATGACGTCTTGCCGAGCCTTGCTCCGATAAAGGATGTCATTGTTCACTCGGCGAGTGAGCAGCCTTCAACACAACCTCATATCACAGGTGACCTCCTCGTCTCTACTGGGCAAGGCAGCGCTGGTGGTGTTACTGTACTCAACCGTGACTTGATTCCGACAAATCTAGCAGAGTCGACATTAGCCTCCGTTCGAGGACTCTGGACTGTACACGCTAAGAAACAGGCACCTAAAGGAATGATCATGGATATTGGGCAGGATACTGAAGGCAACTTGGCGTCTGATGCCGAATACGATGAATACCTCGTCGTTTGCAAAGCCGGCTCCAACGGCAATGAAGACACCGTTGTCTATGAAGTGAATGGCAATGAACTCAAAGAGAGTGCCAAGGGTGATTTTGAGCGTGAAGATGGATCTACTATGAACGTGGGCGTCCTCGCCGGGGGAACAAAGGTCGTGCAAGTCATGCAGAGTGAAGTGCGAACGTACGACTCAGAACTTAACATGGAGTTGATTCTTCAGATGGAAGATGAGGAGAACGGTGCCGAGCTACGAATCATCAACGCAAGCTTCGCAGACCCATACCTGTTGGTCTTACGTGACGACTCAAGCGTGAAGCTATTCAAGGCGACCGGAAGTGGAGAGTTGGAGGACGTCGAGTGCAGCGGACTGTCCTCAACCAAATGGCTTTCCGCCTCGCTCTTTAAATTGTCTTCCTTTTCAGAAGTTTTCGCGTTTTTATTGACTTTCGAAGGAGGTCTGCAAGTGTTCGCAATGTCTGACCTGGAAACACCTGCATTTGTCGCCGAAGGTTTGGGGTTCCTTCCTCCTCTCTTAACAGCTGAGTACTCCACCCGACGCTCTTCGGCAAAAGCAACCCTCACGGAAATCCTGGCAGCGGATTTGGGTGATCAGACGTCGAAATCGCCTCACTTAGTGGTTCGGACGTCGACCGATGACCTTGTCATCTACAAAGCCTTCCATTACCCATCACGAGCCAACTCGGATCCCTGGACCAAGAATTTGAGATGGATCAAACTTCCGCAACCGCATCTTCCTAGATATACCGAAGAACCAGCCCTGGATGCGGAAGATGTCGGACAAGAAAACACAATGGTTGCTTTGGACAATGTGAATGGATACAGCACCGTATTCCGGCGAGGTGCATCGCCATCCTTTATTCTGAAAGAGTCGTCAAGCGCTCCAAGAGTCATTTCGCTCAGCAGCAAAGCTGTCAAGGGGCTTACCCGATTTCATACTGTGGGTTGTGAGAGAGGATTCGCGTATATTGACGTTGACGATACGCTCCGTATCTCCCAACTACCACCTCAAACTCACTACGGACATTTGGGATGGGCTGCGCGCAGATTTCCTATGGGATCGGATATCTATGCAATGTCGTACCACCCAAGGGGTGTATACGTCATGGGAACAGGGGAGCTGCATGAATTTACTCTTCCGGAAGATACGTCTCATAGCGAGTGGGCTAGGGAGGATATCACGTTCAAGCCACATGTTGAACAAGGTGTCCTCAAGGTATTCGATGCTCAAACATGGTCGATTATCGACACTCACATCATGGACCCGCAAGAGAGAATCCTCTGCGTCAAGACGCTGAATCTCGAAATCTCAGAATCAACACACGAGCGCAAACCGCTGGTTGCAGTTGGTACAGCCATCACGCGTGGCGAAGATCTGGCTACAAAGGGCTGCATACGCATCTTTGAAGTTATCACCGTTGTCCCAGAGCCCGGTCGACCCGAGACAAACAAGAAACTGCGGCTTATTGTCAAAGATGAAGTGAGAGGTGCCGTTTCTGCGATTTCAAGTCTTGGAACCCAGGGGTTTATGATCATGGCTCAGGGGCAGAAATGCATGGTGCGGGGGTTGAAAGAGGATGGCACTTTGCTGCCGGTGGCGTTTATGGATATGCAGTGTCATGTTACGTTGTTGAAGTCACTGGGGGAGACGGGTATGCTGTTGATGGGGGATGTTTATAAAGGGCTTTGGTTAACGGGATATACGGTAAGTCGCCCTCTCCATATATCGGACATGGACCCAAAGAAGCCTAATGAGGTTAACAGGAAGAGCCGTACAAGATGATGCTCTTTGGCCGAAGCCGTACACACCAAGAAGTCCTCGCTGCCGAATTCTTGCCATTTGAGAAGACACTGCATTTCATTATCGCTGATGCGGACATGAATCTACAAATCCTAGAGTACAATCCTGACAGTAAGCGTCCCCCTCCCACGAAAACGAAATACTATGCTAACCGAAATCTCCCAGACCCCAAATCAATGGGGGGCCTTCGCCTCCTCCAAAAATCCACTTTCCACACAGGCCATTTCCCAACAACAATGACACTCCTCCAATCCCGCATCTCCCTCCCTTCAACCTCCGACTTCCCTGCCCCCTCCCTCGACAGCGACGTGATGGACACTTCCCCCTCTCCCTCGTCCTCATCTACCCCTTTCCAACAAATCCTGGAAACAACCCAGTCTGGAACCCTGGCCCTCATAACCCCCCTCAGCGAATCCTCGTACCGTCGCTTATCTGGCCTGGCCACTTTCCTTGCGGCGAACCTCGAGAGTCCTGCCGGTCTTAATCCGCGCTCTTGGAGGGCCGTGGAAGGGGAGCTTGGGGGTGGAGGGGGGATGAGAGGCATGGTTGATGGGAATTTGTTGATGAGGTGGGGGGAGCTAGGAGCGGGAAAGCAGAAAGAGGGTCTGGGGAAGGTAGGGGGCGATGAGTGGGTTTTTAGGGGCGAGAGGGAGGGGTTAGGGGGTGCGGGGGTTTTTGGGAGGGGTTAGGGAGGAGGAGGGTGGTATGGCAAGCAAGTTCTTAAGTCTTCATCCACCTCGAATACCAATGGTTTTCCAAGATTCAGCAAAACCGTAAATGTGTAAGCAATGAGTAGCTAGATGAATGTAAAGTATTCCCTCAGGTTCTACCGACCTTCCCATGATCCAGTCCTCTTCCTCGTCATCTAGGACTGGATATCAGCTCGAACAATGTTACATATAGAGGACATGCAGATGTAATCTATGTGCGTATACGGTGCAATGTAGTGCAGGGGTAAACCCAACTCGACCACTTTCAAACCAACTCAATCAATGTCTCCTAGTCGCTTGCTCGCTCATGCAGACTACCTATTCTACCGCACGAATACCCAATAAACAGCCCTGAGAACAAAATCGCCTAAGCGCAAAATCCTCCGTATATGCATACTTTTGCCATATCCCTACTCCCCTAATCCCCTTTTTCCTACCACCAATCTTCCCTCCCAACCCCTCAGCCCCAATCTCTGCCTCACTCATCAACCTCCCTCCACCTTCCCCCCTCCCCCTCCCCCTCCACAATCAACCGATTACTTCCCACGCTCCCACATGCCTCCACCAACTTCTCAGCCGTCTCCTTCCCCGCACTCGGCGTCTTCACTTCATATCTTTTCCCCTCTGGCGCGGGTTTCCCGTTAATGGGATACGGAAACTTGAGCCAGGGTGGTAGCAGCCCAAGTTGGAAGAGCACGGTGGCTTGGTCCCAGGAAATATGCTCGTGGTAGAGGCGGTCGCCGCGGATGTTGATGATGGATGTGAAGGGGATGGCCAGGGGAAGGTTGGTTGGGGGGATGGATGGGAGACTATGGGGGGAGGGATTAATTGTGGTTGTTTGAAAGGAGTGGATAGTGGATTGGGGGGAGGGATTGATGGGGCGAATCAGAGGGTGCGATATAGGACAGGTAGGTGAGGAGTGTGATTAGATTGGGAACAGAGAAATGAAAAAGATGTGGAGGTGAAGGAAGTTCTTTGAAGTAGGGAAAGGCAAAGTAAGGATGGGGGGTGGAGAGTAGGCAAGACTTACAGCCAATCAATTACGCGATTATGCGTGCATTTAAACACAAATTCATCGATAACGCGGTCGATACCTACTGTCCGGGATACGAGTTCGAGTTTTGTATCGGCTGGGTTTGAGAATATGAAGTGGTGAGTGTAGAAGGCTGTTAGGCGGTCTTTGCCAATTCCACCTCTGGGAAACGGTAATCAGCATCGGCAGGTACTTCACCCTTTCCTTTCTAGCGTATCTCATTTTCTCTCTTATACAAGACAGATAGACAAACATATAGACCTAAAACCAAAGGCCGTTGGGACTTGGAAGGAGCGAAAGGAACTCACGTCATTGTAGGGATATGGTTGACATATGGTTCTGCGACCATGGTTGCCATGGTTTTCTCAACATCTCGCTCCACAAACTCAAACCTACAATGCTCATCCCAGATAGCTTCGAGGTTGAAGTAAGGGCCCCCCAACAAGGGCTTGAGGAATGACAAACTACGCGAATGCGATAGATTCGCTGAACTCGCGTGATAGCTCTCATCGGCCGGAAGCATCCACAACCCCTCATTCGCATCGACGTAGCGAAATTGCTTGACTTCGCCTTGGGATTCACAAGGTTGGCTGGAGGTCACTTCATCGTCGGGTACCACAGAAATAGACTCGCGTCGAGGCGCTGGTTTGCCGGAGATGTGGAGGAGTTGAGCTGGAAGGGTATTGTGGGAGGGGTCGATGGAGCGGAAGGGTTTAAAAGAGTAGGATATTATGGCTTTGATGTCTGGGCAGAGACAGGCGGGTTCTTCAATATAAAAGGGGAGTCTGCGGAGGTATGCTGGGAGGATGGTTAGTGGGTATCCAACCATGATTTTTTTCCGAATTAGGGATTCCAAGTCGCAAATCTGATACTAATGGTCTCTTACAACAACGAACAAGGAAAGAATAGAAAACGGGACGCGTAAACATAGAAGTGGAAGGAAGCAAAGAAAATCCAATCATTTACATATCAACCCAAACCCGCCCTCCTCGCATCCTTCCAACTTCCTCAGCTCATCAACCGCCTGTTGCAGAGGAAATTCATCCGGCTTTCCAGGCACCAAAACTTGCGCGACTGCAAATCCCTCCTCAGCCCATTTCAGCAATGGTGGTGGATCAAGACTGCTTTTGCTCTTCTCAAGCAATGCATAGTGGTTGAGCACTAAAATCAGGCCCGGCCCGCGTCCTCGTCGAGAAAGTGGGGGCTGCAAGCTCAGGTGGGGTGATATTTCAATCGTCTTCGCATCGGGGATCTTCAAACTCGAGAGTTCGTGGGTGAGTTCGGGGACGTCGCCCATTGCAACGGTGGCGAGTGTGCCGAGCGTTTCTAGGAGAGCGTTGCAGAAATGTGTACTCTATGTGATGTGTTTTGCAACGGAAGTTTTGGGGGGGGGGGGGGGGGGGTGGATGTCAAGCATTTGTCTGCACGACGCAGCTGGAGCAGCGCAGGTTCCCCGCTATTGCATCAGTGCCACGAGGGGCATTGTCTGTGTAACGCTAAGGACTGATAGGGGAAACCGTGATACCAACAACCTTTGGAGCCCTGGCTAGCTCAAGGGATTTCCCGGGATGAGGCGGGCAGATGATCAAGAAGATTGGGGCGCGGGCATGGCGGATGATCGTTTAAGTATATTTCTACCTCAAATTTAGAGAGCCTTCTATCAAAACAATTGCAAAGTCCTCACTCTAGCTATATAGGAAGGTAATTCTGGCCTGGATTCATGCCATCTCATTTCTAACCAAATATCCCAACATTCTGCTATCACCCCCGATTGCTGATTCCGGGCTTTTTACGTAGCCTGCGACGACGCTTGGATCCGTGGGGCCGAGGACTTGAATGATTTTCTTCAGTTTGTCTTGTCGGATTTGTTGGTTATGTTTTCTTCGTGCCTCTCGCGCTTTCTTGATGAAGCCTGGTTTGTTCTCGTCCCTGTCATTCTCATCTCCGCGGAATTTACGCCAAGACACCATTGACTTGGGGCTTGATGACGACTCCTGTGCTGCTGAATGCTCTGAGCCGCGAGAATGCTGAGACTGGGATGCAACTTCGGCATAAATGACGGCTGTTAGTGTGGACTGCTCGCCTTCGGGTTCTCGGGGTGCACGTTGATTCTTCTTGGAACTGGTTAATGAAGAGTGATGCTCTGGTGTAATTGGATTTGGCGACGTAGGAGATGTTACGTTGTCAGATGCACCTCCAGTACCAAATGAAATAGCTATGGTGCTTCTTGACCCCGGTGGTTTTGACTTGGGCGCAGGCGATGGAAACGCTCTAACAATCACAAATCCTCTTGGCAGACGAATTAGCGGCTCCAACAATTGAGGAGTAGCTGCACAATTAGGAGGCTCTGTCTGTTCCTTTCTTTTTGCGCTCTTCTTGATAGGTAGCTTCCATCGGAGATAAAATTCGAAAAACCGGGGATGCTGCTTGAGCAATTTTTCGACTTGGCTTTCTGGAATTTGCGATTCTTTGTTCGTGCCTTTGCTACCATGACTTTCTGCCGACTGAATCGTTGAGGTAGAGTAAGACCTGTCTCGTCTAACCCCAAAGCTCAGACGTTCAGGAACCCATGAGCGCCGGTGATTTTTCTCCTTATTCACTTCGGGGGACGCTTCGCTGTGTAGAAGTGGTTTTCGATTCTCATTTAGGGAATCTCTACGGGGATTGGAGCCCGCAGAAGACGACTGCCAAGATAAAGGTCGAGGAACTAACCGATGATTGTGGCGGTGTTGCTTTACATATAATCTTTGGCCTTCTAGCACACTAGGGCTACCAAGGTGAGGTGGTCCCTTTCTCAACACCTCCTCTTGAGATACACTGAGTCCTTGGTATGGGTCGATGAATAGCTCGTGGTAGCCTTGAAAACATCTCAGTTGCCTGGCCCTATCGTCCATGTCTTGGCCCCCCAAGCTGTCTTCCGCTAGTGGGCTTCCCTTGTTTAGCGCTCGACGCTCTTTGCCCTTTAGATACTGCCGGACAGTTCGGTCATGCTTAGAGCCTTGCCCAGCAGGCTCTTTGCGGGGGATATTAGGGGATTCTTGAAGTCTATTTGATGGATTGCTACCTGAAGTACCGTGGGTTTTCTCGTGGGACCGCTGAGACAAGTTGGAACCGACCGACGACTCCGTCCATGGGTTTCGTTTTACATTGCGGTTTGGGCCGGGGCATGAAGCTTGAGTAGGTGGAGGGTGTCGAGGGAATTCTACTTCATTGACTTTGACACTTGGCAACGGCAGAGATGGTAGAGACGATTTTGGAGTGGTTCGCGGAGGCCCCAGGTCAGGCTCACTCTCATATATGGGCAACAGTCGAGATTGCTGACTTGAAGTTGGTCTAGCTAGGACAGGGTGGGTAGTTGATGGCAGTGGCGAAGGATCTTTGTCAGCTGATGGATTTTGTGGCAAAGCCCTGTTGTTGATGCGAATCGGCGGTACGTTCTTGACGAAAGACTTAAAAGAGCGAATAGGCTTTTCCATTCCAGCCAGCGATGTTGAAGAAGAATTGGCTTGCCTAAATGGCGAATGCAAATGGCTCCGTCTGCTTCGGTTCATGCCCTTGTAATTGCGAACAGAAGGTGGTCGACGGGACCAAATATGTCACCATATTAAGTCTTTCTAGAAGAATTCCAACAAAGAAAAGGGGTAGGAGGCTTGCGCATTGAGACAAAACTTCCATGGTAGGAGAATCCTTGAGCGAGAGAACAAAGACTAGATGAATTTGCTGTCCCCTTCCGGGACGAACGTTTGCTTCCGCATGCAGACAATTTCCTACTGAAGTTTCCTCAGTGCAACAGCTCGGAGGCTGTTCGTCAGGGAATGGGGAAGGTAACTACGGAAATTCCATCATGATTAATCGGTAGCATCTCCAGTAGCCAACGAAAGCTTACGCAGAAATCTTAAGCGTGCTGGCAATGTAAGTAGAATCAACAAGGAAGCGTGATCCATCAGCGGGACTTAGAGTCGGTCCCTTGTCGATGATGCCCGAGGCATCCATCGCACTCGAAGATGAGCGTTTGATGGAAAAGGGAAGTGCAGTCTTGAGATGTTTTAGAAGAGAAACCCGAGTAATGAGATAGGGCTGGAAGGAGTCGGTAAGTGTTGTGCGGTCGATGCGTCTATCAGTAGTGGGAAGTGTACGTGTTGGCCGTGTTTGGCAGGCTGACCCGGAGATCCGAAGGAGGGCTCCATCCACCGCTTCCAGACGGCGACTCCATGTCTCTAGGCTACATAATATCAAAATGCACCGCTTTCGCACGCACAAAAAACGGCACATACTAAGCTTTCCAACGTTATGCCGTCTCTCCATTTGATGGATTATTCATAAAGTAGGAGTGCGGCCGAATTTGAGACGTGCCTTGGCAGCCACACGGTGTAATTTTGCGCCGCTTTTCATGGGCAGAACACCGAGTGACCGAAGCCCTCCCGTAAACTCGCGAGTGTAGCCCTCTTCAGAGTTACTCCGTCCCGTTCGCGTCTGTCGTAATCTCTGCATGAGGCGTCGCTTTCCCCTTCTCGGTTTAGTCACGACCGTGATTGATCTTGTGAATTTAACATCCGCTCCGACAGAGAGGGCAGGGCTGAAAGTGCGGCCGTACCGATCTCGCAAAGCCATGACCCACAACCAAACAACCCAGATTCCGACTCTTGAGGGAATGGCTTTCGTAGGCGTAATGTATTGTCCCGAGTACCCAGTGTGGCTAGGGATCTTTCCTCTTCCTTCGCGTCGAGCTGGATCTATATCTAGGCTTCTGCCATATCACTTCGGCTCCCATCCCACCAGAACCAGATCTTAGAAGCTTCCCAAAAGCAATCATCAACTCTTTGCTCCTCTTCAACCCTTTCAACGTTCTATCTTGTTCATTAACCTCACTCACACAACGTTGCTCAGCCCAATGGCTGCCCCTTCGTCTCAGTCTTTGGCGGATGCCATCGACGAGTCCAAACTAAACTTGCCCGAGTCGGACCTGAAATTAGACGCCTCTTCTGAACAGAATATTCCATCGATATCAGAAAATTCGCAGGACTCATCGGAGTCAGCCTTCAATCCAGGATGGCGGTTTGTGGCTGCGTTCGCTTCACTCTCCGTCATCACTCTGATGGCGGCTCTTGACGCTACATCTATATCTGTAGCTCTTCCGGTATGCATCTCAACAACTTGACTTTAGGGTACTTTCTGATTGCGCATAGATTATGGCAAAATTGCTCAAGGGCTCAGCCATCGAGGCTTTTTGGTCAGGGACTTCGTTTCTTCTCACTTCAACAGTGTTCCAACCAGTGCTTGGCTCGTTCTCTCACATATTCGGTCGAAAGCCTTTGATCTACCTGAGTCTGGTCTTGTTCCTTGTAGGGTCCATTGTCGCAGCCATAGCTAATAATTTCACCGTCATTCTGGTTGCAAGGAGCATTCAAGGTATTGGTGGTGGTGGCATTATCGCCTTGACGGAGATTGTGGTCACTGATATGGTCCCGTTGAGAGAGCGGGGAAAGTGGTTCTCTATGATTTCTGGAATGTGGGCTATTGGAACTGTTGCAGGGCCTTTATTGGTAAGTATATCGTCTCTCCTCTGGCTCTTGGTATCTAAGAATGTCTTAGGGTGGTGGCTTCTCCCAGAACGTCTCCTGGCGATGGATCTTCTGGATCAATCTTCCTTTCATCGGCATTGGAGGTATCATGATCACTTTCTTCCTACAGCTAAACTATAAAACGAGCTCCCTCCTCTCAAAGCTTCGACGAGTGGATTGGATCGGCATGGTCTTATTTCTTGGATCTACGACGGGCTTCTTGATTCCCATTACATGGGGCGGCGTCCAATACCCTTGGGATAGCTGGCGCACGTTGGTTCCCCTGCTCGTCTCTGCAGCTGGTCTGGTTGCATTTGTCATTCATCAGGAGTACTTTGCACCGGAACCTCTCATTAGGACTAGTGTCTTCAAGAACACGACTGCTGCCGTTACCTATCTCGAAACCGTCATCCACGGCATCATTCTCTGGAGTGTGCTTTACTACCTACCTCTCTACTACGAGGCAGTAAAGGGATTCTCGCCAATCCTCTCCGGCATAGCTCTTTTCCCTCAAACCTTTACTGTAGCCCCAGCTGCCATGGTACATTCAATACTCTCCCAAAAGTAGAATACATTGGCACTAACTAGTCTCCAGGTTGTCGGCGCTACCATTGCATCTACTGGAAAATATCGATGGGCGATCTGGTCAGGTTGGTTCTTCACCACCTTCGGCATGGGTCTTCTCGTTTTGTTGAAGACTGACACAACAACTGTTCAATGGATATTTCTCAATCTTGTCGGTGGCCTAGGCACCGGCATCCTCTTCCCTGCCATGGCTATCACTGTTCAAGCCGCCGCCGTGAGCGCCGACCAAGCCTACGCCTCCAACATCTTCTCCTTCCTCCGAGCCTTTGGCCAGACCCTCGGCGTCGCCATCGGCGGCGTCATCTTCCAAAATCAGATGAAGAAGAAGCTACTTACATTCCCACTACTCGCCGACAAGGCCGCCGAATACTCCAAAGATGCCGCGGGACTCGTCCAGATCATCAAGAGTCTACCTGAAGGCGACATGAAGCACCAGCTCCGCGTCAGCTACACTGATGCGTTGAAGTACATCTGGATTGTCATGACTGTTCTGGCTGCCGTAGCTTTGGCTGCGAGTTTGTTCACGAAGGCGTATTCGTTGGATCGGGCGTTGGAGACTGAGCAGGGGTACAAGGAGAAGAGGAGGTCAAAGGATGTGGAGAATGAGGCGAAGGCTGAAGCTTGAGACATACACTCCGCACTGGTATTGTACAACCACCAAACACAACACAACACAACGCATAGATATGGATGGTGATCCCTACTCTTATTTTGGACTGTATTAGCGTGGCGTTTTTTAGATGGTGAATGGGCTTGGACTTATGGATTTCATACTTCATCCCATCCCGCATCGCATCGCTGCATCATCACAGCGCTCTCATAACGATCCGAAAGAGATAGACTAGAGAAAGACGCGGCAACTCCGGGATAAGCCTATGACCTCGTTTCAAGACCTGGATAGATATCTATTCGCAGATAGTACTTAATGTTTAACTTCCCTCTCCCTCTCTCTCTCCAATCTTCATGTCCATGCTTCTGTCTGTCGTTTTTGGGTAATTTTATATGGGGACTGGAGTGATGGTACGTGGACCTGGGTTCGATCATCAGGGTTCATCCATTCATTGATTGTTTCTGTCTCAACTCTCGCTTGCCTTCATATTTATTATTAGCATTTCTGCCAGAGAGAAATTGGCTCCAGCCTGATATTTTCCAAACATGGCGGATCGGAATCTGGTGACAATACGTTCCTTCTCGTCTGGCTGGGTGTGATCGGGAGCTACCCGTGACATTGTGCGACGTGCTGACAGTCTCGCTCGGTTATTTCACAAAATGATGAGTGCACACGAGCGCCAAATTTGGAAGCTTAAACTCCCGAATCCGTACAAGATTGATTCGAGGATTCGTAAACATCTACCGACGTCTGCACGTCGTACCACTGAATGAGCAGCCGAGACCTCAGGCCCTGGATTTAGACATTTCGACGAATGAAAATTCAGAGAGAGTGTGTGTTGGTCTCAGGTTACGATGGGGTCTTGTCCGAGGAGTTGTGCTGGTCGATGGTCGCGTCAGAGAGTGAGCAGGGGGGCTTGTGAAACGCCCATCAGCAGGGGTTGCGTGCGAGGAGGCATGACGGGATGGTGTGGATGGGATCCTTGCGGATGACATCTGTCGACACCGTGCAAGTGGTGAAGGGATAGGTGGGCAAGAGGTTGGGCGAAGATCTTAAGAGGGGGGTTGTACTGTTATACAGGAGCGAGCGTTAAGGAGGGCGATGATGCAAGGCGTGCGAAATTGTAATTCAGACACAGTTTGAGCATGTGAAGGCTTGGAGACGACTTTATTGGGAACGGAGGGGAGGTTGAGGCTGCTGGTGAAAGCGTGAGGGTTTGAGGAGGTTAAGGCGCATTGGAGACTAAGTCACTCAGGCAAAACAGAGAGAGTCTCGCAATTGAAGATTTTCGGGATAGCGGTTGGAGAGCATGTGAGTGTGTGACGGTCGGCCTGATCAAATTGTTGTCGTTGGGTCTGACCTGTCGAGGCAGTCTTGGGAAGTGGGTGTTGTGGGCTGTTGCTTGTGCATGGGTGATTTGAATTTCAAGAGAGGCTTCGTCACTGCCATGCTGATGGCACTGCAGATCGCGCAGCTTGCCGGAGGCGAAGATGAGGTCGCGATGATGGAATCAGCTGCAAGTGGTCGGTCGTCGCAAACCAGCAAGCATCTCCTCGCATCGTCATGGCCATGGTATCACTCCAGCCACGATGTCGCGCTCTTGTGCGCTTTCTGAAATTAATTGGCCGCGGGAGGGCCGACTGGGGTGTTTGTGTGGATCTCGGATGGGGAGAGGGGATGTTGGTGGTGGTCAATCGACCAGCGCGGCCGCGTCGCTCGCGTTGAAGTACAGAGCTCTCCTTTTCAAGCAAACGGCGATTGTCCTTGCGATATCTGGATTGTGTTGAGGCGTCAAACGACTGCCATCAAATTGTTCCCAGTTCACAGCTGTCACGTGAAGAAACAAGCTTTCTAGTGCTGCGGCAGGAGATTACAGCCTTTCCAGAACGCGTGCCATTGGGTTCCTGCGGCGACGGACCTTGCGCTTCATCTCAATCGACCGCTTTCACCGACCCGAAGCAGCACACCCCAGCGGCCGCGCTCAGAGTCTCACCCCTTCAACGAACGTCAGGCTTGCTGCACCTCGACAACACCCTCGCAGCCGCCATCGCGAGTGCTTTCTCTCGTTTTCAATAAGCCTTTTCCTCACTCCAGTCGCTCGTTTCAGACTCAGCCGTTGCAGCCATCATCCACCCGGAATTCAGGCAAGCCAAGCCAGCCCGCTTGACAAACCGCCGGCACCTCCTTCTGCCGTCGAACGCCAATCGGGAGCGCAACCACACCTTCCAGGGCCTCCACGCTCAAGTGCCCTGCTGTGTGCCTGCTGCCAGCACCCACGGAACGCCGATCCTGAGGGTCATGTCTGTGGTGGCCACCTCCTGTTGACCGTCAACACACTTCACACTCTTTTTCCTTCTCCGACACATTTTTTCGCACACGCACAATTGTCGCCCGGCCTCGGCCATGAGGGACCTCTCCTCATCGCTGTGCTTCAGGGCCGGCAAGCTCGCACTCTCATGTCTACTACTCGCGTCATCACACATCCTCCCATCTGCGAGCGCATTCAGCTTCACATCGATACCCTCGCCTAATCTCAACCTTGACGGCCTCGGTCGCGTTGCCTTCGCCGGCAACTTCGACTCAATATCTCTCTACCAGTTTGAAGGCCAGAGCGAAAAGTCTGCCGGATCTAATGGTGCCCTCCTTTCGCGGTTTCCCAATGGGGTATTCGCCCCCCTCAACAATACCGATGCTGACATCAAGGCAATGTGCGCCTTCCAAGCGAACGGCACGCTGCAGGGGATCGTCTTTGGAGGAAACTTCACGAGCGTTGGAGAGACACACACGCCTGGCGGCATCGCATGGCTCAATGTGACCAGTGGCCAGGTCTATCCCTTAACGGGCTTGAATGGCACTGTCAATGCTCTCTTCTGCGACCCGGACGCCGGGCGAGTCTACATCGGCGGCTCTTTCACCGGCGGCGGTGCAAGCAATGCCATCGTCTGGACTACCCAATGGACAAACATGCCCTTCTCTGGCTTCAATGGCCCCGTCAACTCTATCACAAAACTCAATGGGAACATAATATTTGGAGGAAAATTTAATGGGCTTGGTAATTCGACTGCGCCGAAGGAGAACAACACACAAGTCATACCAATTGGATCCGCAAGCATCTCGGCTCAGACCAGCTCTGGCACTCCAGGTTTTACCGATCCAAGCAGTATTGTCTGCAAGACTGGCACAACCGATGGCACCAGCAATAATACATGGCTTTTGGCGGATAACACGCCTGGCTTCTGGAAGGCCGAATTTGCCTTCGGATTTGAACCGTCGAAACTCCGGCTGTACAACACGAAGTTTGAAGGTCGCGGAACACGCGAATGGCGATTCACTGCGTTGCCGGACGGAGGCATTATGAATTTCTCCTACATCGACCCAACGTCTGGGACACAAAAATTCTGCGATGCCCGATGTCCCCTACCCGAAAACAACGTCACGGCTCAGGATTTCCACTTCGTCAACACTGTGGGCATGAATTCCTTCAGGCTTGACATTTCTGGTTTTTATGGGAAAGGTGGCGGCCTCAGCGGTATCGAGCTATTCCAGAATGGTGAGCACGTCCTCTTAGTGTTCTGACATCAGACTAATTCGTGCAGAAATCTTCTCCTTCGCGATCAGTAACTTCAACGAGCCAGCCTGTGATGGTGTGAGCGTGGGGGCGAAGTCAACCGCCACGGGTCCATGGCAGACCACACCATCCCACCAAAGTAACGCGAACTACCTCAGCGCCGTCCTCCAAGGGAATCCTGTCAATCAAAGTGCTGCGCAGGTCATTTTCACGCCCGACATAAGACAATCCGGAAACTATTCAGTCACTGTTTTCACACCGGGCTGTGTCGGCGACGGCACTTGCGGAAACCGCGGGAGGGTGAATATTACGGGGACTTACTCCCAGACAACCTCGTCTGCGGACGGACCTCGTACTACTGAGCTGTTTCAGACCAACAATTTCGATAAATATGATGAAGTCTACAGGGGTTTCGTCGATTCTACGGATAGCTTTCGCCCTTCGGTTACACTGACTCCGATGGCCGGTCAAACTGGCCCAATAACAATCGTGGCACAAAGAGTCCGTTTTGAACTTCTTACGGCGGCATCCGGAAACCTGAATGGTATCTTTGAATACGATCCCAGCAAGCAGGACGTTAATATTAACTTCCGGGAGTCGGTGATCGATTCTGCTGGAGCTAGTTTAACTCCCAGGGACCAGGCCATTGTTAACTCGGTTGTTACGGATAATAGCTCTTTGTTTGTGGGTGGTAATTTCTCCGGTAATGGACTGAACAACATCTTCTCTATCCAAAAGGACGCGACGAAGGCAACCGGCCTTCCCGAAAATGGGCTCGACAGCGAAGTTCTCACCATGTTCTTGAATGGTACCACGATGTATGTCGGAGGCAATTTTACGAAGACTCAGGACAACAAGACACCCGGGCTTCAGGGCATTGCGGCCTTCTCGACAAGCGACAACAAATGGCAGGCTCTCGGTGCTGGCGTCAATGGTGTAGTCATGTACATCGTTCCGTTTCCTCTGAACATTACTGGCAATCGTCCCGAAACCGTTCTAGGAATCAGTGGCGTCTTTTCTCAAGTCAACCAATTTGGAAGCAATGCCTCGTTTGCTGCACAGAATTTTGCGATTTGGGTGCCCTCCCGATCGAATTGGTTGCACAACCTCAATGTCGGTACCATCTCAATTGAGGGTGCCTTAACTGCTTTTACTGAAGTTCCTGGATCTGACCCGCTGTTTGGTGGTTCGATTAACTCCCAAGCGTTGGGTGCAAGCGGTGCGGTGGCTTTGGAATCTGGAAACCCCTTATCGCTGGAACAGTTCCCCGTAGCCATTCAACCTCAGCAATCGTCCCAAGGATCTCTTCAGAAGCGGGCAACGACCAATGGACAGAATCAGACCGGAGTCATCGCTGCAACTTTCTACAAGGGAACCAACAACAATATGAATAAAACCATTCTCGCCGGCCATTTCAAGGCAACCGACTCTGACGGCAAAAATATCACCAGCCTACTTATCATTGATGGAAAAGACTCGAATAAGATCACCGGTCTGCATGAGGAGATTAGTTCGGATTCTACTTTCCTGTCTTTGGCAGTGGTCAACAACATCCTGTTTGCTGGTGGGGCCATTTCTGGGACCGTTAACAACAAGGGGATCGGTGGACTTTTAGCCTTCGACCTTTCAAGCAACAACTACGTTAGTACGCAGCCACCAAGTCTCAGAGGAACAAATGTCACCGTCAACACCATCGCTGCTAGGCCAAAGTCCAGGGACGTTTTCGTTGGAGGAAATTTCAATTCAGCTGGCGACCTGAGCTGCCAAGCCCTTTGTATCTGGAATACCGATCGCAACCAGTGGGTCTCGCCCGGTGGTGACCTCGGGGGCTCCATCTCGTCCATGGCCTGGGTTACGGACACGAAACTCCTCGTGGCAGGCAATCTGACATCAGGCAACAACCAGACAAAGATTCTCATGTATGACTCTTCGAAGAGCACGTTTCAAGAGTACGATGGAGCCCGAGATCTTCCAGGTCCAGTTACTGCAATTTGTCCCGCCACCAGCGACGCGACTGAAATCTGGGCTACCGGCCAAGCCAGCAACGGTTCAGCTTTCCTCCAGCGATTTGGTAATGACAAGAAATGGCATCCTGTCCCAAACCTATTTGGCTCGGGCACCACCATCCGAGGTATTCAGGTCCTTTCGTTGGATAAACAGCATGGAAAATCGGATGTCATTGACCAGGGACAAGATCTTCTGATCCTTGGACAAGTCAACATCACCAATTTCGGTACCGCATCTGGTGTGCTTTTCAATGGCACCACTCTGCAACCATTCCTCCTATCAACGACTTCTCAGAACACACCTGGTAGCTTATCACAAGTATTCGTTGAGAACCCTCAATCCTTCTTCAAGCAACAAAGTAAGTTAGTTCTTCCTACTAATTATTTCAATTCTAACGAAAGATACAGAGAAGCACTTGTTGGTCATCTACGTCGTCCTCATCTCTCTTGCCATCGCTCTCGCTATTACCTTCCTCTTAATCGTCGCTGGTATCTTAATCGAATCGTACCGCAAGAGGAGCAAAGGTTACACTCCGATGCAGATGTCATATCCTGATCGGTCCGTCAACGTGAGTCGAGTGCCACCTTCAGAACTCTTCGCTACTCTTCGCGGAAACCGAACACCGGCGATTTGAGAGAGAAGAGAGGCATTTGAGAGTGGAAGATGACCACTCAACCTTGTACAAAGCTACGTTTCTGAGCAAGTAAGTTATCCATGCCCTTTAATTGCCTTTGCCACCTCCCTGCATCCTATGCCTACGCCTATGCCTATGAATTCGGTGAAGAACATGGACACCAAAACGAAAAGATTCTGGGAGCACGCGGGACTGGACGGCGTTTGCTTTCGGGGAGTTTTATACCAAGCCGGCCCTGGCCCTGGCCCTGGCCCTGGCCATTTTCCTGCTTTCTTGTTTACCATAAACCCCTTTCGATTCGAGTCGATCCTTGTATGTGCCTGTGTATATTACGGCCACCCTTTTTATTTTCTTCTTTTTGGAACTGCGAATTGCCAATCCAGCATGGCCGGGCGTTTTTATCTGGCTGCTTGCTGCTCGATTGCAGCTATGGGGCAATTTTATTACCCTTCGATGCACTCTTTTAGATGCATGGTTTTGCGAGAGCATGGGGTAGCGAGAGGATCCTTCTTTTACTTATGTTTGCTCCTGTCATATTGCGGCGAGGTGGCTGGCCTGGATATCAACCAAGCGTTCAGCATCAACGGATGTGGAGGAGTTTTCATAGCAGGCGTGGTGGGGATATGGGAGGAAAACCTACGGATGCGGATGCGGATGCAGAGGCGGACGCTGTGCTAGATGAAGAATGGAAGGGGTGGCTTAAAGGTGGCTCCATTGTGTCTATGTAGGTGAAGGACTTCGGCTCTCCGCAGCCTCACCTACCATTTTAAAGAGTGGAAGTAGCCTCTTTTCTTTTCTTTGTGTTTTGATACCACTCACCTTCTGCGCTGCATCTAGCGGCTGCATTTCTCTCTTCTCTTTTCCTTTCTTTCTGTGCTGGTCTAATGTGGTCGGATCTTAGTAATGTCTACTGCTGTAGTGCTGGTGAAAGTGAAAGTGAGGGCGGAGGTGAACGTTGTAGTTGTAATAGGTAGCTTAGGCACCCACGTAGCTGTGAGCTGTGCTCTTGTGGGGATGAGGGTGGAGGGTGAAAGTGAGACTGAGGGATGAAGGACGAGGAATGAGGATGAAATGGATTGAAATGGAGTGAATGTAAATCTAGATAGTTGGACTTGGACTTGGTGTCGAGTCTGGTGAATAGGTAATTTACTACTGTTCTGATTCTATCGAGTTTTAGATTTTCGGTATTGGTGATGTGATGTAATGTGGAATTGCCTTGGATGGTGATGTTCATAGCTGTGCTGCTGAATTTAAACTCCCAAATGGGGGCCTGGATTTGCTGGCAAAATAAAGGAGTGGGGCTCGGTCGGTTTACGCTTCGCCCTACAGCTGCATTGGCTCTTCACTCCAACAGAAGGGAGTGTATGTTATGAAGGGCTATCTCCTTCTCAACCAGAAAGTCGAACGTATCCACCACCATGCTCAGAAAGCCATCATAATCATATTCGATCCCAGTGACGGCGCGGGTTCTTTTAAGAGAGGTTGGATCAGGAGATTTGGTGCTTTGCGCTTACGGACAGCTTCTTGACATCGATTCCTTTCCTGATACCATCTTAAACGATGTCGATTAAAGAAGTAGAGGTGTCAGGTAGGAAAGTGAAACAAAGCTGGCCTCAGGGATATTCAGGGCAGGAAATATATCGGGGTAACAAGCATTCCAACTCTAATCAAACACGAGACCAAGCAAAGTGAGACTTGAGTTCGGTGAAATCTAGCTTTAAATCCGGGAGTGGAAGGAGCTTTAATTGAGTGGAAGCACATGGTAATGCGAGTTAGAACCACCTTTCACAGTAAAGGTGAAATGCTATTCGTGATCATTAGCCCTTGTAGCCTACCTAATATTCAGATAGGCTACCAATTGCACACCTGCTCCGACTTATGAGTAATGTCAAGCCACATGACTTCTTCATTCAGGCCTCGATTATATTCTCCCACTCGTAACGCATGCCATTGCTCGTAGACTCCTCCATGCATCTCATCTTACCTTACAAGAAGAACACGCACCACAGCCTTAGCAACACGCGCGTCAACCTAACTAACCCTATCCATCCATACCGGTACTATTGAAGCAAGTTTTTAACGTTGGGAGCAATGTGTGCAATAACGTTTCACTCAGCAAGGAGGGGCCCATGTCGTATAGACGCGAGTAGTCTGGGCCAGACAGGAGACGCATTTAAGGACTGATAAATAGAAAATATAGCTAGCGCTATCATCTCTTGATAAATGTCACTTGCAGAAATCAGCGCCAGGTGGCTCATTCACGTGCCTACAGGAAAGGGGTAATGCCATTGTCTACGGCGGACTATTAACAGGCGAAAGAACAAAACTTATTGGCACCATCAGAACCACAGAATTAACCACCTGCACTTCTATAACTATGTAGAATTTCTATTTAAGATGCTAGATATAGCTACCTTGTAGTAACAAAAGGCTATATTCAGCATTTTGTACAGAAAGACTGCATAGATGTCCTTTCACCTGTTAACAGTCCGCCGTAATTGTCTATCTTCAATCGCAGGCAAAAAAAAATGAGATAATGACAAGGGACATCGATCGGCTAAAAAGCTTCCTTCCTAGCCCAAAAAAGACAAGAGTCGTCCAAAAAAGAAATTGTTGTGTCGCTTCTGTGGATCGAACACAGTACCTCCAGATTTCGTTCGGTAGAACCGAAGTTTGCCGCTGTGAGGCGGATTGCTTCAGTCTGGCGCTCTCCCAAGTGAGCTAAAGCGACTTGTTTGATTATGGAGGACTTGAAAATAATGAAGTATATATAAGACTCAATTAAATTTTCACCATTGCAAGCGAGATTTTTCACCGCACCGTGAAACTCCTTCGCTTATTCTCGCCTCCAGCTTGGTACTGCTAGCCCTTTTCAGAGTAGCGGAGCGCGACCCGCAAGCAACCCCGAAAATTCCCCGCATTTACTTTGAAATTTTTTCAGCAGCCGCCCACAACAGTTCATGAGTTCGCGCCAGGTAAACTGTGCCCGGCTATCTCCAGAGTGATGACCACCCTTCCTCTACGACAGGCACAGAGTTATCAGAAAGGATAAGCTCTTCAGCGAACTATCTCTAAGGACGTTCCTCTTGACAGGTGGATCGGTGTGCAACAAAGACAGAAGTAGGTAGTATAGATATGTTATTTGCATCTCTAAGAATATCATTAGTTAGTGCTTGACTTCACTAGCTTACATTTTGCAGCAATCAGTCATGACGAGATATCGCGCATGGACTGCAACCTGTCATAGAGACTAAACCTAAAAGACCAATAAAAAGAAGCAAGGGGAAGGGTCGCCTTCGCGACAACCTGAACACATCGTGTGCGACTCACCAGCTCCTGGTGTGCTCAAGCCGTGAACTCAACACCTTCTCAATTCCACTGAGGATAGGGTAATCAATTACCACCCGGAAACGCACCGCATGTTTGATCACTTCCATCGACAGGAGGACTTCGGTACATTCCGACTCATCCGCAACATACTAAGTTGTTCCACGAAGCGCACACAAAGAAACGTAAAGTGACTGCTCCGGCTAGTTTTAATATTTTATACGGCCCATGTGTTCTGAACATTGTGGAAAGTAAGACAAGGGCCAAGAGAAGAACGAACACGGTTTCCTTCACCATTCTCCCTTTGATCTAAGTCCCGGTAACTTGCGATACGCCTGGGATTATATAGGTGTAGAATTGTGAGGATTTGATACCTGGAAGCTACTGACACTGTACTAAGCCTCAGTTACGGCATGTTATCACAAGACGTGGACCATAAAGAGGGTACATTTTATTTGTGAAACCTCTTGCAGTGTAAGATAGAAGGTTAATAAGCTGCATATTCCCTGCCCCAAATTACCTCAGACATGTCCCAGTTTAGGTAGCAATATGCAATAAATTAGCAAGATCAAATTGGTTTGGCCCCCATCGGCTGTTATTAGTATTTATTCTGCCTGGATTTTAAGAATTTCGTAGTGTAATAGTTTATTTGGTTGGACTTGGTTATGACTGGGAAACGTTTAGACACCATTTAATTTAGTCTCCTCAAGGAGGAATATATGATGATTCACGCCATAATAAACTGGAAAGAAAATGAATTTTCTAGAGCTGCTCTACACGATAACGATGAATACCAAGAATAGCGGTTTTCTGTTGCCTAACCGGAGGGTCGCCTGCCCACCCCCTACTCTCCTTCCCAAGGCACATACATAATTTTGTTGTTGAGGCCACCGAATGCATAGTTCCGTATCATCATTCGAATCTCAGCTAGAAGGCGGAGAAGAGTTGAGTTGACGGAATTACGAGGAGTACTGCAATTATTAGCGGCTTTTCAGTTCTATTAGATATGTAAATCAGCTCGCGTCGCTATTAGCCAGCAAGGGGTACCTTCAAAACTCATGAGACTATTGGCCAGGCGCTCAACACTAGGGCGAGAAATCCTGCCACAGCTCTTGTTTGTCCCGTGCATATATCGTCCTTCCTAGTCTCCATGAACCTGTCCTCTCGCGCAGCGGCACCCGCGGAAAGACATGATCACGCGCGGTGTTGGGAGAAACTGGCGGCCTGGAATGAGAACAGGACAAACGACCGAGTGTGGATCTTGGGGGCCTTATAGAGTCCGCCTCAAAGTCTCAAAACCGCCACCGACTGGCTGAGGGAGCTTCTAGGGGCGAAACCAGCTCGGACGGTAGATTTCCATATTTGATGTCGTAGGGTGGGCACAGTGTTGGACTTCAGAAAACGGGGGTTATATAGGATTCAACTAGCTGCCACCGTGTGGTAAATATGAACTAGGCACCTAGTGAAGAAAGCGTACAGCCCTGGAAGGAGCCAAAAACCGGCCCTTCGGAATATTTCGTCTCTGCGTGTCGTCACATACACGTCTAGTTGAAATAAGGATGCTATTTCCAACCATTCACTGGATAAAGTATGATTTTAGCAATAGATACTATGCGGGGGGAAGGTTTGTGAGGCATTGGTTGTAGTTTTGGTATGGCAGTGCCGCCGGCATGTGCCAACCAGGTGATGAAGGGTCAAGTTCTAGAGCCCGAATTTCTCCCATGTCTTTCATTAGCCAGGTACATAAGGATGCCTAGGTGAAATTACATAACCGAATCACGTGGTTCCGCGACAAACGAAGTGCCGGCAATGTGGCGAATATATTGACCGCATAGTTCCACCATAGCATCACGCGACTTTTAGCACCAACCACGACCACCCCAATTCGGGAACACAATGCCTCTTGTTCGACACAGCAAATCCAACGCCAAGGGACGGGAGACGTGTATCCCATACTCGACGAGTGAGAATGGAAAACGTAATCGCGTTTACCTGCTGAAGAACGGTCTTGTAAGCATGAAGACCCCTAGAGATATGGTCAAAATGTTAGTTCCACCTCTACTTACAGATGTGCACACCCTAAACTCATGAAACAGTGCGATATCCAACTCCACAAACTCGCCTATCCTTTGTCTTCCTGCTGAGATACGAGCCAAGATCTTCCGCTTCGCTCTTAGTGGCCCAGATATCGAACTTATAGGTGGCGACGCTGGCCATATCTATATGAAAATCCCTACCAAGTATACTTCCATTGTCCAGCAGTACGCCTTCGGCCTTCTTCAAACTTGCCGCCAGATATATGCTGAGGCCGCAACCCTCGTTTACTCAGAGAATACATTCGTCTTTCAAGAGGCCAATCTGGTCCAGCGCTGGCTTCGCCGTCGCCTCCCAGCTCAAAAGATGGTTGTTGAATCGATCAAGGTCCCGCGCCGCTACTACGAGCGCATTGCTTATGGTACCATACCTCGAACATCTGCAAACTTCCCGGCCCTGAAATTTTTGGTCATCGTGAAGGATCTCGAGGAGCGTAAAATATCTATAGGTCCCCGTCCACCAGGGCCCAGGATTCGTGTTTCCTTCCGAAGGGGATACACAGAGGCCGAGGATCAAAAGTTAGCGGGTCGGGTTCAGGCCAGGGAGAAGGCAGGTCTTAAGGTCATTCTTGAGAAAGAGCACGGTGAGATAGCTTTCGCGGTTCATTTCTGAATTCGACTTCAGGGACAGGAAGTCCTGGATTCAGTGTTGGCTGCATAATTGGATGGACTCTGGCGGTATTATGGAGTTCAGGTCTTTAGGAATGTATAGCTAAGTCGCATGGTGACAGCGAGGTTTCATGCGCAAGGTCCGAGGGGTTGAGTACTGCCGATGCTTTGTAGGACGATAGCACATTAACATTGTCAGCCTATAAAGCGAGGAGGGTAATAAGTTACTGCAGCATAGATATCCACGGATTCATTGAGGGTAACATGTAGATCGAGAGTAATTGACATTGGAAGGTGTCTGGCCTTCAATATTCTCCACTTTGTGATGGCATTTAGCGTAAACATCCGCTGCGGGTTCCACTACTCCTTCCACCTGCTCAGTTCATAGATGCAAGTCTTATACAGTGACCCAAGACAGAATTGCATCATAAAGTGAAGATAGAGGGCAATACTGCGATGAGGTATAGGAAGTGCTTGACTATCGCGCGAAGTCATTTAAACAGTCGAAGTTACGCGATGGTTATTCTACGAACTTGGGCCCGGATGGGTCTCACCGCTGACTCTGTTGTTCCCAAACCTCAAGCAGTTGGTAACCACACCAAAAGTCCTGACCTAAGGGCTCGTTGGTATGGTCAGATCGAATGCGTGTGAAGGAGCGAGAAAGAGAGCATCGAGATTACCATCCAACCTTGCCTTAAGGGGATTTATCGACGGTCTGCTGGAGCGAAGAATACTTTCCTCAAGATGCCTATCAAAAATTAACGGATCTAATTGAGGAGTCAGCTACCTACGTCTAGCGCGCATGGTTTGCTCGAAACTACCATCATCAAGTCGTAAGTGTTCCAATGGGAGAGACTTATTTTCCGCTTTTGTCCTCCCTTTTATCTCTTCATTTCACGGTCTTCACAAGACATCGTTATTCGATTCACAATCTCGCTTCGGCCTTTTCAGGTTGCATAGCAAGCTCTTAATTTCTTCCCTTGAACTGAAGACTTTGGCAAGAGTTCTAAAGAATCTGAAGAACAAGTGATGAAACATTCGTACCTCCAGGTTCAAATTTGCATCGTAGTCTGCAGTAGTCACGCATGGCTCAAACGGTAGTCACATGTTGCCAAGACTTACCATTTTTTCTTGCATATATAGACCAGATATCTCCTTTGCAAAGACTATGGAATCCACCTGAGCACTCCAGTATATAACATGGCAACCTCCCTACTATAAGGCAACCCCCAAATCCGCATCTTCTTACGGCTGTATCCACTCTTGCACATCCCATGCACTTTTCATCGCCTGTAATAGGGGGGTTTCGGGACTACCAATTCGTGGGACACGATCACTTTCTCCAGCCCAGGGAACATCCACAAAGCTCACCGCGTAGCATCAGTGTTACACAAATAATCGTAGCCCCAGTACGACAAGACGAGACTCCTAATTACCTCTCTGTGCGCTCTTAAGAGACACTCTCTCCAGTCACAAATACATGCTCCTAGGGAACTCCGAAGGCACTGAGATCGTAAACCAGGCTAACCGTTCTGGCGACAAGTACGGGTGAGACTACAACGTTAGGGCCATTTGGACTCCGGGCCGCGAAGCTATTCCTTGTAAAGCGCTAGGTAGCACTGAACATGACCGGGGAATGACTCCGTAGGACTGAGCTGAATAGGTGGTGCTGGCATGGACGCCAATACGACCGAAAGCGTGCTCAAATATTGTAAGCCCGAGAGCTCTACAATGGGCTGCCCAATTTAACTATGAGCTTGGCGTCCCACAATACTATATATATTATTTACCAGGGACCCTCAGTCTACAACGCATCACTTTTCTCATAAATCATGCCCTTGGCAAGGCTACAAATATCTTGCTCCATACTTAAACTAGATGTCGCAGAAGCGGCGAGTCGTCCTCCGCGCTACGGTACCTCATCAGAATAAGTGTGTGCAAGGGGAACAAGAGGACTCACAGATCAACCCGCTTCTCCGGCATCTTCAAACTAAGCAGCTCATTTCCCCGCTTGAACACTCTCTTGCGACTATACGCTTTCAATATCTTGCGGGTCTTAGCTTTTTGTCCTGATACTAACTTCACCAGTTTCTCTTAATTCCTCGACTCTTCGTGACCCCCAATCACATTGCTGCGACATCGAGACTATTCCCTTCTAATGTGGATAAAAGGGGTGTTTGTAGCCAGCTTTTTGAAAGTTCTTTCACCTAAGCTACCATTTTCACCTGATCACCCCCCATATATTCACCCCCCTTTTGTCAATCGATAACGATGCCAAATCCAGGTAGCACCACCTCCTACTCTACGCTCCGGAGGAAGTCTCAACGTACCATTCCGAGCATAAACTGGCCCAGCCCACTACGTAAAGGGAATGGCTAGGGAATTGTGCTCTCTGATGCCTTACCCAAGAATTTCTTGGCTGTCGCTACTTCACCACGATTGTAAGTCCGCATTGTTCTCACGGCTATATGCGCCGAACCATTTGTAATATTATATTCTTAATAAAGGATAAACCTATCCCCAATCCCTATGCACAGTTACATTATATAGTCCCAGGAGAGCCTTTAGAAGCCTAGATACAAGGTTGAGCTTGTCCGCTGGTTCGTACTGCGCATGAAGGGTTTGCTACACACCTTGGCCAGCAAATCGGTCGGACCAATCCTTCGACGCCATGGTGCTGGTAATGGCTAATTTTTGAGTCGGCAGAAGGTAAGACATGTATTGGCAGAATATGCGCGGATTTTGAAGTAGAAGGTGTTGATAGAGTGGATGCTTAGAGCAGTCTGGCATAGACCTAGCAACAGATATACAGTAGCCTAGACAGCTTTGGCAACCTGTTTCCAGCGGCTAGGGGCCCCGTACACTGACAGTGCGAGAGGTCGATGCAGATGTTTAGGCCGCCTAGTGTGCACTCAAATATTTTATTGCGGAGTCTGGCTGGGAGATGAGAGGCGGTAAATTAGTTGAGTTGTCCTTTGCGCTCATTATCCTGTATTAGCAAGCTACTTAATGTTATGAAAAGGGACAGTGAAAGAAGAAGTAATATAAGTATCATCCTTACTTGGCCGGATCTCTAGACTCAGTAGATTGTTGCTTTGCCGAAGCACCCTCTCGTGGCCAGGGTCCTAGCCCTCTTATTAGAACCCCGCTTTGTCTTAGTGCACTAATTATCGTGATGCTTCTTGAATCTAGAGCCATCCTTCGGAACCCATACGCTTTCTGCGTTCGGTTTGCTAATTGTGTGTGCCTTCTTCTTTGACCTTCATGGCGCTGTCTGCTCATGAGATTGGAGTTGAGGTTGAGGTTGAGAAGTGACACAAGGCTCGGTGGAATTGGCCTAGGGGTATTTGAAGCTCATTGGTGAAGGTAGCAGCGGAGTTGAAGGGAAAGTTTCTCTTCGCTTACTGACCTAGGTAACCTCCGCACTACGTTGCAAGAATCATGTGACTGGCTCTTTCACCCTCAACCCAATTCTCTGACCCCTTCGCCCTTATACTTACGGCGCTAGGGATGCCTCACAGACCGTTAGAAGACCCGGTATCTCCATCCGCTCGCTCCTCACCTTCCTCCAGGCCACCACCTCCCCCATCCACCATCAACGACTTCCGATCTAACTAGACGGTACTGAACACGATGACACGAGAGACGACCGCCCGCTATTCCGGCGCTACTAAGGTAACGGATCCAAGCCCAAGTCTGAGCCCAAAGCCAAGCCAAAGGCCTGTATCACCAAGTCCAAGCCGCAAGACCAGAAGGGAAAGCCAACCCCGAACGCCAGCCAATTCCGACGCAAGCGTGTATACCGACTGACAGTGGCTTGCTCTAGATGAAGAAACCCTCCAGAATTTGTGTAAATGTAAGCTCAATCATACCAGCCTCCAAACCACAAGCATGGATACAAATAATACGCTAACGGTTCCTAAAGCAAAGTCCAATGCCAACAACGCCTCTCTCCCTCCTCCTCTCCTTGACCCGACAAAAGATCTTCGGTTACGCTCTCGGATACCACCTCATCCGAATCGCATAAAACTCTAAAGCTCCATGGGAAACTAAGACTAAAAACGACCACACATACGAGCCAATCTTCAAATGTTACGTTCTCAGGGAGGGCTCCAAATCCATCGACGTTGTTACAGAGATCGAAGGACCCCAGATATTCGCGCGTACTAGGCGTGTGTAGGCAGACCTATACAGGGGCGGTCACGTTTGGCTACGAGCTGCAGAAATTCTCTTCCACTACAGTTACTTGGATGACGCAGTGAATTGACAAGCCACTCCCGGCTCAGTGGAAGGCCGTATATATTGTTGCAGTTGGAGAAGAGACCTGGGAAAGGGAAGTAGTACAGATGATGAAGAGGTCATTCTAGTAGAAGAATGTGGATGTTGTTTACAAGAAGAGGAGGCTATGGAATTGGCGAATCTCTGAAGATATAGTGTGTTTAATGGGCCTGAAAGACAGAGACGGTAACCGATATAGGAATTAGAAATTAAAAAGGAGTACCATAGCTGATATTAGACGCAATTACTCAGATTGCTCCCTTTTCCATCTGCTTGCAGGTTTATTTTCCACTGCTGCTTGTAGTTTGTTCCCATAGAGAAGGCTTGGCAACTATATTTATCCCCGTTGGTGAAGGGGGACGCTTCGTTCTGCGGGGTAAGAAGTAAGGCCCTATGCTATTCCCTTGGGGTACTATTTCTAGCTTCAGGCTGTGTGTCGACGAATTTACGCTGAAATATCTACACTCTTGCATTCTCTGAGTACATTTCAGTTCCAGTCGACCGGCCATTTCAACGTATGGATTGGCCAGCGGCTTTTGGCACAGAAAGTAGCGGTTGGAGTTGTGGGGCTCGTTGAGAATGCGAGGAGCGGCTGTTTTGGTAAGGTTAATCGGAGTAGCTCATGATGTCGTCTTTTGGAGCTGCTAGGTTTGAATTGTATTGAGATCTGTGAGATATTGAGTTAGAGAGACGCTGACTTTCAAAAGCAGAAAAGGAGACGAGAGGAATAGGAAAAGGGGCTCAGGTTGTCATCCTCAAGAAGACGTATGGTGGACCTGATCTTGGAGTTTGATGGTCTATGAAAGCCTTTATCAGCTGGGAGGTGTGTCTTCGACGCAATATTTGAAGGAAGGGTTTGAAATCCCTGGTATAGATCGGATTCGGTAATCGTGTTATAGGTAGTAATGGCCTATGACGTCCCTAGGACACCTGCTTTTGACCGTCAGCTAACTAGAGCGCTCGTTTCCAACCATACTGCGGCATCATGTGACGCTGAGCGCTTCGATGTTATATTTTCGTCGATCTGAATGCAAGTTGGGAGAATGAGTTGCCGATGTTGGTTGGGTTGAGGTCGGGGGTCGAGGGTTTGGGAAATTGTCGACGTCCACATGGTACTAGATACTACAGAAAATCGACAAGGGAACGATATATGTCATGGCAGTCACCTGGGATTGGAAGAAAGGAGAACTGCGATTCTTGTTCTTTGTTATCTAGGATGGCCATACTTGTGAAAGGGATAATTATGAGTCTAATAACTGAAGTGAGACTGTAGCTAAATCGAGCCTCAGGGAGACCTGCAACACTTCCACGTATCTCAAAAACCAGGGCTCATACTTACCTCCCGGCTTCCGCTCGCTTCTCCGACTACCGTGCTCCGTTTCCAAGGTACGGCTGAGCCGGGGAAACGGCACTGTCGGAAGATGCGCTCGGCACGACACTGGGCCTTCGCTCGCGTTTAAACCTTAACAACGTTGAACAGCAGCAGCAGTCTATGATTGAGACGAATTGGAGTCGTGAAGCAGGTTGAAGCGGGAGGCAGGAGGCGAAGTCCGAAAGCTCCAAAAGTGCGATAGAAGAGGTTGGTCACGTACAGGCGAGTGACGATCCCATATCGGCCGGCGCGAGACGCTATTGGAAGGAAACTTGGCTTCATGCACAGGAAATGTCCCAAGTATTCAACGAGTACATATCACAAAAAGCGCAAACTTTGAAATGTGGCTATGCAGCAAAAGAACCTGATATGCAAGTTCATTAGCCAAGCCAGTAGCACCACACAGGTCATACAAACCGCATCACCTCATGTCAAAACAGCCATTAAAACTAGATATAACGTAACTATGGGGTATGCAGCATGAAAGGAACCTCAGGATTCAGCATCCATCGACAATCTCCCATATCCATCCCAATCCTAAATATACTTAAAGCCCTATCATCCTTCATTGCCACATCCGTCATCAAACTAGAACTCATCACCCAGCAAAATACCAAATAGAATGTCGAAGCGCATGAGGGGTGATTACAAAACGAACGTATATGCCATAAATGCCAAAGCAAGATATTTGCACCTAGCCATCCACAGAAAAGAAGCGGGGAGGCGAAAAAAATGGGATAATTAAGGAGAAGTAACGATATAGGGGTGTAGCGATTACGATAGACAGACAGGGAGATAGAAAGGCAATGCTCCAAACAATGCAAGGGACTCCAGCTCATGCAAAAGCAGCCGTGGGAAGTGAGGAACGAATAGCGAAGAGAAAGGAGCTAACGAAGACTAGGAAGTAAGGCAGAGATGCGGTGGGGCGGCGAGGCGGTGTCGGGAAGCAGAAGCGAAAACAAGAGGCGGGGGTGGTGTTGGTGTGTGGGTAGGTGAGACGGATCATCGGAGAAATCGTACGAGAGAGCCGTCGGATATGGTGAGAGCATCAGGACATCGGGAAGTGTGCGGTCTGCAAATCGCATAAGGGAGGGGCGGTTCGTCGTGGTGGCGCTGGCTATGGCCACCATCCCATGGTGCGGTAGCTTGCTACTACTTTCTCGATCTCGTCTTTTGTCAGCTGTGGATGCTCGTACCTGAATCATGAAGTTAGTGTGAGGAGTTTTGCAGCCCTTGATAGGCTTCCCAGTTGTCACCAACAAATGATGTAACTTACTGGAACCCTGTCGCCCTCTCGAAAGCACTCCCATCAAGACTCAGGTCCGTGTCCTTGAGCAACTCCTTTTCCATGAACGGGCTGAGGGGCGTGGACTTGCTGATGCCAGCCTTGGTCTGAAGATCAGCCCATGGGTCCAATGTCTCGTCATTGACCTCATCAACGACATGATCGAGGTTGAGCCGAGCGAAAGCCGATATCAAGGTTCCGTGGAAGCCTGTGTCGATGTTGAACGTTTCGTGCATTAGCTTGGCCATGATGCCTTGGGCTGCACGGTGGTTAGTGTAAGTCCATCATGCCCGCAATTTGGTCTTGATAAGACAGCGCAAAAGGCTACGGAATTGAACAATTGACTTACAAGTATTCCCATGATCCACTATGTTGAAGATGGGCACAGGTCTCCGAGGTGGGGGTGCCTTCACATACCATTCGGCGCCTGTCCAAATGGCTCTCACCGCGTCCTCGACGTGAACCGTGTTTGTCCTTAGATCTTCCTTCCACAGGAACTTCATCTCCTTGTTCAGGAATTGGTATACGCGCGCCATGCATAATGCTGTGGAGATGAATTTGCTTGTGTACGGGCCATAGACATGCGCCATACGCATCACCATCAGATTCAGCCCTTCAACCTTAGCCAGGTCGTCTTCAGAGTTCAGCTTCCACTTCGCGAGTTTCGACCACGGCTTCAGCTTGTCTGTCTCTTTTCGTGGGATCGAATCGGGCTTGTAGATCATGCCAGTGCTAAGTTCGACGAAGCACTTCACGCCTCGCTTGGCAGCCTCTTTGCCCACAGCCATCGAGAGGCCGTACGAGCGCATCTTGTAGACCTCATCCTCCTGCGAATATCGAGTCTCACCTCCACAATTGAAAACGTAGTCGAACTGCTTGCCATGGTCTCGGTCGAAGACTCGCTGGAGGGACTCTGTAGCACCGGACATTAGCGAGGGGATCTCCGCGTACAATGACCGTGCTCAGCGCAGATGAATGAGGGGGTGCTGGGTATACGCACGTTCTCGCGAGGCGTCAGCCTGCATGAACCGCTCTCTCGAGCATGCTTCCTTGAACTCTGGGGCGAGCCACGCGAGCTCTGGGAGGTGTTTGTCTACGAGGCGGATTTCGGATGCGAGGTTGTTGTCGTGGATGTAGCGGGCGAGGAATCGTCCCATATAGCCTGGCGTGGATTAGGATACGGTCATGCTCGAACATGTGGACGGCTAAGAGCGGGCAGTGAAGGGAGTGAGTTTTGCATACCTAAGCCGCCAATAATCAGAACAGCAGGCTTCTCCGCTGTGGTGGAGGTGGAGGTGGTGGGGTCGGTCTGCACCGCGCCGTTCTCTGTCATGACGAAAAAAGGGATTCTCAGTGTCAGAAATCAGTAATGAAAAGGTGTTGAGGTGGGGTTTTGACAGAGAAGAGAGATGATCAGTTGGTGCGGGCAGGCGGTAACCTTTGGCGCGCCTGGTGAGGTCAATCACGTCCCAGGCTTAGGGTCGTTCAGGGTATCAAGATTCGCACGGCGTCAAGTTGGGGATTAGTTTTCGGGGGCGGAGGCGTGCGGCATGTGCAGTACAGTTGCAGGGGCCGCGAGGGATGCTTTATGCTGCAAGAGTCATTGACCCGCAGCGAGAGCGAGATGGCCGATTTTTAAACCACGGCCGTGATAGCACACGCTGGAGGAGGATCAAAATAGCCCTATCTTGTCTTTATTGGAAAGAGAGCCGACCGCATGGCATGGCGGGACCTTGTGGAGCCGTGGCTTCTACATGCACACCATCGTGGAGGGCGTGGAGCGGGTCGTCATTTTTTGCTTCTTCCGCAGACATGTGTTCCCGGCGACAGATGTCAGGTCTTCGGGCTGCGGAACGGTGGCCAGGCTCAGGTACTGGCCTCAGGAACCACTCCGCCTTGGCCATCCGCCGCCTCTCGCGGCCATCGTGATGCTTGACGGCGACAGGCCTGGGGCCCCCGAGCAGCAGCCAAGCGTCCATCCGGCGCGCTCCCGCTGTCCTGACCCTTGATCCAACGACGTCGCATGACGCAGGCCAATGGGTTGGGGAGAGCAAACCGACGCCATCTCAGGCCAAGTCAGGGGAACTTTCGCAAAAGTACAACCCAACTCACATCCGAATCGCAACACCCCTCATGCCCTCCGTAGTCGGCGGCATCGCGGTTCGTGGCCCTGGCCAAAAAGCAAAAGCAAATTCCCTGCTGCGGCGTCGTCCCACTCGACCGATCACCCATCTCAACGCTCGCCCTTCTTGTCCTGCATTTTTCGCTTTGAACTACACGATGAGGCGGCCCGCTTGTGGAGTATGGTTGAACATGTCCTAGGTAGCGTTTGCGGCTTCGCCGAACCATTCCCTTCGTGCGCTGGCTCGCTCGCAACTCTACGATCCTAAACTTTCCTCTTGAATCGTATCTTAGACATTGCCTGGCGAATACATATTCGGACGGGCTTGGTGGCTTACAAAAGTTTAATTTATCACTTATCATCGCCTGCAGCATTGGGAGCGCTGATCCGATTGATCTTGTATCACCTGACAAGACGCTGGTCTCAGATCCAGATGTCTCAGTATTGAAACGGCGAGAAAGTATTCGGCGTGCAGATTCAGGCATTGATTGGACGTATATACGACTTTGAGAAAGCCTGACTCTAACTCTTTCGCGCTGAAGTCGCACGGATTCTAGGAACGGCCCGCACCCCATTGGAGGGAAGGTATACTTTCCAAAACGGAGCACTGTTCTGCCCAGTTTTCTGTTCTTGACCTGACCTGACCGCCTCAAGGGCATTTCTTCTTCGTTGTGTAACAGAGGCTTGAAGATAATCTGTTACTCCGCTTCCTCCGGGAGCCTTGTCGGTCTCGCCGCCATGGTATCCACACTTCTTTTTCCCGTGCTGGCGAGACCCGATAATTTATCGAGTGCTCTTGCGCTGATCGATATAGAATGCCAAATTTATTCCATCGTGACGTCTTAGCTCCAGGCTATGCTGTACGAGGGAGCACTCCGTCTTACGGTGGAAGTGTTATTACTATACGAATCAATATAATTTCAACTGCTTCCGTTCATAGTAAGAGCCAGCCGAGATTCTGGTGGCTGAAGCATTCATGCAATGTCCCGCAATGCTGGCAGGATCGTCCCGCACTCGCAGCAACACTGCAGCGGTCGTTCAAGGTACCTAGTCATGATTCAAAGCGCACAAGCAGTCAAGTCAGGTCACACAATGTTTCAAATCTCTTGTCTCATTAGGAGGGGATCAAGCTATATATCGCAAAAAGTTAAGGCAATTATTTTGTATGAATCCAGATACGCAAGTTCTAGTACGGGCAAGTAAAGTGTGCGTATCGTCGGGCAGATGATTGACTGAGACCGCATCGCTATGCATGACAAAGCCAGCCAGAAAATTTGATGAATGCAAGACTCCACTCCAGGAGGCCCCACTAAAAATCAGTGCTGCCGCCTTTTTGATCACCCCATCAAGATCGGTTCTAAACCCAACCAGCCCGAACATAATTCAACTAAAACGGCTGAAGACTATGCATTTCCGTTTCTAGAACTCCCAGTCCTCATCCACGGATTTGATTGCCCAATCGAACTTCTCGCGCAAGGTTTTCGAGAAGAATCGCTCGATTGGGACGTTGAATTTCTTAGAGAAGACGACAGTAAGACGGGGGTCGATATAGTTCTGGGAATAAGGCGGTTAGCCGTATGCACTCAGTTCCCAAAACGGGAAGTCACTTACAATTTTGGAGGTACCAAGAGCTACCTCCTTGTTGTTGTCCTTGTCCTCCATTTGGACTTTCATCGTTTCGATTCGCTGGTTGAGCTTGTCGAGGTTGGCTTCCAGCTTCTCGATGGTCGGACCCTTGCCTTCAGCTTCGACTTTGCCCGTCTTGTTCTCCTTCTTGAACTTCGCTGCCAGCTCCTCAGCGACCTCGAGGCGCTCGTCGAGTTCCTTGGCCTTCATCTCTTTCTCGCCGTCAGCCTTACGCTTCTCATTGTCCTTCTCAAACTTCTTTTGGATCTTTTGGCGTTGTTCTTCGACAAGGAACTCTTGGTGCTGCCTAACCCAGTCCTCATCCAAATCCTCCGGAAGCTCGAAATACTCGGCACCCTTCTTCTTCTTTATCTTCGCATCGACATCGATCATCATCTGTTTCACTCGCCACCCTTGATAACGGAGCCCATTTATCTGCGGTTCATTAGTCCCTACAAGCCGATTCACGAGAGCGGAGATAAGCTTACCTTCTCCTGCATCTTCTCGATAGAGCCAGCGTGACTAGCTGCGACGGTCCGCTTGTGATTACAGAGGATGGCAACTTCGCGGTTAGCGTTGTTATAGTCCTTGACCTTTTCTGGGACCGTGCCAGTCGACTTCATCTCCCTAAGAAGCCTAGCCATAGTCCAAGAGGCATTGTAGGTACGGAACACTTTGGCGGTCAAGCCGGTCATGTAGCTGTTCAAGTGCTTGTTGAGAGCAGAGGTCGTCAGACGATCGAAAATATCGTCATTAGCTGTCTTCGGAGGTTTCTTGAAGATCTTCAAGTTCTTGAAAACCTGGGGGTCGACCTGGACTTCATCATAGAAGCGAATGCTGTCCTTGCCTAGGAAATCAAATATGACCGTATTCGGCGGCTTCAAGGTAACGTGCTGGAATTTCAGAGAACAGCAACCGACTGTGTCTGCCTCGTCCTCGCCCTTCTCGTTCCCAGCACGAAGGGCGAACTGATCAATCAAGTAGATTGCTGTGGCGCGCTGACGATCGGCCATCTTGTCAGATTTGAGGTCCCTCTGGTAGTCTTTTCGAATGCGGTCGATGTGTTTCTTGAGTTCACGGGCTTTTTCGAACTTCTTGTAGTCACTCTGGCCCTTGATGTCCGAGTTGGCAGCAAGCATGACATATTTGTAAGCGCCATTGATGTTCTCTTGCCACATTGCGAGCCATGTTCCTTCTTGATCGTGTTTGACTTCTTTCCAGCGGTGACCTGCTGGTGGCTCGGGGACCTTGGCCCCTTTACCGATGTTGATGGTGATTTGTTCTGGCCCGACACGCTTCTTTACCATGCCAGTTTTAGGGTGCTCGCCACGACCACGGAAAAGCCCTGGGGGCTCGACTCTGAAGTTTCCGACCTTCTGTTTGCGACCATCCCATATGCAGTACATGTAATCCGCTTCAGCTGCATCTTTCTCCGCCTTCAGTGCCTTCTTTTCAGCGGCAGGGAGCGCTTTCTTCTTGGCTCGCTCACTGTCAAACCATTCGAAGATTGGCTTGAAGTCGCACTTCTCGAATTTCTTGATCTTGACGGTCTTGCCTTCCTCATCTTTGCCATGGCCAGTCTTGTCGAGAATCGCGGTGAAGTCGTCGAAGAAGTTCTTATTGAAGGTAGGGTTCTCAACGTTGTGCGTTGAGTTAAGCATGCTTCCGTAGAAAGTGGCAACTTCCTCGGCATCCTTATGAAGTGTAACAGGGACACCGTCATAGATGAGCTTGACGTCCTTCGGGAGGGGCACGTATTCTGGTGGGAAGACAACACCATTGTGCTCTAAAGTAGTCCACTTCTTGGTGCCATCGCCTTTGGTTGGATCCTCCCACCATCGGTACTCTTCTTCTTCCTCTTCGGCTTCACGATCTTGCTCGGTGTCTTCCTCCTTGGCCTTTCCTTTGGCTTTCTTAGCTGGGGTGGCTGACTCGGCCTTCGCCTTACCCTTCTTAGAAGCTGGAGCTGTTTTCTTTTTGAGAGGGACATCAGAGTCGGACTCATCCTTTTTGATACCATTTGTAGATTTCTTTGCGGGCTGCTTCTTCGCGAGAGGAATGTCATCATCACTCTCACTCTCCACTCTCGGCTTGCGTTTGCTGCCTGCGGCCTTCTCTTTCTTCCGGATAGCCTGGGCCTCCTTTGCTGCGGCTCGCTCCATGGCTGCCTTTTCCTTGACAAGCTTTTGGCCTAGAGGAACGTCCGAGTCAGAGGATTCGCCAATTTGGGCAGCAGTCGCTTTTGGTGGCTTCCGGGCCTTCAGCGGCACGTCGCTGAGCTCCGAGTCCGAGTCCTGCGCAGGCTTTCTGGCTTGCTGAGAGGTCCTTCTTCGCTTACTCTATGGGAGAGTCAGCGTACTGAATATACAAAGGGGCCAGGTGTAGAACGCACCAGAGGTTTGTCATCTTCATCCGAGCTGCTAGCGTCCTTGTACGATTTCCCATTCGCAATGCTGCCTCGGGACTTCCGTTTCCCGTTGACATTTCCATTTGTAAGTGGTGCGTCGATGTCCATGTCCTCGACCGGACCCATCCGAATGGAGATGCCAGGCTCGACATGACCGTTTGACGGGATTTGCTTGTCCAAGGCCCGGTCGGTCTTCTTCGATATGCGATCCTGCGACTTCACTGTGGGGTGAGGGTAGTTAGCCATAGTAAAGAGGAAAAGCGGAGCAGGGGGTGGTGTTGTATAAAGATGGGCGGAGAGGTAGTGAGCGTGACGTGGGTAAAGGAGGTGGGCGCGTGAGAAGATAGACGTGGAGCCGGGGTAGGGCGTGAAACAATCAACAAGTTTGCGCGAGAGGCGACTTACCTCCATTCGATCTGCTTTTGACAAGAGGGGTGTCATCGTCGGACGAAGACATGGCGGCGGGCGGGTACCGCTGCGGAAGCGGGTAATGAAAAACCAAGCGACTGTGTTCAGCTGTCTTGTGCGGTACCGATGAATCTAGCTGCCGCAAGTGAGCGGGGACAAAATGAAGGCGAGGAACGCGAGAGCGCGCGTGTGAGGTCGAGAAGGCCACGCCGCGCGTGGATGATGGTGATGATGGTGGCGGAGTGAGGAGGGTGACGAAGAAGAGGAAAGAACAGGAACGCGGCTGTTGGTTTAAAAGAGGGAGAGTGCTCGACTTGAGGAAAAGCGACTTGCCCAGACACGCACGGAGCACTCCTGCCTAGTTAGCTCGAATCTGACCGCCAGCCGGTAATCTTGGTAATAAATACTTTGCGGCTTGTGGTTGGACCACGAGGACGTGCAACGCAGAAAACGCGAAGACTATATCGCGGATTAGTATTGCACTGCAAAGGTGAAAGCGCAGACTGCCTAGGTGGTGTCTGGCAGTTGCGTGAAGAGAAAAAATCGCCGTGTCGAAGAGAACTCCGCGGTTTTCTCAAGGTCAAAGGGAAAGGGTGCACGTGATATATACGCCTTTCCTTTATAGGCTAGCGCGGCAAGAGCATGAAAGTTGAGCAGAGCCGTGAAGCCGAAGCAGCAAGCCAGCAGTCGACACCACACCCGCCGGCCGCCTGCCATCTCCACTCCATCTCAATTCCTCTTCCGCCCAATGATGCTGTCACGAGCTGCGCGTCCAGCTCTAAGAGCTGGCGTCGCTGCCACCGCCCGGTACGAAACCCCCCCCCCCCCCCTCAGCACAACAGCTCCCGCAGCTCCTCCAGCACTCTTCCTCTTCCAATTGCATCGGAAACTAATTGCATTTCATTCCACCCAGACCTGCCACTCTCAATGCCACCAATGCCGCTACCTATGCCACCCTCCGTGAGATTGAGGGGCGTTTGAAGTCGATCCGCAACATCGAGAAGATCACGAAGACGATGAAAATTGTCGCATCCACCAAGCTCACCCGCGCCCAGAAGGCCATGACCTCGTCCCGGTCGTACGGTCAGACATCCAACACCGTTTTCGAGAACGCCGAGACGAAGCCGCTGGAGGGCGAGGGCAAGAAATCGTTGATTGTCGTCTGTAGCTCGGACAAGGGCCTCTGCGGTGGTATCCATTCCGGCATGTCCAGGAAAACACGGAAGATGCTGTTGGAGAAGCCAGACACGGATATCGTTGTCGTGGGAGAGAAGTGTAAATCCCAATTGGGCCGTTCCAATGGCAAGAACATTGTCCTCAGCTTTGCCGGCGTTGGCAAGGACGTCCCAACATTCGTCGATGCCTCTGCCATTGCTGACCAGATCTCGTTGCTACCGACCGATTATTCCTCCATCCAGGTCATGTACAACAAGTTCATCAATGCCACGAGCTATGAGCCCGTGATCATTGAAGCTTTCTCTGAGGAGGCAATTGCGCAGTCCCGTAAGTTTTAATGTATCAAATGAGGGTCGTGCCTATCTAAATGCTTTTGCAGCCAACTTCGCGGCGTTCGAGATTGACGACGACGTGCTCGCTAACCTCCGCGAATATGCGCTTGCTAATTCATTGTACTGGGTATGTGGTATAACACCACTGGACACGTTATCATGCTGATGATCGATTTAGGCGCTTGCCGAGGGTCATGCTTGTGAACAGTCTGCACGACGAAATGCCATGGACGTAAGTGCATCCAATAATCCCCCCTCCCCCGCATCAAATGTCTCTCTGACACACTGTAGAATGCCTCCAAGAACGCCGGCGACATGATCAACAGGTACCAGATCTTGTTCAACCGTACCCGCCAAGCCGTCATTACTGGCGAACTCGTCGAGATCATCACTGGTGCAGCTGCTTCGGAGGAGGGTTAGTCAAAAGTCTGGATAATTCACTAGTTCGAAAACCCCGGCCTATTTCGCCCTCGCATGGGTCGTGTAGAATAAGTATCTGTTTGTCCATAGGCTCCTTTATCACCGATCTTGTCCTACTCTACAACACCATGTGCTCGTGAACTTTCTCCGCCCCTCTTCACACTGAAGTGTCTTATGTGAATTCATGCTCACATCTAGAAGGTGGCTTGCGGTGATCGGAGTGGCACTCAAGGTCCCGAGATCGATCAGTCGTCGGCGGTTCTCCACCAAAATGCCATGATTCAGAACTACTCTTCACCGCCGTTTCCTACAACTTCTCCGCACCCACCTGCAGCAGTTAAACAGGATAAGGCAGAATGCTTGCAGGCGCTGCTGTGATCCCGCACAAAATACGGAAGTATACGCACGCCTACGAACACATTCACAGGAATGCGGGTGCGGCGCAGAACTTTATCGAAAGAACCCGGGAAAAAGGGATGCTATACCCGGTGTAGTGCGTCCTGAGTGCAGCATCCCCAGTCGTGTCAGAGGAACCCCAAGTCAGTGATGCGCCGAGAATGGAAAGGGTGCGTCTGAAACGGGCAAGTGCATGGCTGCAACCCTCAACGTTCGTGATTCCCTGAAACATTTGCTGCACTCTTGAAACAATTGCTTTTCCTTTTAGATCGCAGCCCTTCCCACACGACACTTTGCAGGAGAGAACGGGCGGAGGCGTTCGAGGGCTATAATATTCGCTCCTATCGTCCCTATATTCCTGTTCTGTTATTGTCGTTCGTCGCCTTCGCCTTGTTGCTTGACTTTGGTTCGGCTTTGGTTTCAGCATTGCCGACAGCACCGCACTACCAGGTCAACGACCAACAACAACGCAGCACGTCTCCTGAAGCATTGCCGCAGGCCTCAATTGGTTCCCATTCGCTCTGCTGTCGCACCTTTTGCCGACCCTGAAATTTGCAACACACTCGCTTTCGGCTCTTCTCACTGCATTCTTGAAAATAACCCCTCCCCGCCGACAGTTGCTCAACCTCATTCCCTCCTCACAGCACAGGTAAACAAGTATATCGGCTTTCAAGACACAACAACACAATTACACAATGATCACGGAATCAAAGTATTTCGAAATGAAAAGTAGAATCCCTGAAGTCAAGGGTCTTTTCCAAACTCGTCATTACATTCAATGCACCAATCTCTGTGAGCGCCTCCTGACTCGGTCCGATGAGGAAGTAAGTCCCTTCTCCCGCCTTCTAGAAGTTCCACATCCGACATTATCACATTACATACCGTATCTCGATTCTGCAAAACTTACCTAACTCCAGATTCACCCAATTCACCGAGCCTACCTCAACTTCTACCTTGCATTGTCCCATGATACCATGGCCCGGGAAACAAGCAGCAGAAACCGCCTGCCTGAGTTAGACTTAGCTGAGAAATACTATGTTGCCGCCCTCGCTGCACTCTCTCCTGCTCGACCTCAGAAGTTGGAAAACATTCAAGAGTCCCTGTCACCGACTTTTAGCCATTCCGAGGATGAGTCCGTAAACTCAGAGCACTCCTCATCCACGGTAGCAACCTCAATTCTCGATGATAGCGATTCCTCAGACTTCGAACCAACTCCCAGGACGTCTAACTACCATGTCCGCTCCCGACTCTCCCGAGGCAATCTTGACGATTTCCCGGCTTCGAAGCTCGGAAGAAAAAGACCAGGGCTGATCATCACTTCGCCAACGCAGTCCTCTTCAGTGCAATCTAGGCATGAAAAACAGTACACTACTGTCTTCTCCTCCTTTGCTAAAATGGTGGAGACCCATCTCTCTAGCGTGCGCAACCTCAGAGACGCTCCTGTTCCCCAATCCAACCGATTCTCGGGCTCACGTTCGAGAGGATCTAGCTTCAACTCCAGACCCGCAAGCAGAGATATCATTCCCGATGATGCCGCGATGGAGAAGATCCGCTGGGGTCGGAAAAGTATGAGCTTCCGACCGCGTTTTGACCCTGAAAGCGTCCAAGCGCTTTGTAGAGATGCACTCTCGGAGCTGTGAGAGATGGGGTGGATGGTTATGAATGACGGTATGATGCGACCCGTACGAGCGGCGGGTGCGGCGACGCCGGGGACGCGACCGAACTGCACGACGTCTTTACTAGTCGCGGGCGACCCATCAACGAATCTCCTAGCTACCGACACTGGATTGTCTATGTCATGACTCTGCAGACTGGACTCTGATACACGATACCTCCCTGTCCACCTCTATTTCACTTTTACACCGCAACTGGGCGGACTCACACACGACACACTGCTTCCCAACATCCCCACCAACCCCTCTGATTTTGCCGGTCGGCACTTTGGGCAATGCAAGATGCATATTTGATACCCTGTTGTACTTCTACCCCTTGTTCATATCGCTTCCCCATATCTATCTCCCAGCTTCGTGCTTTGCATTGTTCCCTAAAAGCCCAGATTCGTGTTGGCCCACATGTTGACTTCTTGTTTGTATTATGATCCGTTGAGCTGGTTTTTTTTTTGGTGATGAATGTATGATTGAAGCGGATGAGGCAGCCCGGAAATGGGACCCAAAGTGTCTGAGGATTTTCTTCGACAGAATAAGACTTATCTGGATATGGACATATGAGTTGAGTTAGTAAGGGGGGATATGAAGGCATGAAGATGTGAAGACGCTGGAATAGATATCGGGGCACTCAGTCAGTCAATGCTACATATCCCAAGCCAAAAATGGACGACCAAGCTCTGTCAGGCTCATGAACTCTATCTGTCCACTGCATCGCAGCCATGCCCGCGATGATATAATACAAAACCTTTGCATTTAACTTCCGCCCACCCATTCACCCACCGTAAAGAGTCCACTCCAGACGCCAGAAAATGCAATGCAATGCATAACCCGATATCATACGCCTCCCTTGCCTTTCCCTGAATCGCTCGAACCAAATCTTCCAGGTGTGACACAAGGCCGTCGAAAATCTTATCCATAGGCGCGAGGTTCATGGAAACAATTCCATTTCAACAGTAGAGGTGGGAGTAGAGGCATAGGTAGAGGTGGTGCTGGGAGTACTACCTCCTGGACTTCACGACAATAGTCTTCTCAAGTGACGCCCGGTCTCAGCTCCTGCTTCGTCCTCCAAGCTCACTTCGTCACATGACTCATCTCGTCAAAGCCTCCAACCCCCTCTTCACCCTCTGGCACTTAACCTTCAGCAAGCGCACGCTCTCAAGAAACAACTCATCGCTGTCCCACTGTCCAGTACTCTCAACCCGGAATATGAAATGATCTCGGACACGTCCTAGCTTGACTTTGTCCTTGAATTCCGGGTGGCGCAGGCATTCCCTACTCACGGTATCGCGCATGGGGTCTTTGACGACCGCTTTGAGCTCGTTCTCTTTTCCCTCTAACTCTTTGTTTTGTCGTATGTCAGCTCGAGTGATGGGTTCGAGATTAATGACGCCCTTGGGGAAACAGCGGGCGAATTTCTTCGCATCCGGGCCGATGATCGGGGAGAGAATGTCAATCGTGGGTAACAGCCGATAACTTGCCGTCGCCACGGGGGAAAATTTCGCGTGGTCCTGTCCAATGCCTTTAAACGCGTGCATCATGAGCTGGATCTTCTGTCCCGGCCGCATTTTCGCAATCAGGATATCTGGGTTGCACGGCTCGAGCGGTTTATCCTTAGCGAAGAGGTCGATTTGGCGGCCGACGGGCTTCCACTCGATATCCTTCGCATAGACGGAATGGTGCAGGTAGAGTTTGTTGGGGTCTGTTTCGCCGGCGGCTGCGCGCTGGAGCCCACCGTCCTGCCATTGGCACTTGACTTCCAGCTGGAGGATGCCGCAGTTGTAGTCAGTGAGTTCGGGAGGGACGGCAGCGGGGTCACCGGGGTCGGGCCGCTTGTACCATTTCATCCATGAGAGGGCGGAGCGGTCGCCTCGGAGTGGGATTAGGCCTAGCCGGTGGGCGAGGACCTCGTCTTGGATTATGGAAGTGTTTTGGAAGATGAAGACATTTTCGATGGCGAGGGTCGGGATCTCGGCGATTAGGATCCGACGGAAGGCGTTGGCGAGGGAAGTGTCGATGGAGGTGAGGGAGAAGGAGGAGTCGAGGGGGGAGTTTGTGTGGAAGTGGACGCGGAAATTCTAGAGAAGGATTAGCGTCTAATTCTCTGCATTACGAAAGGAAAAAGTTTGAGGGAGAGACCTTGTCGTACATTTTTGAAGTAGTCCAGGTCCCAGGAGTGGTCTTCACCAGGCCAGTGGCCGGGGAAGTCAGTGGAGGAGACATTCGTGACGGTTTCGGCGTTGATACCAAGTCGCTGCAACATATTAGGGGAGGGAATATTCACTTTCTCTGATCGCATAGATACCTTCCGTCGCTCCTGCTCCTGCTGGCTTGGTACAGGCATAGCTGCGGGTTGTGCGGTGAAGTTGGTGGGGGAGAAGCTGCACCATCTCGAACTTTTTCTACGACGCCCGGACCAACCACTGGCCACAAATCAGCAGCCACCTATCTCGGCAATATCGTGTGGTCAACGACCCTGTGGACCTCCAAACCTCAAGCTCCCCCCTCCACGCCACCCGCACTCCGCACTCCACAACCACCCATTGACAAAGGCCAGGGCATTGCCAGATCTCTCGTGGTCACAATGCCTGTTTCCTTTGCGCGTCTAGCCGGCCACACGGCGAAACGGCTGTGTCTGGCCCCGCGCCCTCACCTCACAAACATACGACCACCCATTGCGCGGTGTATCTCGACTTCGTTGCCGAGACACTATGCGGATGTGGACGACCACAGCAGGACGAGATTGATTCCCACGGACTCCACCTTTAGTCATCCGACCAACACCGAGAACTCTCAGTATCTGAATCCGGCCGAGGAGGAAGGAACGTCCCCAGAGAACCGCAAGATTAGACACTATACCGTCAACTTCGGACCCCAGCACCCCGCTGCCCACGGTGTGCTACGCTTGATTTTGGAACTCAATGGCGAGGAGATCGTGCGCGCTGATCCGCATGTCGGACTGCTGCATCGCGGCACCGAGAAGCTGATCGAGTACCGGACGTATCTGCAAGCGCTGCCCTATTTCGATCGGCTGGACTATGTCTCTATGATGACAAATGAGCAGTGTTTCTCCCTCGGCGTGGAAAAGCTGCTGAATATTGACATCCCGATCCGTGCCAAGTATATCAGGACCATGTTTGGCGAGATCACGAGGATCTTGAATCATCTTATGTCGGTGCTGTCGCATGCCATGGATGTTGGCGCGTTGACTCCCTTCCTCTGGGGTTTCGAAGAGCGTGAGAAGCTTATGGTGCGTCTCGCTGTGCTTTGAGAGATTTACGCACAGTGGCATTTTCTCAACCCATCGGATTCTGATACTTGTGCTAGGAATTCTACGAGCGTGTCTCTGGCGCCCGTCTCCACGCCGCCTACGTCCGCCCCGGTGGTGTCAGCCAAGACATTCCCATCGGCCTCCTCGACGACATCTACCAATGGGCCACACAGTTCGGCGACCGCATCGATGAGACCGAAGAAATGCTAACTGACAACCGTATCTGGATTGGCCGCACAAAAGGCGTCGGCGTCGTCTCCGCCGCCGACGCCCTTAACTACTCCTTCTCTGGCGTCATGCTCCGCGGCTCCGGCGTACCTTGGGACGTGCGGAAATCGCAGCCCTACGACGCCTACGACAGAGTCGACTTCGACGTGCCTGTCGGTGTCAACGGCGACTGCTACGACCGCTACCTCTGCCGCATGGAGGAATTCCGCCAATCCCTCCGCATCATCCACCAATGCCTAAATGACATGCCCGCCGGCCCTGTCAAAGTCGAAGACTACAAGATTGCCCCCCCGCCCCGCGCTGCTATGAAGGAAAACATGGAGGCCCTGATTCACCACTTCCTGCTGTTCAGCAAGGGCTACAGCGTCCCACCCGGCGAGACCTACTCGGCCATTGAGGCGCCCAAGGGTGAAATGGGTGTCTTCTTGGTTAGTGATGGGAGTGAACGGCCGTATAGATGTAAGATCCGTACACCTGGGTTCGCGCACTTGAGTTGTATGGATCAGATTTCCAGAGGCCATCTATTGGCAGACGCAGTTGCGATTATTGGGACTATGGATTTGGTGTTTGGGGAGGTGGATAGGTAGATTCGTCTCGGACACGTGAGTCGAGTCGATCGTGATGCAGCTTTGGGCTGCAAAGCTGTCAGGAGAGTATTGAGAACCCGGCCTGAGCGATCGGTCCGGATAAAATCTTGGAGTGCACCGCCCGCCCGTGATTAAGCCAGTGGTGGTGGGAGTGCTAGTGGTGGTGGCTGTACATATTGTACCTTATCTCCTTACACTTACCCTTTTCCTGATCTGATCTGATTTGAATCGTCAAGTTTAACTCAATTCAAGTTCTGCATGTCTAACCTGTCCAACTTTTCTTCTTTCGCTTTGCCACCGTCGCGTTCGTCCGCGTGTTGGCTTGATTGGTATCGGTCTCGCCTACACTACTCGCTTTTTCCTCGCTTCTAATGTAGGGCCACTTTCTAGCTCCATCACGCGCAAGCTCAGCTCGGCTGCCATTGTATGACACCATCGATGATACGTTTCTCAATCCATACATTGCGGGCTGGTAAAAGCGTTCCTTTTCTATCGATCATGCACCTAACTCCTTCGAACCGTGGTACAGGGCAGAAACAGGATCTGGGACGGGTGTAGGCGAGATCTAGATCCGCCGGTGGCGAACTAGGTAGGGTGTAAGTCAATAGAACGGGCGCATTTTCAGGCTTTCAGCTTGACTGGGATGAGAGGTTGAGCACTAGAGGTGGCGACGTGGTGAATTGAGATTCTGTAGGCGCAATGGCGTGGTTTGGTGGGGGGAGGGGAGGGGAGGGGTAGCTTGTCTGGAGGGGTAGTGGTGAGTTGGTGAAGGGGGCCGGATGTATCTATACAGGCAGGCGAGAAGGTTCGTATAAAGCTTCCCCTTACCAGTCCCCTTACCAGTCCCCGTTTCTCTTCGTCTTCATCTATCGACCTTTCCCAATCCCAATTCTTGCTACTCAAGCCTACATCACTCTCACCCTCTTTAACTCGTGTCACCCATCCTTTACAATGTCTTATAACGACGATTCCTACGGCTCAGGGCAGAAGAAGAGCTATGGCGGTGATAGCAATGAGTCTTCGGGCTATGGACAGAAAAAGAGCTATGGAGACAATAGCAATGAGTCTTCAGGCTACGGACAGAAGAAGAGCTACGGCGATGACAGCAACGAGTCGAGTGGCTATGGGCAGAAGAAGAGCTACGGTGGTGACAGTAATGAGTCAGGTGGCTACGGGCAGAAGAAGAGCTACGGTGGTGACAGCAATGAGTCAAGTGGCTATGGGCAGAAGAAGAGCACTAGCTACGGGGACGACAACGAAGGATCGGGAGGTTATGGATCCAAGAAGACTACCGCCAGCTACGGTGACGACAGCAATGAAACCTCTGGCTACGGCTCCAAGAAGTCAACGAGCGATTCGTATGGCTCCAAGAGAGACGAAGACGACTCCACCAGCTACGGATCTAAGAAAACTTCAAGCTATGGCAATACCAACACCAACGACAATGAGTCTAGCGGATATGGCTCAAAGAAGACCACCAGCTACGGCGATGATAGCAATGAGTCCAGTGGATATGGCACGAAGAAGACGACAGGCGGTTATGGGTCTAGGACAGATGAGAGTGAGTCGGGTGGGTATGGTCAGAAGAAGTCGTATGGGGATGATAGCAACGAGTCGGGTGGATATGGTTCAAAGAAGAGCTACGGAGATGACAATGAGAGCAAAGGGTATGGACAGACGAAGTCATATGGAGATGACAGCAATGAGTCCAGTGGATACGGTCAAAAGAAGTCGTATGGAGATGACAATGAGTCTAGAGGATATGGCCAAAAGAAGAGCTATGGTGATTCGAATGAATCTGCTGGATATGGGTCCGGTCGACGCAATGACAATGATTACTAGTGGCATACGAGTGTTGGCTCTGCCGCTGGCTGAACAGCACATCAATAGCATGTACTAGCTGTCAATTCACATCTACTCAATTCAATCATAACAGGCTTCACTGCCATCCTGTGCCATAGAATACCTGCCTAGTTTCTAGCAGCGTGCACTCCCAGTGCAGTACCAGCACCCCTCGGGATTCAATACTGCAAGTACATTGTATTTCTTGCTTTTGCCACGAGAAAGTTGCGGGCCAAAAAGCCCTCACCTGCATGAAATCCCTACCCCTGCGAAACAATGTGCCTGTATCCTTGGGCTGGAAGCTTGTGGCGTTGCAGCGTGGCCGCGAAACACGTCATCGGTGGAGCTCTAGATCTTGGGAGGTGAGGGGCATGGTGGACTAGATCGAACTTCAGATCAGGTACCGCTGTCATGGTCGTCAGCTTCTCAGACCTTCTTCCCCTTCTGCCTTGCGAGACTTGCGATACATTGCAGTTGATTCGAAACGTATCTTGATACAGACTGTTAGTAATCAACTTTCCATTGCTACCAAATTCTGAGCTGTCAAATTTCGGCGTCATGGTGAAGCTGCTGTTTCCTAAATCCCTGTCTGCTCCTCCTGGCAGCAGATTGTATTGAGACAGGAGAAGCAAGACGCATTTTAACCACTTTCTTGGTTTCTTGGTCTTGGTTACTTTTCTTCCTTCGTCATGACCTTGTCTAAAATATATTCCTCCCGCTAATCCTATCCTAGCTGCTACAATTCAAGCATAATGTCCTACAACGACGACTCCTACGGACGCCAAGGAGGAGGCTCCGGTGGAGGCCGTGGACGAGATGAATACAGCGAAGGACGCCAGGGTGGATATGGCGGCGGGCGAGAGCAACATGACTCCGAGCGTCGTGGAGAAGACTATCGCCAGGGCCAGGGCCAAGGGGGTCAGAGTGGAGGGTATGGTGGTGGACGAGGGGAGCAGGGGTCTGAGCGCCGCCATGGTGGAAATGAATATGGAGAGTCTCGTCCCAGTGGAGGAGGCGGTTATGGAGGTGGAGGCCAGGGTGGAGACAATTACTATGATCAATCAAAGAGGTACGACGATGAGCCCCGCCGCCAGGAAGGTCGTCATGAGGGAGGAGGAGGACAGTATTCTTCCGGCACTCCGTACGGCGGCGGTGGAGGTTATGGAGGATCTTCGGACGACTACTCTGGTGCTGCTCAACATGCCAATTCCCATGCCGGCGACTCAGGCGATTCCTCGCTCTTCAGTTCTGCGCTGGGTTTGTTGGCTGGCAAGAAGTCGAAGCTCCAGGAAGAAGATGTCGATGAGGATGATGCGGTTCAGCAGCATAAGAAACTTTATGGACAAGGCGGGGGCCATGAGCAGGCTTCATCCGGGAATATGGGGGCGGCTGCTGCAATGCAGGCGTTGAAGATGTTCTCTGGGGGAAAGAGTGAGGGTAAGGGAGGCCAGAATGAATTCATTGGGTTGGCTATGGGTCAGGCGGCACAATTGTTCGATCAGCAAAGTGCCCAGGGAAAGACGGTATGTCGAGACGTTACACACACTACTCCTGTGTCCGTTTGAAATAAGATGATTGACGAAATTGCAGCACCCTGACGCCACGAAGCAAGATGCTGTTGCACAGGCTGCACAGATGGCTCTTAAATTTTACATGAAATCGGAGATGGGGGGAAGTGGTGGTGGTGGGTCGAGTGGTGGAGGTCTAATGAGCTTGGCTAGCAAGTTCTTGAAGTAGAAAGGGACTGTCAAATCTCTCCCGAGTAAACTCATCCTAGATGGGTAGAGAGGACGGAATAAAAGGTCCAGTTGAACCCAGAACTCCACAAAGCTTCCAATATCATCATGCATGAACAATCGGAGAGTTAGAGACCATTAACGAGTAATTGGCGATTCCGTTTGTACATGTGCTGCTGTCTCAAAAATGAACACTGAAACGGTCGCTTAAACCTACCCATACTTGACACCCTCGCCGATTCACTTCGTATCTCCTACCATTCAGCCTGAGACAACACAATAAGACAGACTTACTTCACTTACCAGTCATACCCATATCTGAACTGCAGCTTGACTGCTTCATGAGGTAACGTGACCGCAAATGTGCTGAGGGGTCGGCTGCCAGGCTACCACTCAAGTACCGCGCGAGCTTCGGAGTCCACATGCTTTCACCAACCCCTCAACATGTAACCGCTCAACTTGCTCGTCCGTTCTCTTCCCAACTCCCTCGCAATGTCGCTAACGCAGTTCTGGAACTCAGGGAAGGTTCTCCCGGTCCTTCCCTGCGCCTGCGCTCCAGCCTCGTGCTCCAATCACTATGTTGGTCGGAATCAGCCCTTTCCGAATTCCAATGTCGACTTGCGTTCGATATGGACAAACTTAATCGAATACCTTCCACTACCGTTCATACTGAGCAGGGATAAGCGATGCCACCTTTTGTCACTTCCCGTCGAACTACTTCAGGAAATCGTGGGCTACCTGGATCCCCATGATCGAATCACGTTCACTTTGACCTGCAAGGCTCTGCATTCAACCTTAGGGTCTAAAGAATTCTCCGATCTAAAGAAACTCCATCAACACGCGTTCATCGAGCTTCTTACAGAGCTACAACGAGATTTGCCAGAGTATCGACTTTGCCGTCCTTGCATGACACTGCATCCTCCAACCTACAATACCATCAAGATTCCGCGGAACAAGCTACGCCGCCAACCTCATCACCCCCAACTACGAGCCTACCTTTTGGCCCCCGATGAAGGAAACTACCCAGATATCCTATATTGGCTCTGTGGAGAGCACCTCCAGCGCGCCATCTCCAAAGAAATATGTCTCTCAACCCTGCGCTGCTCGGGGAGCATTGCCCTCGGCCCAACCCTCCCCAAGCACCCGGCTCTAAACGGCGCATCATTCCACTTCAAAGCCACCCCGGCCTTATCCCGCCGAAACATCATCTTCCATGCCGAATACGAACTAACATTCAACTGTGCCCCATGCCGCTTCTGGTCTGAGGCCTACGTCCGCTCTCTCCTTCTGTTCTTTGACCTACGGTGCTGTCTACACTGCTCGACCGGCCAAATGCAAGACGAAATCATCTGCTTCCTCTTCCACGGACCTAACACACCTCTCCAACAAGGCGTTGTGAATACATGCGTTCGAGCAACTGATCGGTTGGGAGACATTGAAGAGGGGTGTGGCCACCACATCCATGTTTGCGAATGCGCGACAGAATATAAGATTGAGCCTGTGCGGCAGCTTGGCCTGGATGTTCCGGTCGGAGTTAAAGTACTTATTTGGCAGTGGTTGGGGCATAGGAGTAATGATTACGTGCTTAGGCAGAAGGGGGTTTTGAGGAATCTTTACGAGGACGCGGCTATGGAAATGGAGTGGGAGGCTAGTCGAACTGGAATAGCAGAGGTGGTGGGAGACTGATAGGAAATTGATAGTAGCTTTGTGTCGGAGGTTAGGAATTTGGGACATGATATCCTGGTTTACTTTTCTGGTGCTGCATATGGGCTTAACATGCTATAGTTAATTTGTATTATTGCTCAAGGATTCTTCTCAATGAGTCGGCGATGTCCTGGGAAGGCAATATTGTCCGGCGCCCGACAGCCCGGCGACGAACCGACAGCCCCAGCAGTGAGAGTCTCAAGTCTCGAGAAAGCAATTCAATTCCACCTTGCATTAAAGCGAATGAAACTTTAGATTCTTCGTTCTCAAGCAGACAATATTTTCCTTTTAAGAGTAATTGTTGAAGGCTGGATACACACTGTGGCGCTTATCAGGTTTATGCGCCACACATCTTATCGATACCCGGTGCTCCTAGGTCGGCGATCTGCAGTGTCACTTTGGTGGTAGTGAAAGCTTCCTTGGTTGGCAAACATTCCAAGCAATACTAGCTCGCCATTTCCCCACACGAAGCTATACAATTATTCCCAACATGTCAGGAATTGAATCCTCGATGACTTGTACAGCACTTCTCTCCTTCTCAAACATACCACGATGGCAACTACATCGAAGTCAGACTCAGAGTCCACATCGCCCCAAGCTCCTCCTCCCCTCGCCCTCCCCCCTGCAGGCTTGCATTTTGCGCCCGACCCACCTCATCCAGATTCTGAAGAATTTTGGCAGAATAATCGGTTCAGGACGGCGCAGGAATTGGAGCCGATCTATGAAGCTAGAGTAAGGAACCCAGACTCGAGTGCACATCTCTCGCCAAATGCTCTTACAACCCAACCTGGGCACTCCCCAACAATACGCTCTCGTGGCTCTCCTAGCATAAGATCCCGTGGCCCATCAATACGGAGCTACAACAGCCGTCCTTTTCGCTTGCGACGATACTCGGATCTGAGCACCGTGACAGATGCTGAGGGCCCGGATGCGCAAGATGCGAGGAGATATCGGTTGAGGAGGCAGATGCCGCATTGGTCCGATCCGATTGTCAAGATCTGGAAGAGTGAGGTTAGTGTGGCGATAGATGATGGGGCTCATAGAGATCATTTGGGTACGTTTGCTCTTTCAGCAACCGGCATGCGAAGGGAAGGGGTTAATTGTAGCAGCTCTAGAACGCACCTTCCTAGGCTACCTACGCACCTCCCTCGCTCTCGCCATGACTGGCGTGCTCACCGCCCAGCTCTTCCGCCTTCAACACTCGGTCAACCCGTCGCCTACATTCGGATTCTTCGTGCTGGGGATCCCACTCGCTGCGACATTTATCGGCTTTGGAATGATCGTACTACTAATCGGCGCGTTTAGATTCTGGCGGCAACAGCGAGCGATGATTCGAGGGAAGATCTATGCTGGAGGTTGGGAAATCGCTGCGATCATGGGGTTGAGTATTGTGGTGAGTGGGTTGCTGTTCTTCTATCTCATTTTTGGGTAATGGTTGACGCTGATGTCTTGGTTTGTGGCTAGTTGTGTACGGTGGCTTTTGTGCTGATTACCGCGGTCGATATTGACAAGACGTATTTCTGAGGTTATAGAATGATACCCGGGATTGGATTTTGAGACCCCTCTAGGTGCGATTTCATTTTTCCTATGTGCTGCAGCTAGGGTGTGGGAGGTTCTTATGGTGAATAGACTGATCTCCTTAACTTTGATGTCTCATGCATATTGCGCAATTTCGATCAAAATGTCGTTTGCCAAATCCTCAGAACAGAATAGCCAATACCAAAATTTCATGCATTGCAAGGTTCCCCCGAAATTAACCCCACGATCCCCCACGGCCGTTTGTCCCCGGGAGGCCCGATCCTGAAGCCGAGCGATGAAACAAACACTGCCGTCACCACACACTCAAACACAAATTCTCCATCACCAAGATTCCAGACCTGTCAGTGATACTATGAACTGCCTGATAGCTAGTTCCGTTTTTGGTCAAGCCTCTCCTCGCATGTTTGTTTCAATTCTTATCTACCTTCCTGGCTACGTAAGGATTAATGTACAGAGTATTTTATGCTAGGATCGGCGAAAATTAGTACGACACTATCAATATCCAACCACTAGGGAACCTGAATCCGATATGGGAAAGACACTTCTTCATACCTTATCGCATGTCGCACTTACAGAGACCTCTTATTTCTGCGAATGATGGCATCCGTATGTACTTATCATTCCAAATTTGGGGGCACCTATCTGTACATTTCGTTACCTATCTTCGACAGCAGTTTGCCGATGATGACAGCGAATCGAATGCCGTTGAAGAAGCCGAAGCTATGATGATCTTAGCATTCCCCGGATATATACATACGGGCTATCGATTTGGGGGGCTTGTCGTTGCATATAAGCACTGACTACGCCGAAGTATGCTCCAAGCGTTAGTCCATGAAAAGCTTCGCGATACCTCACGGTTTTGTAAGCTTGAGCTGAGTTCGGAATGGCTGAAGGTGCTGCAACTGCGCTGCCAGTTGGCGCTGGATATGGCATGCTTTCCGCTTTATTGTGCTTCTGTGGTGCTAATTGGAATACAGGCGTCGTTGTGGGCATCGGCTTCTTCTTCGCCTTTCTCATGATGGGAATCTCCTGGCTTCAGAACCGATAACATGGAACACAAGCGAGTCGGTAACATAAGCGAGTCAGTAGCCTCACCAACTTTCTCCACCTTTAAAACAACGCAACTTAACAACGCATTAAAATACTATAAAAATGTAGGTATCTAAGATAAAGTAGCGTCTACAGTATTCTTTTTACATGTGTAAGAATTATAACTAGGCTCCCTGCAGCAACTACAGCGCGCAAGAGCCTGTTAACTTTGCCCTAATGCTAATGCATCCTGCTGCCTACTCTGCTCTGCCAGCTGCTGCGTGTCTCTTTAAGCAACTATATCTGCACCTTCTTTAATTATTATATCTCTATGCCTTTAGATCTGCCTTTTTTTACGCGCCCTTTGCTTTGTTGCAGCCTTATTAGCTTTTTAAAGGGCAGAGACCTAATTACACAGTAGCAGAGCTAAATGCATTACTATTTTAGCACCTTTAGTAAGACAATCTAGCAACTAAAGCATCTATGTAGGGGATAAGTTTTAATGCTGTTAAATCCTTATACAGAGTAGAGTTAACTGCGCCTTAAGTTTGCGTGCATTACTTAGTGTTTGCGACACCTAAAGAGCCTCTAGTTAAGGTAGTAGTAGTAGTAAAGGCGTACAAACAACTACATTAAGCTTTAATAGTACTACTTCTAGCGCAAGCAGGACTAGCCCTGTACCTCTAAAACTTGCGCGAATATTCTCTAGTATAAAGGCCTTCTTAAAAGCTGCCCTAAAGGAAGGCAGGAATTTAAGCTTAGTAATATGCTTTATGTAGTAGTAGACTAAGCTGTTAATCTTATCCCTATACGCACACTTTAATAGTAAGAAGCAGCTAACATTAAGCAGCTAGAGGAGATGTGATAAATGTAGAGGCATATAAAGTGTGTAGATATTATTCTCTCTGCAGAGGTCTTTAAACGCAGCTAAGTAATAGCTTGCATAACTATCTAGGACTAGAAGTTAGCGCGCGCCTACTATCCTATTCTTAGTATGCTTAATAAAGTGCCTTAGCTAGGCAACTCTAAGATTATTATTAGTCTATCTATTCTCACTCACACTAATCTTCTAGTTGCCTGGGATATCCTAATCCTTATACCAGGCAGATAGGTGGTACTAGGCCTTAAAGATAATATATAGTAGGATAGCCTACCCTATAGCATTAATTCCCTAAATAACTATAACCTACTTATAATTACCTAGTTATACTGCCTTAGGCTAATAATATCTTTTTAAGCTAGTAACAACTATTTAAGATGTTATCTAGCCTATTATAAAGCTAGCTTTGTTAAAGTTAAAGGTATCCTTGTCTAAGATCCTATAGGTAGCCTGCGTACGCTGTACAAGCTCAAACTAGGTCTGTATTATCCTAGGATCCTTGCATAGAGCTTGCTGCTAGTTGTACAGTTAATTAAAACACATAGTAAGGCTATCTGTACGCTTAACAAAGTTTAGCAGCTAGTTCTTTCCTACTAGCTAAGCACTGCATGCAGTAAGCAGATTGTTAGCCATAACTTACACAGCGTTTAGGCTAGGCAAGAATTCTTGTAAATTAAGGTTAAGTATATGTCTAATAATTAACTCCTTCTCTAGCTTAGTAAGCTTCTTTAAGTTAGGCTAGTAATTACGTTGTGCAGGTTAACTAGCGCGTTAGTTGTTTAGGGTTAATTAGGGCATGTTAAATGTGGCTACAGCATAATTTACACTTTTAATTTGCGCGTAATTAAGGGCTTAGATAGCAAGGATAATACCTGCTTTATTTAAATGTAATTAAGAAGTGGTTAGTTAAGCTATAGTAGTTAATAGTTAACGCGTTGCGCAAAGTTAGTGAGTGTAACGGCGCAGGCAAGACAATGGGTCCGAATGCGGTATGAATCCACTCAGAGGCATATGGGAGTGCGTGGGGACTCAGAGACCTGGGAATACCAATGACACCTATAGGCCTTGTACGTAGGATATCAGAAAACTACTGAGCTAGCTACAGGGGCAAGGTGCAACTAAATACATGAGGGAATAGGGGTAACAGCAGGGGGCTGGGCAGAGTCGAGTCAGGGTCGGAGCCGATACGGAGACCCTTCGGATAGGTTCCGGGGCGACCCAAGATGGAACAATTCATAAGAATTGTTACACTACCCCCCCCCTCTATAGACTAATAGTCCCTATCAGTAGTAGTTATAGTACAAAGTATCACTGTTATATCCTCTGCATCCTTAAAACAAAACTAGTCTAATTTAGCTAGGTGTCCTTACTAAGTATTCCTTTGCACTACTAGCAGTGTCTTTAGAGTTGTAATACCTTTATATATAACTATAAATTTACTTCTTACTTTTATACCTTATTATCTGCTAAGTAATCTATGCCTTCTACACTAGCTTTAAAAGCCTTAATTTACTTCTATAAGGCCTTTAAAGGTCCTAGCTAATTTAGATGCTTATTATAAAAAGCTTTTAATTTATAAGGGGAACCTATAAAATTTAAAGCCTTATACTAGACTAGATTAGAGTTATGTTCTACTTATTTTACCTAGTACTTAAGCGTTTTTTAGTAGAGCTTGCTAGCAAGTATTTCCTTTACTTCCTACTTCTCTACCCTATTAATAGCAATTTTAGGGGGTTTTAGAGGTTCTTGTTTTAGGAGTAGATTCTAAAAATCTTTATAAAGTATGTTTAGTGCAAAAATATTATGTATCTTTAACTCTAAAGGTAGCTTTAGGCAGTACAAGTTTCTAACTTATTTAAGTACCTTAAAGAGGCCTTCTTATTATTTAGATAGTTTTTAGCTAGGTCTTTAAATAGCTAGGTTCTTAGTGTTTAAGTAGACTATGTTGCTAACCTCCTAGTTAACTAGCTAGTAGTAGCAGTTAACTACAGTTTGCATCTAATCCTAGGTCTTTTCTATATAGGTCTTAGCTAACTCCTAGGCTGCATGCATGCAGGTTGCTAATGCTAGGGCATCTTTATAATTTAGCTTATCTATAGCTGTAATAGGTTCTATAGAATGTTTCTAGTCCTAGCTTTAACATAGTTTAAAGCTGTATAAGACTTAATACAAAGACATTTTAATTATTGCATAGAGCAAGGTTATCTAAGCCTAATTAATTAGAGGCAGTAAGGAACTCTAGTTATCTTAGTAAAAAGATATAAAAAGCCTTAGTTTTTAATTAATATACTTATTTATAATCTTTATTTAGCTATCTATTTTCTTATAATAAGTAGTAAAAAGCTTAACTTTTATGCCTAAAATTTAATAAAATTTAGACTAGAAACTAGATATAAACTAAGGTTCTTAATTAGAAATAATAGTTTTAGGTGTGTAGCTAAAACAGTATACTTATTAAATAAATAAAGTAGCTATTCTCTAGGCGTTAATTATTTTATAGCAAGGGATAGAAATAGCTTATTTTAATAAGCAATTAATTATAACTATAATCTAATTATATCTAGACTTGTCTTTAAAAAACTCCTTAAAGTTAATGCACAAGTGCTGCATTAGTTAAGTAGGAATTAGTAAGGGGTAGATAAAGCCTAGAGTTTAAGTCTATTTTAAATAAGCCTTATAACAAAGAAGGTAATTCTGTATGTATTATTTGCAAGTAGCTTCTATACCCTTCTAGTAGTACTTTTAGGCTAGTAACTAATAGGTCTTAGTAGCACTAGAATGTGCTAAAGATACTTAGTTATAGACTTCTTAGATAAGTTAGGTACACAGCAACAAGTCTGCTAGCACACATAAGCAGTTAGCATAGAGGAGTAGTCTGTTTCCTATTTAATAATAGCAGAGTAAAAGTTTTTGCTTCTACGTAAAAAAAGCTTAATTTTTTTAAAGTAATGCGTTAATTAATTTTAGAGAATCTAAAGACATAACTTAGTTTAGTCCTTCTATAATATTTAGTGTAGCTGCTTAAGTTGTTATTTAAGTAATATAGTACTAGGCTAGTTTAGAGTTAATTTAGGGG